AACTAAGCTGTCAGTAATTTGTAGTATAAATATCTTTTTTGACATTGAAATTGCAAGGACTGGAAAAGTGGAGCTTATTAATAGATCGCGATCCCAAAGATTCGGCTGCTTACAAAGACGCTTCCTGATTCATGATTATTTGAAAAGAGTGTAGAGATAGCATGGTAAGTTTTTGTCATGATTCATTTTGAATAACAACTGAATCAATTTATCTAGCATCGATAGTGAAAACGAAAATGATGCATTTAGTGTACGATAATTCATCCGGTAAAACGAAGAGGCATGACATATTCGATCAGATAAAAATTTACAAGAAGAGACTTCACAGAATTTATTTAAAATGATGTTTTCATATCCGGCCGTTAATGAACTTCAACTTTTGAATTTTTAATTAACGCCTTTTTCCTTGGCGTATACGATCCTTTCTAAAAGACAGATATTTTATAAGCATTCAACTTTAAGCAAGAGTGAAATTAACCTAAGTTTAATTCAAACGCACTTTCTGGTGTTGTCCTTGACAACAAACGGGCTGAAGATATGTCTTTTAGACAATTACGTAAGTTACCTTTTAGGATGGCAACTATTGAAGGAAATTGCATTATGACATGTTTGTCGACACAGCCATACTGATAGTCTCCTTTGATGCCTTTCTTTGGAGTGTCACCCAACACTCCCACTAAATATTGGTCTATAGGGGAAGACGTTGCGTTACATCTGATAGGACGGTGTACGACTGAGGAGTAAGCAGCCAATGAGTCTCTTTATGAATAAACAATTCCTCAAGTATTTTACCTTTTTTAATCGAAATGACATTTGAATATTTAGCTAGCTGTGTCTCTAAATAGTCATTATTATGTGAAATGAGTTACAATCATTGCAAAACGAACGATGCACGCGTTTTTTGTGGAAATTACTGATCTGGTCGTAGATTAAACTTGATAATTAGACGCTTAAGTGTTCTCTTGACGCCATGGCAGCCCCAATCAGCAGAAATCTACGAATTTACACATTAGATAGTCGCTAAAGAACTAAAAATGAGTTGGAACTAAAATTTTGCAACGCCTATGAAAGCATACAAATAGCCTCGAGCTAAACAGATGGTTAATTTTTCAAATGTAACGATATTGTTTAGCTAAAGAATTTAGAGCGTAGGATACGCGAGCACAGTCTATGATGTCTAATAACTTAGAATTTTACCGTTTCTCACCATTCAACTTATTTTTATTTTATTTTTTTTTTGTGGCAAAGGACCCAGCCATTCCCATGTAAGGTAATCTATTTGGAAAAAGCATGTTTAAATCATGAAGTTTATGCCCTGTTCTCTCAAAAGAGCTGACGAGTCCTGGTGACAGCAGTTTTCAGTTGAGTTTCAAACTCATTCTATTAGTGTCAACAAAAAGGTGGAGTAACGAGGAGAGGAGGCGGGGATTGAAAAGGGAAGGTTAAATTTCTTGTAACTCGAGGCGTAAATTTTAAAACCGAAATTAGCTTGGCATACTATCCACACACTTGTTAAGTTTTAACAGGGTGCCAATATATACAAAGGAAATAGAGCTGGTTCTCTTATGGTTTGGAGACAGACCAGCTTATGAGTTTGTGATCATTGAATTTGTAAATATGGAAATGTTGATTAGTTTTGTTGTTAGCTTTTTAGTGTACACAAAATATCGCTGGAGCGCTTCCATTACAGTTTCTTCAATTATGGCTGTGTTCACTTTATGTAGAACTTGAGAAATCTGAAAAGATTTATTGCTAACTAAGCAGATCTTTTGAAACGTTTATTACAAGTTGTTTTGACGATTTGATCACGCACAGAGAAAGGAAGTTTTATAACTGTAACCTTCTACTGTGTACGTCAGCCTATCGACGTTTTGAAAACACTAATATAAACAATCGATTTTACTCTCACTGGAGATTTGTGTTCGAAAACGTGATGTTTTGAAGAACCCCGTCGCGTGTCAGACTTGTGATAAACGCAGGGGATATGCGCACCAAAACGGAAGAAAAATTAAATCGTCGCCCGAGAAAGTAACACAAACCTATAAAGAGTGCTGACAGGCTCTCTGTGAAAATGTCAAAAAATGCAAACGTAGTGAGGTGTCAGTAATAATTATTCCTCGGCATAACAAAGCACCTGCCGTTTGTTGGCCAAGCCAGTTTTTTATTGCGCACGGAGCGAATGAAAATCTTTCCGATATCATTTTCCGGTGAATAATTAAACGTACCTCAAAACGTTTACTCTAATTTCACCTTTCTCCCTCAATAAGGATATTCTATAAGGAACTTAAAACTGGGAAACATTGCCGTACAAGCCCTTAAACAAATTGGTAAGTACTTACTGCTTTAAAACCGGCTTTTTCACGGATCTGTTTTTCAGAATATTTTTGTAAGTACCATGCAAAAAAAAAAACCAATTAAAGCTACCTAAGAATCGTCTCTTATTTTATTCGTATATTTTCTTCGCTATAAGAAGAAGAACAGAGGAATAATTAAAAATGAGAAAATAACTGCAAATGTAACACTAGAGAGCAATGAGTTCGATTGAAATTTTTCAATCAACTGAATCTTTCTCTAAAAATTCATCCTGTTATTTGATAATCATATATACGCATGAATGTTTTCCGAAAAAAAATTTACACTGATTAAAAACATAATTATATTTTCCAGATTTTCCCTTTGTGGTCAGTAAACATTTGCTACCAACTATTGGGAAAAAATATTAAAAACTATACGCTTTTATTTCACAATAATATATTCGTTTTGCTAATAATTAAAATGGAAGAGGAAAAACTCCTAACAAGTTGACACTTTGTTGGAAGCCGCGAACAATACTTAAACAACGAATCACTTTAGAAATTGTCGTCTGTTATTGTCTGTGAAGATTGTAAGGTCACTTGCTTTTTAATCTTTTCCGAATATTTAATTCTGGTATACGAATCATCATTCACAATATTTGGTGAGATTTTTTTTCATGACAGTCGTGAGCATATGTTGATTAAAGAATCTCATGCCACATGGAAATCGTTGAATTGTTGATTAAAAGGGACATCGCCAAAAGCTGCCTGAACAAACACCACTCAGCTCGACAGCTCGTCTAACATATATAAATTTTGTATATTTCTCCCATGTGTTTTATTTTGCAAAAAGCTCAGCAATCTCCTTGCATAGTGTAAACAGAACTTATACCAGACTAAACAAAGGCGATTTTGAAATGATCTCGTCAATTCGAATCAATCAATATATCCGAAAAGCTCTCTTTCTCGATTTAAACTAATTCGAGTGAATTATCCTTCTCTTATATAAGGGATGTCAATTTGAAAAAATTGTCCTTTAGTTTTAATCACTAGTTCTTTAATTTTCTGAATAGATTTTACCAAAATTGTTCGTTTTATTCTTGGAAAATGGTATTAAAACATGCCAGAGTACAGCTGAATAAATCATGGTTGTATTATTAATGGTTAAAAAAAATTCCATGGCAACATTATGTACTCTTAAAAACACCTTTAAGTTTGTAGCTTCATTTTTTTTTTGCAAAGTCTAAAAATTTGCAACGTTGGGTCAGAGCAAGAGAAAATACCTCATTATTTCCTCAAGGCCAGAGGTATCATAAATTAATGATCAATTTAGGAGGCTCTAAGGCAACACATTTTTTCAAAGTTTTGCATAAAGATGAATTTTTACTACAGAAGTTAATATGAAAACTGCTGCGACTGGCTTTCGAGTTTGCTCAACTATCGAGAAATTTAACCCACCCCTAGCCCCCCCCGAGTGTTTTAGATGAAGTTTAAGGCTTTGTAAACGCGAAAACCACGCGTATCTAAAACATAACAAACGCGTTTACACGCTCTCGTCAAAACACGTCTATAAATCAATAACAAGAGAGTGCGCACCGTCAGTTATCAGTGGGTTATCTTTTGAAAAATAAAAAGTTTATCTGAAAATATCATTACTATTTCACGAGAAAAGAGACATTCTTACAAAATGGGACAACTATCATCATTAAGTGCAGCAGATATCGCTAAGTACGAAACAATTTATCACGGGAAAGTTAGTATTTTCCTTTAATTGGCGTGAAATGACGAGGAATTGAATTTCTCGTCATTTCACGTCAATTAATGGAAATCTTTCTGGGTTTTAGGTAGAAAGACACTAAGGCGCCAATTATTACTCTCCACGAACAGGCATGATCAAGATATTAATTTTGAAATGATCACTGGCAGAAATAATTTTAAAACTTTCTTCCCGAGTAGTAATAGCATTACGTAGATAAAAGAAAATACAGAAAAATAGGAGCACCATTACCGAAGCTTCTTTCGTGAGCACCGTTTTCAAATCGTTGAACTAAAAAGGATCGTCAATAGTAATTTGATAATAATTTCTTAAAATATCGAGAGTATGGCAAACGCCAAATAATTGTTACGGAAAATCTATTATTTGACACTACCACGAATTGAAAGCATCCATTGTATTAGGAGGCAGCATGTCTCTATAAACAATTCTCTACAATTGTGTGAGCGAGCCAGTTCAAGATTCCTGTGTTTTAGCAATCGAAATCTTTTTGAGAAAAACAGGAAACCGACAGCTCCTTAACGATCAAACATTTTCGTACAGTGGCAAGCTGGAGGGTCTAAGTAGACCGAACAATTTCATTCAGTAGTCACGCATGTGGAAAAGCCGTGCGCTTGTTTGATCGTTTGGTAATCCGTCTTAAATGCGGCTAACACCATTTGGAAAGAAAATGTTGAATGGTTTAGCCAGGGGCTAAGGAAGAGTTCATGACAAAAATGCTGGTAAGAAATGCGCTTAATTTGAAGAAACATTTCTTTTTCAAGAATCCTTTTGCAAACTCAAGATAAGCAAATGGCCTTAGTTTGTTTCTATCTAAACAGGTTCATTGACATGTCATTTTTGTCTTGATTTTCAGAGCGCAACGCATTGTTGAGAACAGCAATTTCCGAACAGCCAAGACTTAAAAGATCATGATATGACAGCTCCCACGCCTTCAGACTTAAAGCTGTTCCTGAACCAAGACTTAAAAGATCGTGATATGACAGCTTCTACGCCTTCAGGCTTAAAGCTGTTCCTCAACCACACACGCTAATCAACAATCATGTCTGAGCAAAACTCAGCCTTACCTAACTTAACTACATCTCCACCAACGACTCAAGCCAGGGATGGAGAATCAATAGATTCTGATGACGCGACATGGATTCTGACAAGTGCCTTCATTATTTTCACAATGCAGTCTGGCTTCGGTCTCCTCGAATCCGGCATGGCGTCAAGAAAAAACGAAGCTAATATTATGGTCAAGAATGCGGTGGATGTCATCTATGGTGGATTGTCCTATTGGCTTTTCGGGTTCGCGCTCAGTTTTGGAAAAGAGCAAATTGGGAATGGCTTCCTCGGCTTGGGATATTTTCTGACGGACGCAGACGAAAGCGAAATGGGGCAGGTGTTCTCAAAATATTTTTTTCAACTCTCTTTTTCTACGACGGCGACAACAATTGTTTCTGGAGCAATGGCGGAAAGAACAAACTTAAAAGCCTACACACTTTATTCGTTTTTGAACACTTTGACTTACACCCTCCCAGCTCACTGGATTTGGGCTGACAATGGCTGGCTTCGGAGAATGGGGGCCGTAGACATCGCCGGCTGCGGAGCAGTGCATTTAGTCGGAGGTGTTAGTGGTCTGGTGGCGACGATAATATTGAAGCCTCGAACGGGAAGATTTGACACAAATTCTCCGCCACTGCAAATGGCCTCTCCGACAAATGTTCTCCTGGGAACTTTCATGTTATGGTGGGGCTGGTTGGGTTTCAATTGTGGCAGCACATTTGGAATAAGTGGCAAGAAATGGAAACTTGCTTCAAGGTACAAATATTCCCGTGCCTCTAAATAAACATTTATCCAGACATGTTAAATACATTCGTACCTATATACCGCAAACATGATAATTTTCTCCCTTCAAAATTTGACAGTTATCTCATATAATGTAGTGTAATAACGGATCAGTCATATTTTTTATCGCCTAGAAGAGGTCGGTGGATTTTGGTCGTGTCTCTGCGATTTACAGTCAGTTTTTTTCAGTCCCCCCTTTTACACCCCCCTCTTTACACTCTGTTGGCGACGACTGATTCCCCCCTCCGTTCCCCCTCGGAGCCATGTGAAAAAAAAAAAATCTTCCGGGGGGGCCCTCCCTCCCCCCAAGCTATGATTGTTCTCTAATCACCTACGTCTGTTGGTAGAGGGAAGACGAAAATATATTGTATTTTTCGCGTATAAAGTTTAAATCTTCCCAAAAGTTTATAACCAGTCGTTTTTACATCTTGGTGTATTTTATCAAACAGGTCAGCTGTAGTTACAATCAACGGCTCTATTGGCGGAGGGATAATGGGCATGATGTACAGGTAAATGAATACCGATAAATGTGCCAAGAACACGCCTTCAGACGCCGCCATTTTGAAACCAACTAGGTAACCTGGCTGCTCATGCAGTCCCACAACGAGCAATTTACAAACAACTGCTGCCCTTTCTATTGCAAACATATTAATAATTCATTATTTGATTCAATAATTCCTTTTTGTTGTAGCTCCTAATTGTACAAACGGGTTATTAAGAGACGGAAAAAAGAGGGTGATATATCGTAACGCCGCAGGTATGCGGCTTGGCTGTTTAGAAAAAATTCAAAATGATGGCAGTTAGATCACTGGTTTCGTCTGAAAACTCGGTCAGCTAGTGTTACAGTCTTGATATTAATTTTTGATGGCAGAGATGATAATTATGTGGATACTGGAGCGTGCCTCATCGCAGGAGGAGTTCAGTCTCTTGGCCTGATCCTCTGCCTTTGGATCACTAGTTGATCTAAATTTTCATACAACCAATAAGAAGCCCTGTGTTATTATTTTTTTCAGCTACATTTTCTTCAAAAAGAAGTTAGATATTCCGACGTTTGTGACGGGGATTTTAGCAGGGCTCGTCAGTATTACAGGTATTTGTTTTTAAAACTGATAATCTACAACGAACTCCAATGGAGGCTCAATCTCATTAAAAAACAAACAAACAAACAATAACAAAACAGCAAGACAGTGAGGTTTGAAATGCTTCATGATTTCACAACTGTAATGCTAGAACTTGGCCAATCACAATGTGAAGCTTACAGGTGTATATGATTTCTCTCTGACAAGATGAATTTAAATTAGAAATTTGACAATAGAATAAATTACGACATTTGACAAAACAAACATGATGGAAACAAACTGCTTTACCTCGAGGAGCTCTGACGGTACTATTAATGTGACTCAAGTCTTGGAGTTATTTTCCAGGATACCAGCGGATAAGTCTTTAAAAATTACCATTCGACATGCACAAAACTTGTAAAATTTAAGATTTAATCATGTTCGCATAGTCGTTAAAAAGGTTAACACTTTTGCAAATAAACTGGTGACCCTCTTCCCGTATAAAATGATGTAATTAAATCCTTGTCCTTTATGCTCTGCTCAGCTATCTGTTCCCTCGCTCGCCCATGGGAAGCTCTTCTTATTGGTGCAATCGGCGCCATGTTGGCATGTCCCACATGTGCTCTTCTTGAAAGGCTCAAAATCGATGATCCTGTCAGCTGTGTACCTACACATGGCTTGGCAGGGATCTGGGGCCTATTGGCTGTTGGCTTGTTTGCTGAGAAAGACATACTGGAACGTACATTCTCCAACGAGTTTGGACTCTTCAAAGGTGGTCCTTGGAAATTCGTGGGAGTTCAATTGCTTATGTCCGTTGTAATGGCTGCGTGGGCCGGTCTCACAACATTATTAGAGCTACTATTGGTCGATCGGCTGCTTGGACTACGCATGAGCGTTGAGGATGAGCTACTGGGCGCTGATAAAGTTGAGCATGGAATTGACGATGACATTCCCGACCCGAAACACGAGGAAAAAGAAAGGGAAGGAGACAACAACATGACAATAGTAGAACTGGATCTAAGCGCCTTGGAAAAAGGTGAGATTGGCACCACTTTGTCCAAAACAGAGAACGGAGGGAAAGATTCGCGCAAAATAATCCGTACCCAAAGGAAACTCCCTCGACTGAATTGGCGAAGAGCTGTGTCACTGAGAAGCTCTGCAACCGAGAACTCTGGCAAGGGTACATTTTCATTAAAAGACGGGTATAGTAACGGCGGCGTAAGACTTGACGTTATTACTGAGCTTACTCAAGAAAACGGAAATCTGCCGACTTCCACGACGAACAGTAGTGTTTTTCATACAAGCTAAGACTAGAAGCAGAAAACTTAAAAGCGGAAGTGAAGGGGCTGCTTTTTAAACCCCGTTGTCTGCTTTATTAAATTTAGGAGAACGTTTTCCAATCAAACAGTTCGCACAACTACGAATTAAAATAAGTAAATAGACAAATGAATAAAGAAGAACGTTTTGTCTATCGGGGGCTGAATGTTTTAATCAAATAAATCCTTTAACCTCAAAGGTCTGACTGAACATAAAGATAAAAATTAAAGATACAAGGGTTATAAAAGCTCGAGAGAGCTGAGCTGTAGTCAAAGAAGCTCAATATGAATTTTGTTTTGGTTTGTGATATTTGGAGCTGAACCTCACCCATTTCTCCAAATGAAAGCCTTGGACCAACGCCTTATTGGGATGGATAACCTTATTGATTACATATATGGGGGTAGCTTGTCCCAAACGCTTCTTTGTAGGTGGGTGGGCAGGGTCTCACTGAATAACACCTTTGGTGATGTGAACTTCCTGGATTAATAACATTACTATTATTATTATTATCATCTTATTATAAGGCGGTATAATCAAAGGTAATTTGGAATTGTATCGGTTTGATTTCTCGACGCTCTGTAATTGTAATCAATTAAAAAATTACCCGCCAAATATTCGACCAATTAAATTTGGTGACATGACTTTCTTTGAGTCCTCATTAGCTCGTTTATACTATGTGTACATCTTAGTTTGCAAGGTCTCGATTGAAATCTGAAAGCTTGCATATACGAAAAGGTTTTTAATACCAGAACGCCTTTTTGAAATTGAAAACGGGTTGAGACCTAGTTACACTTCTACTTCAAGCGTTTATTAAAAATTACCTAGTTAATTGCTCGCCACAGAAATGTTACATTCAAATATCAAAACAAAACAAAAAACAGTTTATCAAAAAGTATGCCTTGATTAGTCAACAATTAACTGTCAAAGCTTTGAGAAACTCCAAGAAATATTCACGACCTTTCGTCTAGCATAATGGTGGCCTCTTTTAAACTTTTTCGACCGCCGATTCTTGACTCTGGATGCCACTGTGCTGAGAGGAAGAATTAGGCAATCGCACGGTATCCTCTTCAGAAAAAAGTCTGTCTCTTTCAAACGTCAGACATGAGAAATCATCGCCTTCGTTTGCAAAGATCCCATGTTCCCATTTGTCAGCACCATCGAGCTCCTTCTCACCTGACATGCGCAAACAGGTCAACTTATCAATAGCATAAAGCTCTAAAAATGTAGTGATTAGTGTCCACGATGCAATGGTGACAGCGGTAAGTATTTGAACACCCAGGACTCTCCAACTGCCTCCCTTAAAAACACCATAGTGCTTGGACATGAATGGGTCCCTCTCCACAACAAGTCCCACCACTACGATCCCCCATAAGCCAGTGATGCCGTGTGTTGAAATACAATGTACCGGATCATCAATGCACATGCGTTCGAGGAGGATGTTGCCAAAACAACCAAACGCGCCTCCAATGAAGCCGATCAGTACACTTTCCCATGGAGTTACAACAGGACAAATGGCTGAGAAATGAAATATGGAAAATAAAATACAAATAGAGATGTATTGCCTACCAAGCATATGAAAATACAACAATTTGTCACCTTTCACTCAGTATTACACTCTATTTGCATCTTTTCTAAGACCGGGGTAAAGTAGGGGGGGGGGATGGGTGGATGGGTCGTGGCACACCAATAAGACTAACCTTACAGAATTATCATAATTATTTACTATGACACGATAAAACAAAAGATGGTCATGAGGATGAGCGCTCTACACTCACCCACCACCCCTTAGTCTTGATTGAAATTTTGCTCACCTTCCCTTCCCCTAACCCTGACTTGTTATCCGTTGACTGATGTTGGGTTAGGGGACGGGTAGGTCGGTGCGCTGTTGCTCCGAATGCTGATACTGATCCCCAATTTTTTTTTTTGTTCTCACCTGTAATGCTAACGAGTCCAGAAATAATGCCAGTTACAAAAACATCAATAAGGAGCTTGTTCTTATATTTCAGATAGCTAAAGAGAAAAAGAAAACATGCTTAGACAGTGTTAGAATGTGATTAGCCATTTAATAATCATAATTGGATAAGGTTGAGCATGATTTCGAGAATTATCGAGACGGAAGCTGTTTTCAGCTGTTGAAGCCGTACACTGAGGAGGATAACGCAAGACGAGGCCTTGATAATCCTTCTCTATCATGCAAACATTGAATCCTAAAATCGTTTCCTGACGTGATTAAAATTTTGTCGTTGGTTTAACAGTTCCAACGCATGCATATATACATATATATATATATATATATATATATATATATATATATATATATTATTTATCATCTATAGGCATGAAATGCAGCTAGGATTAGTTGCGTGCTGGAAGCCAATCTGAACAATCAGATTGGTAAAAAAAAAGATGGTTTGTTTGTCATCTATCACCTGCAAAATCACCTTTCTCACCTAAACCCTGTTGCAAAAATTCCTCCACCGATTGCACCGTTGAGCGTCACGACAGCAGCTCTGCAAATAACAAAGAATTTTTTCATGGTTAAAAGTTCCTAAAGGCCCTTGGCACTTTACCGTGGCAAAGAAAAAAAGGAATGCATGTCATCACATGGTGCGCACGTGCACCACAAAAGCCAAAGACAGAACAAATTGCCCTCTTTGTAATTTACATGTACGACACAAAACGTGGTCTCCACCAAGGTATCTCTTGTACGATTTTATCGTAGCGGATGTATTTAATGCGTCACGCTTTACCTATTCCATTACTATACGAACCAGAGACGTAATGGAAGGGATGTATATGTCACTGACCTGGACGCAAGCTTCCACTTTCCTCCCGTGATCCCAAACGTGCTTCCACAATTGAACCCAAGCCACCCCCACCACAGCATAAACGTCCCAAGCATAGCATTGGTCGGAGAAGCCATTATGTTAGGCCTGGGGCGATTATTTTCGTCAAACTTTCCCAAGCGAGGCTTAAGGTAGAGCGTGGCTACCAAACCACTGAAGCCGCCGACGAGATGTACCGGACCGCAACCAGCCACATCTACGGCGTCAAGCTCATAAAGCCAGCCTTTCGGTTCCCACATCCAATGTGCTGGTAAAGAATACGTCAAGGTGTTGATGAACGAAAACAAAATGTAGGCTTTAAGCTCGACTCGCTCCGCCATCGCCCCTGAGACGATCGTGGTCGCAGTTGTGGAAAATGACAAATGGAAGAAATACTTGGCGAACACGTGACCCATTTCGTCATCATCTGCGTCGGTAAAAAATTTACCACAGCCGTTGAAAGCTGTCGTTCCCTCATCCCGGCCAAAACTGAGACCGAATCCAAACAGCCAATAGGCGAAGCCGCCGTAAATGACATCAACAGCGTTTTTTACCATGATGTTCGTTTCATTTTTCTTGGATACCATGCCTGCTTCGAGGAGACCAAACCCCGACTGCATGGTAAAAATAATAAACGCTGACGTCAGAATCCACATGGCGTCATCTGATTGGATCTCTTCGTAATGGAGTGGAGCGTCATACGGCGTTGACGTCACACCACGAAACGCCGCTGACACGAATGTGATGTTCGAGTGATTCATACTTTCTATTAATGCGACGGTAAGGAAAAGCTAAGAATGACATCTCATTAGGTTCTAAAATCTTAAATAAAACCTCTATCGGTTAGAGGCTTACTGCAAACGCTCTAAAATGCCCTCTAGCATATACAAAGAAACTGAATTATCGTTTTTTTTTTCCATCTTGCGATGCTTTCTTTAGCACCTGCTGTAAAATTATATTTTGGATAAATTGTATTTATCTAGAACTTGCTAAATGTTGGTATTTCGTAAACCATTTGCAAGCAATTTAGATCGGTGCATCTTTGCTGTAAATTCCCGTTTTTGTTTACATTTTCTTGTAACAGGAAAGTGCAATTTATAAAATTTAAAATCTTTTATAATTTTCAGCAATTACTCTAAATCCCTGTAAAATGTCTTTATGATAGACCAAGGCTTACGGAAGATTAAAACTGTTCCCTGGATGAATCTAAAGCTGATTTTCGAAGCTCTCATGTCCGCCCAATTTTAGGTTATATTTTTTAATCGATTTATCCCAAATCATTGTAACATCTCAAATGCTTTACCTCAAGATGTCTATGTAATGTTCGGCTGACAAATGAGACAAAGTAATTGTCTACTGCAAGGCTTAAATAAAACTATTAAGTAACATCCTTTTTTGGAAAAACCAAAATGGGATCTTGACAAGTTATAAAATGTAGCTGAGCGTATTTCTTTGTGCTAAGAATACTCTCGGTACTGTGTTATTTAATGGAAATGGAAAACATATGCCTCCAATTTACAGAGCACCGATCCATTAGAGATTATTGCCTGAGGTCTTACACGTAAAAGCGGATAAAAATCCCATTTGAAGGCCACAAAATCTGCCTCTCACCTGGCGTTGGGTTTTTCTAGAATGAAAAATGCTTTTTAGCTGCTAATGTATTGCCTGACTGCACGAAAGTAGTAATGTGGTGAAGAAAAAAGTTTAAAGGCTATCATTACCTCATGAGAACCTTTTGTCGTAACAACGTCGGCTTCGTTAAAGGTAAGAATCGAAATGAGAGGAATGGTAATGGTTATAAAAATAAACTCAGAAGTGAATCATAATTTATTGATGCAGTAAAAGCTGTCTAAATTAACAGAATATCATTTATCAGCGAGATGTGTCTTCCTAAGTCAATAATACTCGTGTGCTCGTGGCTAAGAGTGAAATTTTGCTAACGTCTGTTGATTTTCAGTCTTCCTTCCTGGCCAAACGCCATCTTACATTTCCCTGGTCTCCGGTCAGTGCCTGATTGCTAGTTGAAAATGAATAAATCTTGAAGCAATACCCTGTAATTGTAATTTTAGAGAGATATAACGGAAGCCTAAGAATCAGAAATTGATAATTGAGAAAACCTTTCGCTCTCATAGTTATCTAAGGATTGCAAGTGAACTTAAGATGGGCCAACCTTCTTTAGTCGAAACTTGCGAAAATGAACTTGAGTAGTAATATGTTTTAGAACTGATAGCAATTAAAAATATAACCTTACTGAGCAAAGAAAAAAAACAAAACAAAACAAAACAAAGCTGTCATCATTTTTCTAGAACATTTAACAGTCACAGCACACCTGCTCAAAAAGGAGTGTTTTTTAACGGCGTATCTGACATCCCAACATCTATTCGAGTAACTACGACAACCAAATATCGGCTTCAACAAAGAAAGCCTACAATGATGGTTGCCGAAATAACCACAGGACTTAAATCCGTTGTGAACCATTCTCTGACACCTACAATGAGTCATTGTCAGAAATGTGCCCTTGATAATCCTTTTCGAGCGCGTTCAGCCTGCTTTGATTAGTTTCTTTTTGTTATGGTTGGATCGTTTTTCCAAGATAATTACTGGATTCTTTTGTTCTAAAAAAATTAAGAAATAACTGTTTATTCCTTTACTCCAAGTCTGCATATATTGACCTTGTGTTTATTAGAAATAATTACCGCTCCTGCAGCTGAATTGGGTTGAACGGCTGGGAGACGCTCAAATGGCGACCTGGTTAGAAAGATCATTTCTTCTCAGGCTTGTTCGTGAGTATAATCTTGTGTCTTTGTATATTCAGTCCTTTTGGCATTTTGTGGACCTCGATTGTGAAATCATCAGTGATGATAATTCAACATTTCAAACTAATCAGTTCTCGTGCGGACTTTCACTCTCTGGCCGCCAATTATATGACTACCTTTCCACAAAATGATATTTTCCTGGAAACATTCACCACTTGCTCTCGGCTTTAAGTTGTTAAACTTCAATCAGCTCGAGTGTGTTACAAAGTAAGAAACAGGCTTAATTCCTGTTAGCTGTAAAACCGGGGTTCCATACGATCGTGACAGGATTGTGAGGAATAACGGTAATAGCTTCTAATCCTGTTAAAAAAGTACCGTGACATCCGCACAGCATTTCAATGCATGACCGGATGTACTCCTCCGTTTAAATTTCAATTCGGTACGTACACAAAATCAGTGTTAAGAACTCAGTGATCAGTCTTTTAATTAAAAACTTCATCCCTTAATTTATAACGCAAAGCTACTAATGATGGACCAAGTTGATTTTCTTTCAATTAAAATCGGTGAAAAAAAAAAAATGGAGGAGGTCGTTAAAACTGTTATAACAATCATTTCGCGAGTACTTTGGTAATCAATTATTGATTCACCGAGTCTAGGAAGGCCACCACACATTTATCTCCAGTACATCGTTTCCCAGGCGAGCGGAAAAAAGAGCGAGACGTGCACGAAGCGTGGGTCAAAAGCGAGAAGAGAAGCTTGTGTGCGTCCCTCATTCGTGCATCCATCCTTTGCGCTTGCTTTGCACTAAATTCAGACCAACTATAAAACACACACAAAAAGGAACCTCTTCTGTTGGCTACCAGTGCGTTAGCATCTTGATAGATTTATGAGAATATGAGCGACTCGTTCCATCCTATTTCTTCGATTCGCTTCATATGCTTTCAATCACTGAATTTATAAACTGGTAGATTTTATGAGTCATTTTGATATAAAACTTTTTTCACAGATTTCTTTAACCTGTTACGCATCTTTGTTTTAAGCGGTGAGTTGAAAATAATTATTTGTTAAATACTTTAATACCAAATAGATTTTATGCTGCCTTGGGTCTGTTCAGTAATTGATCACATATGACATCAAAATAAGGCAGGAACGAAACAGATCCTTACCACATTTATTAGTCGTCTGTGATTTATTACTGTACAGACCCACGGAAACATGGATTCAATTTGTTTTATGTGATAACGAAGAATTGGTGGGAAAAAAATTAATAGTAACGTTATCCTTGCGTTTATCCTCTATGCAATAGATCAAAAACAAGAACCAGTCAAAATACGTGTTTAATTCAGCTTATCATATAGAGGCTGTTAACACTCCGCAACGACTTATTGAAAACTAAACGGGTCATAAATCATTACTTCTTAAACATTTTCATTGTTCTCGTGTTTATGTTTTTTTGTGCTTTGTTTAAACTGGAGGATAGTTTTCGAGGTCTAAACAACGAACAATTGCAAACAAACAAGTCAAATACCTGATGGTACCGGTCCCTCAAGGCCTCTGTCATCCTATCTACATGAACTGTCTACGTAAATGTACTACGGTCCGAAATTAATGGAATGCGCACCCACCCCTCCCTCAACCCAAGAATGGTCAAATGATAACAAGTTAGAGTTAATGCTGGATTAGGGGAGGGGTGGGTGCGAAGTTGCTCAAATACTAACAGATCCAAACAATGAATAGTTTTATCCTCTTCTTACAGAAACAAGATGCTCCAGAAACAAAACTTCAAATCTGAACAATAACATATTTTTGACTAAATCATCTGACACATTTTGTAGCCCTGATTACGACACTTCTGAAGCCTATCCCGGAAATCTAACCTGTACATGGGTTATTTCTCTTCAAGAGAAGAGGATAAAGCTTTCTTTTCTAACATTTGACCTTCAAAACGCCAGTCCTGCTTGCCAAGATTGCGATTTTGTGTCGGTTCGGGACGGGAAATACTCAAATAGTCCAGTTATTGGAACGTTTTGTGGTAGCAGAATACCCAATGACGTCCTCTCAACCGGAAATCACATGTGGATTCACTTCCGTTCAGACGGGTCTGTGGAGAAGCGAGGCTTTAAGATGTCATATACCACATATGATACTTCGAATGGTAAGTTCACTCAATCATATCCCACCTGAGACGGCGGGCAGGCGGCAGGCGGCAGGCGGTTATGACCTAACAAGCCTTGGTCGAAGCGGATTTTTTCGGTGGAGCAGTCATATAACTTTCCACCATTTTTTACCTCGAAGTTTGCTAGAAAGCATTAGACATAGGTTCGCGTTTAAGAAAATCGTACGTAGCCTACAAAAAAATCAATACGACCTAGAACCGCGTTTGCGCTTTTGCCTTTTCCGCATTCAATGGTGACACAACCAAAATCCTGAGACCCCTTTCAGGCGATAAATAAAGTTCGGCCCTTAAACGTAATGCTCTAAGGTGTACTTCACCTTTAAGAATATCTGAAAGGGTCTTCTAAGCATGGCCTGATGTGAATGTTTCATTTTTTATCTTTGCTCCAGGTCTATCAGCTGTTTCTTTTCTTGTGGCATCGGCCGTCGTAGTTTTCATTTTAATTCTAGTTGGTGTTGTGGCTTCGGCAATAAAAAGGAGAAACTCTCTTTCATCAACCCGCGTCAAAGTCTATAAAACCAGGCCGGGAATAACAATCAAGGTTTCTCCTGCTACACCAATAGAAAATCGGAGTAAAGCATCGTTACATAATGACACAGTTACAGATAGTAATTTAGTTCTTCCCAAGGAAACGCGGAAATTCCCGTCCTGGATGAAACGCGGATGGGACACTGGTGACAAGAGAATGAGGCGGGAAAACGTGAGCGCCTGCGAGGAACAAACGTGTAGAATGCAGGAAAATAGTGAGCGGAAAAAGACGAGAAAATCAAAGAGGATGGCACTGGACAAGAATTAAGAGCTGTTGAGTTTATTTTAATGGAAGGATTGAAACGGCGTAAACGGGAAACATAGGGTGTATTTGATGTTTCACAGATAATTGTTTCATGCTGTAATGAATGTTTATTTTCTGCTACAAGAGGGTCAGAATAACGTTCAAGGAGCCTTCAACTGCCCTGTATTTTTGTCACATCATTTTCACAGACAAGTCAATTTTTATTTTGAATTTATCGTGAACTAAGACTCTCCACGAGAGCACATCGACCAATCAAGATTAGCGCGTGGTTAATTTCTAACTTTACTCGTTAAAATATCGAAGGAAAAACAGCAGAGAGATGCAAGGCTTCTTGCGATAGTTCGAGTACAGATTCATGTGAACAAAGGCGTCTCAAGCAAACGATTAATTCATGAAACGTGTTTTGTGAGTTGGTGTTAAGTAGTGGGCTCCTGATTCAAACTGAAAAGTTTTTTCTGCTTCACGCGCACGGTAACCAGTGTAAAATTAGAGGCACTAGACAGGAGTGTTCAGAGTGATTGTCCACATGGTTGCCACGTGAACTTTAATATATTTTACGTTGTAAAATTATTTTAAATATGAATGATACACGGTTTTTTTTATGGGGTGGGGGTTGGGGGGAAAGGGGAATCATCAAAATATTACAGAGCCTGAGGGGGGCATCACTACCAAAATCCTCCCTTTCCCAACCCCCCCTTCCGGCCTTATACTAATGACAAGTCCCCGATACGCATTCATTTCAGACAGCGGTAGTGCCGTGAATGTCAAAATCTTTTACCTTCTGGTTTGAAGACGAAATATCTAAAGGAATCTGTCCTGTCACTGGTGAACGAGATGTTAATTTTCCTTGCGGTTATGTCAATGCATGAACAATTGATTGTTCGTAAAAATCTGTCAGCATTTTTTCTCGCCTGTCCTGTTTAAACACATTGCCCATGGAGACCAAATGTCGGACTTCCCCCCCTTAACTAATCAGAATTGATATGTAATGTACTTTTCATCGGGAAAGGGCTTACAATCCAACCGGTCGCTTCTCAGGGATGTAGCTTTCGGCAAAATGTTATCCACCGATATCCAAGAAACCATTCATTCGAATCTTCAGCAGGTCCGTTGCCCTCTTTCATCGGAAGACCACAGAAATGTCAGCACTCCAAACGGCGTTTCGAGGTGAATTAAATATGTTTATTTTAGGTTAAGACAGCAAAAACACGCGAGAACAATTATTGTGGGAATGTTTCAGATTCCCTAAATTGCTCAGTGTTCCTTTGCCACAAGGATTTTATTGCAGTTTTCGCCGAAAGCTCCAGAAGGCAACATTACCAGGCACGCCCAGGAAAGACATGTAGACAGAATGGATGGCCTCTGAAACGATTATGAATTCCCATGAGAAGACTAAACAGTCCCCTCACAAAAATGAGATGTTTAGTTGCAAGGTTTGTTTTAAGAAGCTTGGATGTATAAGTTCGGCATGTTTAAGTTTATTCTCTTCGCCATTAGCTACAAAATCCAATCAGATAATCCTTGAAAATTAAAGAGCTTTGATCGCAAAAACCCAATGACCCAACCGCCGTAAGACCCTAGATCGATAACAGAGAAAAATTCGATGAAAAACTTTTACTTGTAAATTGAGGTCAAAAACCGAATCATTTTTTTGCATCGCCTCTCAACTTATCGTTTGGCCGGAAATCGAAACTGAAAAAAATATTTTACAGATGGGTGATTGATCAATCAGAGGTGTGTGTTTTCCTAAAAACTTCTTAAAATCCTGAATTTCGAAAAAAGTCATGTTTACTTTGGAGCCCTACTTTGTAAACATCGCCTCTCAACTTATCGTTTGGTCGGAAATCGAAACTGAAAAAATTATTTTACAGATGGGTGATTGATCAATCAGAGGTGTGTGTTTTCCTAAAAATCCTGAATTTCGAAAAAAGTCATGTTTACTTTGGAGCCCTACTTTGTAAACATCAACTTGAACATAATCACACCCTTACACTTGTCTGGCGCTCGGTGGTGGTCTGGCAACAATCTGACCTTGATTTGTTTGTCTTGGTAAAGCAGTTATTTTTAAGACTTCATTTACGTTTTGGCCGACATGGATGAGTATCGAGTTTCTGTGACCTTCTGTGTCACCTCAAGTCTGTGAAAGCACAACATTGGTGCCATATGACTTTTACGGAGTCTTCAAAACCGCAGTTCTCCAAGAATAACTAATTCCTTGGCAATGGATTCTCCTTTCTCTCTTGTTCTCCTGGCGATCGTTTTACGTAAGTACTTCAAGCTGTTCAGAATTTTACTTCGTTTTGAGTGTGACGTGACTTAAACTTGCACCGTTCTCAGAGTATAAAAGTTCCTTCAGTCTGACATAATTTCCAATCTGCTGAGACCGGTTAGAAGCCATTCTTTGTCGCTCAACCGAGACCCGTTTCATTGTTGCGAGTAACCGCACACTTTGCGCTGCCTAGTTAAGCTAATGTTCTTGGTATTTTCGTGGGCAAACAAAGGATTTAGACACAACGACGCACTAATTTCGTTTCAATGCCCGGCTGTCTTTGAATATGAAGACAGAACAGAGAAACCAGTGTGTTGTCAGCTTCCTTTTTAAACCGAACTCAAGTGTCACTTCTCAGTCAAACCAAGGCGAGCATTTTCTCGAGTTCGGCTGGGGCATTTGTGATATGATGTAACTCGCCTCGTGATTGAACAAGTTGTATCCTCCTAGTCGTTCATAGCTTATGTGATAATTTGTGGTCTACAAATGTTTCAAAGGGATTCGAGACAGGAAACAACGCAGATTATTAGCTCATTTCCCCCAAAGTGGCTCACTTGCGTGCGATCGCCGAACGTATAAACAAATACAGCCTCTCAACAAAATAAAATTGGCAAGAATGAAGTACACTGAAAGTCACTGGTTAAAACATATTTTTTACTTTGGGGAATGTTTCCGCCATGCCATGAACAGTATCAAAAAATATCGATAATATTCACCCTTTCTTCGTGGATGTTTGAGGTTTGTAAGGCACTTTTAAAGGTTAAATGTAGTCATTCCTCTGTAATAGTCTAAAGACAGTCGAGACTCCACTTACTTTAAATTCTGTCAGACTTGACTCATGGTTTATTAAATTTACGTCAAAAAGTCAAAGAAATGTTTTAAACTGACGTTAATATCTCTAACCTTTTGTTAAAATAAGCCAAATAAACTTTAATAGGAATCACTCTGCCGTTTCTACAAAAAAACTTGATCTAGCGCCGGTGAACGGACAGAAATATTATTCTGTAGCATTGGCCGATCCAAGCTGCAAATTATTTTCATATGTTTTTCAATCTAACTCGTTTTAAAACAATAAAACAGGTTTACCAGTTGAAATCGTACTGTTTTGATGACATTCGTCGTGTAAGTAGAATCCAAATTGCTCTTTGTTCCAGTCAAATTTTGGCCTTTTTGGCGCCTAAACATTAGGTGGTGTCAACAGGAATCATTGAGCTATTTATCATCATATTCATCTCAAAGTTAAGTCGTTAAATGTTTTATTCTAATCCTGATGAAATTTTTGACTCAATAATGAATTAAATGGAGTGGTTATCTCATTATTGAGAGGCAAACTTGATGATGCTATTAATTAAATCGTGGACCTGTGCTAAGTGGCACTGTTATTAATCAATGATCCATCAAAATCTCCAAGCCGGCTTCAGGTTACGCGTTGGCTTAAGTCCAAGGGGTGGAGGGGTAGGGATCCAAACCCAGAAATTGTCTCTCTATTTTCCCGATCACACAGGATATGGTATTTCTTAAAACGAGAACGGTCTGGCTGAAGAATAAAATGGTCCTCAGGACCCTTTCATCGAAAGTTTCGGTAGGTCTACGGATCCGAACCAAATCTTAGGATCTTAAAGTAAGGAATGCTACAACGTTGTTGTTGTTGTTGTTTTGTTTTTGTCCTTTTTTTGGGGGGGGGGTAAACCTGTAACTACCAGCGCTTTTGAGAAACGGGGCCTTTGATCACCAAATTACTCGCTGACATCGCTGGGGAATAAAGGAGGGACTGGGGAGTTCAGATTCCCCCCCCCCCCTCTTCCAATCAAACCTTAGATTTTTTTACTTGTCTGAATCTGAAGTTCTTCAAACAACAGATTGCATAATACTCTTTAACTTTAAGCATTGAAGATTAACTTCCCTTGGATCTGGTGAAAAAAAGAAAAAAAGATAAGAGAAATTTGTTATTCTGAATAAAAGTTTGGAATGGTGAAAAATTGCTTTTCTTTTGCGGTGTGCTCATTTTGTGGTGTAAGTTTTTTCAAAACATTGAACTGGGGAATGACGACCTCTTTTATCATTCAGATAAAAATGTAACCACTTTAACTATAGAAATACACTCAAACTAACATTTACAAAAATTAGAATATCATCGATTTCTTTTTCATGATGTAATTTCCAAGCAAGAGGTAGTGAACTGAGCTCATGGTCTCTGGTTCCAAGTTCGTAATCTTACTAGGACTCTTTTTCTTAACAAATTTCTCTCATATTTTCAGTGAAGAAGAGTACTGAAGGCTGCTCGCCGAACCGCACAACGGACGAGAATGATAGAATTGAGATCAGTGAACAGAGAGGTGAGCTTTCGAGCCCAGGATATCCTGATCCCTTCATGGACGACATCCAATGCACTTGGTACATTTCCGTCAAGAAGAGACACTCTATCAATCTTGAATTTGAGTTCTTTGATCTGGGAGATTCCCCTCCGTGTTTAGCCAATCAGGAGGTTCCTTATTTAGAGGTGCGTGACGGAGTCCACCGTGACAGTAAGCGGCTCGGTTTGTTCTGTGGCCACGCAACACCTGAAAAGATCTCTACCACTAGCAACGAAATGTGGGTGAGATTTAAGGCAAACCCGTACAGATCTGTGAAGTTCAAAGCGAAATATATAGCTGTTAAAGGTAAGTCTAGTTTATACAGCAGGTGTTGTCCTAGAAGAGATGGGAATAAATTCCCATTCTTGACGCAAAGGGTAACTTAGTTCAGACCACAGTTGTAGTTTCAAAAGTGTGTTATAATTGAAGAGGTCATAAATGTCTTTGGGAAATGAAAGCGCTGTTTCAATTATGGATACTTCAAAGGTGGACCTCCACCTCTCCGGATGTTGTTATAAGAGCTTTGCTTGTGCTCCCTTCAGCATTACAGCATTACAAACGAAAGCTGCGTTGAATAACCATCAAAGGAATAAGCCATTTTACAATTGTGTACTTAATTGCCAAGCCTTTGATTTGGAGTGAGGCTAAAGGTGACCATGTCGTGATAGAGATCAGTATCTAATAAGCATGATAAAAAAGTAATTTACATCTGAAAAGCAACAAGGTTTGTATCATAACAAGGTCACCCTTAACCTCACTCCTGTTCAAAGGCTTGGCAACCAAGCACGCAGTAAAATGGACTATTATTACACTGCTGTCGGGCTCTTGACTGTCGTACGCGCTGGGATACTGTTCTGCGCATTGAAGGAGTAAAAACAAGAAACCATAAAAATTTCATCTTCGTCATGACAAATTTGTAATGCACTGGCGTTGCGAGTGATCGAAAACTGAAGATTCCAGCCCAGTAATACAACAAGTTAAATTTCATTACGGAGTCGTGCGCCCGGCAAAAGGTGCCCAACGCGCCTATGGAACTGTGCATATATAGTGAGACATGACAAAAATATCCTGAAAATTATGTCACTAAACGTGTTTTCGTTTTCCAATGATAAACTAAACCTCCTGGAAATCGTTTTTAAATTTGCTAAACATTCGACTATGAAAGTCGCCATTTTGAGATCCTGCTTCGCAGCCTGGCCACTTACCTTTGACGTCACACGGAGAGATAAAATTTGTATGGTTTCTGGAGTATAATTCACCTTTGAATCTTATTGTTAATGCTGCTTCGTGCTTTGATTAAGTTCCTAATACCCCCATAATATTGATTTCAGAGCCTTTTGTCACCATTTGCATGATTTGTAGTCGAAGAGGCCAGACGACTCGCTAAGTCAAGTCAAAGTTTTACAACGAGGAAACATTTCGTATTTACTGATTTATTTCTGTTTGTTTTTCTAACTCAGACTCTCCTCCTTTGATACTGGTCATCACAGGTGTGTCAACTATGCTTGGTTTGATGATGATTTTGTTAATATTAACTCTTTACCTTAAACGAAAACAAAGAAATTCGGACGAAGAAAATACTTTGACACCTGGCTGTGAAAACCAAGAAAACGAGCAGAACTGCACAGGTGGCACGGCTTCCTCATCCGGGGAACACATAGACCTTCAGTTCTCTCCTGTAATGGAGAATTCAGACACACGTAAGGAGTCATTATCAGAGCAGGAATTGCTCACATCGCAATGGACGTCGTGTGACAGAAACGAGAGGAAACAGTCGCAGTCACACGGCACTTTTTCGCGGGAAAATCTCACGCCTGTTGCGGAGTAAACGATAAAGCGGACCAATTAAAAATCACCAATAACAAATTACGGTCGGCTTTCCAATGCCACAAGTAGGTTAAAAAATTTAGGATTATATATCTTGCAAGCAATTAGTAATACGCTCAGTTAGTGGGTTCAGGAGCACAAATCTTTCCCATCCAAACAACGCTTAATTTCTTCTGGCTGGAGCGCAAAGAACACTCATAAAGACTTTCTTGATTATGGTTAATGCAAACGATCTCGTACAAAGGAATATCGTTCTTCGATGCAGATAACGATTGAGACATTTTAAAATCTGTCTGCACCAAAATACCGCGCGCTTATCTTGAATCAAACAGGAGGTGTGAACTGCCAAAACCAGTATTTGAAACTGAGGGAAAATTTTCCCCTCAAAATAACTCGCACTCATAAAAGGACTGGCTTACCCTGAAACGACAAATGAGTACATTTGTAGTTTGAATAACCTGAAATTGGTTGCATATTTTGTTGTAAATATTTTCTGTAAATATATATGATACGGGAGTCGCACTATCCAAAGCGGCTCGCAGATAGTTGCATATTATTATTCATTATAATAAAGCAAATTTTTCTCTCCCGATCCAGACAATGTAGTTTTAAAGAATCTCACTGAAAAAAATAAATGGATAGTTGCATGTTTTTAGCCGGCGCACTGAGCTGGCCGCGTGGGAGGGTAGCGGAGACATTAAATATATTAGTATGAATGCACGGAAATCCGTCAAAAGACGAAGCTGTCACGCGCTGGACGAAGTCGTCAAAACCGCATCAGATGTTTGTTCTACCTAAATTAAATTGCGCGATGGCTTAGCGTTTTGGTCGGGGAAAAGAGCGTTGGGTCCTCCTTAAAGAGGTCCTTAAAAAGATTATTGAACTTTTTACACAAGATAACATAGTCTATAGCGAGCTTTATCTGGAACTAAATATTCTTTGGCGCCTTTTGCATATTTTATATTTATAAACTATATCGCATTCTCTGCAAATGAGAGGTCCTCCCTTCCCCTCCCTCCTGGGGAGAGCTTTTAGAAGAAAGTTATTTACTACAATCGAGTCACTTTTCTTTTAACAATAGGGGTACAAAGCAACGCAAGTTTACTGGCTATGTTGTTATTTTGTAATGAACTAACAATAGAACTAAAGTGGCTTTAGTGATCTTAATAAGCGTCAAATATACGGAACACGAACAAAAAGATTATTCAAAATATGTAAAACACGCACCGAGTGCTTGAAAAATTGATGATGCGGAACGCGTTAATACTAAAGATGCGTGATTGATATTTAGAAGCTCCTGATTGAAACCGCGATCCTATCGTTGTTTGCGCAACGATGAAAACCAAAACAGTTGTAAATTTCCTGGCCTCTTTATGTGGTGAGTGCTTTATTATTATTACCTTGGACACCGTAGTGCTCTGCGTACAACACAGGATTGCTACTTGTTTGACCGTGGCCAAAGTGTAAACAATCACACAAGTCACAGTCTTAATATATCGACGTAAAGTACAGAATATAAATACCCTAATACCCAAGGCCTGTTCTAAAACTTTTAAAACTGGTTGAGCAAGAAGAGAAATCTTTACCGAAACTTTTCAGAATATGGGCCAGTTCCCTCGGCTAATACACAGAAGAAGCAGTCAACATTTGTAAAGATGCCGGCAAGCTTAATTGTTATTCACTCCAGTTAAAAGTAGTAGGTTGACAAAATTGATCTGAGCAATTTTCTCAGCTTCGTTCCAGATTTCGACTAGCAGATTGGCAATCCTTTTTCACCGACACATTCGATTTACGATTTCCCACTTTGAATTCATTAACGCTTTGCTATCGATAAGCAGTTTCTTCACCTATTGAATGAGTAATTTTGTAGTAATTTCTATAAGCAATTTAACTGCAATCGAGAGACTACAGTTATATCCACGTTTTATTAAGACCCAAAGAGGTTTTTCGGTTTCGTTCATGTCGCGGTTTAATCAGTTTAATATCTTCGAGTGTTGTCGTCGAGGTTCTCATAATATTTTTCTATCTAAAAAGCCATGGGGGTAATTGTACGCACTTCCGCGAAAACTTTGAAGTTGTGCAACACTTGGTAAAAATAAATATTTCGTGGAAGTGCTAAATTGACGTCATAAAATACTGTAAAACAAAAAGGGTTTTCAATTAAATTTTACCCTGAAATGTGCGACATTAACAAATTCATACTAATAGATAGCCAAATTCCGGCTTGAATATTCACTCGACTAATTTCACTTGTCTTTCCTTTCTATTGTTGTTTGGGCAAGGAAAGTACATCTGGATAAATGAGTATTTATTCTAATTTTGTAGTTGGGAAAGAGGCGAGGTGTTAAGTGGCGAAAGTTGGCGGACTTCTCCACTAAGTACCAGCAGAACCCTGACCGTCTAATTCACTGAATATGCAAATTATCATCCTTTCTTCATCGCCTTCATTACACATTACTGATAAGAATTTGATGTTTACCCCATGTTAAGATCGCCAAAAGTAATCTACCTGGCTATGCGAAAAATTAAACTTTGGAGGCCGCCATTTTGAAATCAGCTGCTTGATGTAAAAGAGAAAAAGAACAAACAAATATTTATAATCTTGATCAGACATGCCTTTTTGCAAAAGGCTGACAATAGTTCGAAAAATTTCTCTTTAGACGGAAGAAAGAGGATCGAGACTATTTCGTCACGGATAAGTAGCCAGGCCGTTTAGCAAGATTCAATATGGCGGCGTCTGTCAACGAAATTCAGGCGCTTTTGAAGGCAAATTTCGAAAGGTTGGATGCTCTCTGAGAGCTAAAACCGCAGTCAGTGTCATAACTTCGAACATCGCTTTTGGATATAAAAAATAAAACGGTTTCAGCAGCATTTTATATACTTTCAACTTGAATCTAAACTCGTATTGGCCATACTAACCTACTGAGCTACTCTCTAAAATAACGAGTAAGAATTTTGTTTTGCACTAGAAATGGAATGTGTTTATTATTTTTTCACACAGCTTTCATTGTAATCTTGCAAACAACAAGTTCTTCAGGTAAGTGCAGGTTTATGAACTACCATAAAGTTGTCTTTTTCAAAGCCGTTTCTTATCAATTATGTACAGCACCTTGAGTATCTGATAATGCATTTCCGTTTTCCATCTCTAGCACAACGAAAGAGTTGCAGCCGTTTTAAGAGCGATATCACATTCAACGCAAATGGCTCATCAATGATCTTCCAAAGCCCCTCTTATCCGAGCCGATACATTGTGAATCTCAACTGCACCTACCTGTTTAAGGCCCCAGAGGGCTATAGGATTGAGTTGTCCTTCGATTCCTTTCAATTAGAAGGTGCATTTCCGCAATGTGGGAGTGATTACATTGCTGTCAGAGACGGATCAAGCGGGGAGAGTCCGTTGATCGGCAAGTTCTGTGGATCAAACAAGCCAGCTCCAATTATTTCTTCTGAAAATTCACTCTACTTTTTCTTCGTTTCCAATGAAAAAGATCCCTTTGATGGATTCAGTGGATCTTACAGAGTTATTGATGAAGGTACTTCTAAATAGAATAATTTTCAATTGAACGTCGAAAGTAATCAAGTATTGTTTTGGTTTGCGTTACTTCGCACTGTGATTTGTCCAGAAAACTCGCGCCACTTTCTCGACCAATCAGATACAAATTTTAGACCAATCACGACTTGGTCGCCCGCGTTTCCCAGCGCTTTAAGCAATTTGGTTGTTTTCACTCAACGTTCCCATTAGTACTTTTTTTTTTTGTGACACCTAGTCGAACAGCACTTTATATTAAAGTGCCAGGTGATTTGTCTCTGCATAAAATATGTTCGTGTGGTGTAAAATTAACATATTTGATTCATCATATGCGCACATTAACGCTGCACAAGTTACCGAGTGATAAGTGCGCATGGTGATAACTCGAAAACCTGGGTTGTTGAATAATCGCTTTCTTAGAATCGAAAAGTAACTTTCTCACTGATCTGAGTAGAAAGAAAAAACCAAACAAGCCAATAAAAAAAGTCAAAACAGGAAAACAAAACAAACGAATGACGAAATTGAAAGAATAATTAAGTCATTGGTGCGCACAACGCAATCGCCAGAAATTCGTAAATATTAATGCTGACTGTATAAGTGATCATCGATTTTACATTATCTCGAAGGTTCCATGGCTCCTGAGGGACTTTATGGACTTCTCGATTTCATTTAAAATTTTCTCCTCGAGGGAACAAACAGTTAGGGTTAAAGTGCAACCCTGGCTTTGAGTCGAAAACCTTTTTCATACTTTGAAGTTTTTAGTTCTTCTCTACTCTTCACAGAAAATTCAAACGCCTTTAATCCTTTACACCCTAACATCAGAATGCATATTCTCCAAACTGTTCTTCATAAATTTCCTGAGGTGCTGCTAACAAGGAGAATTTGGTTAACAACAACAGCTTCTTTAGTTGTTGATAATTGCCTTTATTCCCAGGCTTTCATGTTTGATTCAGGGGTGGTAATGTGAGGAGAATTTGGATATAAGTCTCTCTTAGGGTTAACTAGAGGCTTGAATATCTCTCCTAGTTGAGATCGCCAAATGCACCCAAGGAAAAACAATTCCCCCACTTTTCACACGGGGGTACCTCACTTCCCCGACGTTTCCAGGAAAGTATCCGCCAAACAGAGAATGTTCGTGGACTCTCCAGGCCCCAGCCGGCCACTTCATGACATTGGTCTTCCGTGTGTTTCAAACCCAGTGCCCCGACGATAAAGTTGTCATTCGAGATGGTGATCAAAATGGCCAGCTGTTAGGTCAGTTTTGTGGTGAGCGTGAACTACCAGTCTTCCGCGGTCGAAAATTGTGGGTGTCATTCAAATCTGATGGATCATTTGCCTCAGCAGAAAATGGCTTCAATGCTACTTTCGAATCACTACCTTGTAAGTATTCCAATCGTCAGTGAGGGGCGACGAAACTTTCATAATCTGAATAAAGGGGGTAAGTTTTTAACATAAAACTGCGGTGCTGCGTCGATGAGGTATTATAAGATAATTTGGTTCCATCAACTGAGTTGATAGTGTAAATCAGCCACCACAAAGAGTTTCTTGAGCTGACATTTCAAGCGTTAGCCTCGCGTCATTTGCTCTGACAAAGGGTGAACGCTCGGGACAGGAATTTAGGGCAAATATCAACGATTTAAAAAGCAGTTTCCTGAAGATATTTGAAGAGAAACGAGCTTTGATGTTTTATTGATAAGAAATTAAAATTTTCAGGAGCCAACGAAAACAAGCTTCTGCATCCTATACCATTAACTTTTGATTCTGTCTTAACGTATCTTTTATGTCGTGGTGTTATTATGACTACCTTGATTTTTTTTCTCAACGAAAACTTTCCAATCCATGTAGGTCTCTTTATTTTTAAACAATTCCTTGTAGTCGAACGACTTTATTAAAGGTAATTATTTTGCCTGTATTCATTTCTTCCTCGCGGCTCTGTTAACGCGAGTTCAAATCCCTTTATCGGAAATGTTTCACCATAAATGTTTTCACCTTAGAGAAAAGATTGAGTATGTAGTCTGATCGGTCGAGCGCAGAGAAGTCCTGATTGGGACTTTTATTGGTGATTGTGACTCACGTTTCGACAACCTAAGCGAAATTCTTCATCAGAGCCTCTGTTTTACGGTGAATATATCAACTGTTGAAATTTGACAACAGTCAACAGTCGCCTTCAAACTGCTCTCGCTCGAATGACAGGGTGTGTGTGCCTTTTTCGCAGTCCTGATCGATTTTTTCAGTTTAGGAAGTGGTCAATTTTTTCGCCCGGGGGGGGAGGGAGTTGGAGAATTTTGGATGTAATACGATAAAATTTACCTTATTCCCCCCTCCCCTCCCCTCCCCTCCCCCAAGACTCTATAGATATTCTTATGATTCCCCCGGTCAATTTTCTATAGTCCTCCATTTGGACTCTGTTGACGACGACTGATCTCCCCTCCGTTCCCCCCCTGAAAACCATGTGATTCTCCCCAAAATCCTCCACCCTCCCCTCCCCTCCCCATGGCTAAATCATAACTGGTCCTTAATTGAGTTATTTTTTTGATGTTTTGCAGTTAAAGGCCAGATTACCGACCACTGTACAGGAGGAAAAAACCAAATTATCAACGCTTCTGTTCCAGGTACCATTTCTTCCCCGTGGATACCCGGACTGTATCCTAACAACATGGACTGCACTTGGAAACTTCAGGCCCCTGAAGGAAAGAGAGTGAATCTGAAATTTGATAAATTTGATTTGGCAAAACCTTGCGGCGCAGACTTTGTTGAAGTTAATGACGTCACTGCAGACGATACCCGCTCAAGGGGTAAATACTGTGGAAATTTTCCGGACACCACGTCGGCCGGTGAAGAAGTTGACGTGCGGTTTGTTTCCAATTCTCAAGGACGCGAGAAAGGATTTGTCATAAAATATGAGGCTGTTAATAGAGGTAAGAATTTAGAGATCAACGAAGGTATTTATTTGTGTAAAACTCTCCGGCGGTGAGTACAAGAGCGAAATAAACTAAGGAAGGTTAGGTACGTACTCGGGCCGAGTGGCCCATCCAGCCAAGGCTTGTCCAGGTTTCCATGGCATGAAGCGCTGGACTAGGAGTATCACCACTCCCCCCTGGATGGGATGCTTGTCTAACGCAAGGTTACTCTCCCCCCCCCAACGCATTTCATTAGGCTTCCCTTTACCCGTTAACTCTTTAACTCCCAAGATCTCATTAGTAATTCTCCTTACTGTCTGCCATATAGTTCTTGTGATGTTAGTTTAGAGAATTTGGTATTGGATTAACCAAAAATCCCCTAGTTCATATTTTTCTATATTCTCATTACTAGTCTGCTTGATATTGTGTTTATATTGTAAGGAGAAATTCTGTCTTGGTCACTCATGGGAGCTAAAGGGTTAATACGCCCGGGTGGGGAGAGGCACGGTAAGAATGAAGTGTCTTGCCTAAAAACACAACAAACTGAGCCGGCCAGCGCACAAATAATTTGGCCAGCGGGTCTCCCACACAAGGGCGAGGTCGTGTTGTAATATGATTTTCATCTTAAAAGTGTCTCAACGTAGACGCCATCTTTCAAATTCGACATTTCTCGAATGAGTCAGATTGCAGAAAGCGCGAGGATCAGGAGTGTACTAAAGCAAGCGTCATGGTAATTTAGAATCATTAATTCTTGGTTTCTAAATGCAAGCTTGAGCTGTTAGAATCACGAGTTCGTTTCGTAAGATCGCTCGCCAAGCTAAGCCGTTTTTTACTGAACGGCCAGCTGAATCCAAAAGATTATCAGAATTAAAGTCTCCCCCCCCTCAGCTTAAGTTGAACGCAGCGATAAAATTATATATTAATATCATACTATAAGTTACAGAACCTTGTTTTTTCCGCTCGGATTTATGGCCTGCGCCCTTTACACCTGAGCTCTAATTTGTTGTTTCAAGTAAGTCTTTGTCTTGAAAGCCGCGACTTATGTGAATCAAGTTATGCTTCTGAGAGACCGAGCTCCATTTGGCGTTATTGAGTTCAAGATCGTTATGTTACTCGCATCAACGGCCGTCATATCCCTGGGTTCCCCTGTAATGATATAGCTCCATCAATAATCCCGACGGGTAAATCCCAACCTACGTAATTCTAAAATCTGCCTTTTTGCTTCAGGATTTCAATTGGCCTCTTCAATAATAGGATGCTTTGGACTCTACGCCTTCTCAGTTTTAACGCAAGTTTATTTTAGAATTTGATGAATAAGGACCAACATCGATGTTAAAATGCTTCAATGACGTCTTCACCGGTGTTATATCTATAAACACAACCTTCTTCTCAATATTATCTCTCAATTGGCTTCTGCGGTATCAAGTTGTTCTCCTACAAAACTTTTTGTTGTTTAGTAAAGAACTAAGGGTCTCCTTACAGTAAGAGAAGGCAGACTAATAAAATTACTAAAAACCGGTCGTTATTTAGCGCTTGTGTGTGTGTGTGTGCGGTGGCGGCGGAGGATTTTGTTGTGTCTCGGTAAACTTTATGTGATATCCCCCTAAGGCTATGTGATATTTTCATTTTCATTGACAGTTAATTTGCAGTCAGTTTTCTACAGAACCCTCCCCCCACCCCCCTATCATAAGCTCAAGTTGTTTACGAACTTGTCGCCTGTAAACGAGATTAAGATAAATGAGCAAACTTATATTTCAAATAACATTACAAAAAGAGGAAAAGCCATTTTAAAGTTTGCAATTTATAAAGTTGTAACAATTAGACATTGTACTTACCGTCTTTCAGCCGCCATTTTGCAAATGTTGCAAATTGCTAGTGTTGACTAGTGCCAGTCCATTCCGAAGTGACGTGAGCTCACGCGAAGCTAAAGTAGTATAGTTCACGCTATTTCACGTGAAAGGGAAAGCTGACGTTTGCCGTTTCACGCAGACGCGTCGCTAAATCTCTCTAATAGATCACCGTAGACGTCATAATATGGTAGGAACATCAGTGACATACTTAGCTGTGCCTTTTTAGCACTTTGTTGTTGTTGCACTTTTAAGATGTTGTTTTCATCGCATAGATCAACAATCAAAAATTTAATTTGAGATCATAGGGTTAGTTTATTCTTGTTAAGTATCGTGTGTTATTCCTACCTAAGTGATTCAAATTTGCAAGTAGCGAATCAGAAGTCATGTCTACTCTCCTGATATCACACAATCTCAAGTGAATCACTTGATATCACCCTTTGGAAGGAGATTTTTTCCTAAATAAATATCTCAAACTAATATTTGCTGGAGTTTTCTGGTGCAAAAAATAAGAATGTACCTTAAAAATGTGCAGACTAGGAGCCCAGTTACATGAGAGGTATTTTCGAGTTCTTTGTAAGTTGTTTTTTTTCTCTCTCACTACGGTGATTGAGAGCGGGAAGATTTCTGTTGTAACCAAGTTTTAGCGAGGATTTCTTCAGCATTTTCAAGTGTCTGCAAGGCTGTTGACGCCTTTGCAAGACATTAATATACAGCCCTTCGACAGTCACAATATGGCGACCAAATCAATTGACACATAGTGTTCTTGTGGCCTATGGATGAATGAAACAACCTCTAGAATCAGAGAAGCTTTACAGGAACATTGGCCCTCAGGTGAGAGAAGAATTAAACGCAAGGAAGTAAGGAAATAAGGGGAATTAAAATCCTTTCGAGAATATTGCGACCCCAATGGGAATGTCACAACTTCTTTGACGATAACAGTTGCAGCTATACTTTAGAAGATTCTTCCTGTAAAGGGACACCTTCTACCTCGTCGTCAAAAGTTCCTTGAACAACTCTATCTTCATTGCTCTTGCAGCAGCTGCCGTACTTTATGCAGGCTCCAGTGATTCCAAATACAGCTGCCAGTGCACCGACGCAAATTCCCACGATTTTTAAAATGGCTCCAGTTGACTCTGCATGGGGAGGAAAAAAGACAGAAATAATCAAAGTTTACTTTGTTCCTTGTACAAGTTAGCCAGGGTCGACAAACACCAAAGAGACAAGAATAAAACAAACGGGAACTAGTGTTACAGAATGGAGAAGATTGTGTCCCCTTTCAAAAGTGGAAATTAAGTTTGTTGTTTTAATGTTTATTTTAATCAGCAGTTACGTAAATTAACCAATGTTTCAAAAAGTAGCACAATAACTGACCCTCTATAGCTACTGTTGTTGATTGCCTTTCTGATGCTGCTCGCCAAGGTTTCAAAACCCTGTCCAGGTCTAATTGGGCATCCCCTCCCAGCTAAGTAATGATTTCTGAGAGGAACGCCCAATGTCGCATCAAAACATCGCATTGACACCTACAAACATTTGCACTCACTTTTTGTTTCAAAAGTTGCCTTGAAACCGGGATATTTCGTCTTTCCGCTGGACCTGAACGCCACGCGAAGCTCCCAGTCATCCGAAGTAATTGCTGAAGGTTTCTGTGATCCACAATACTTTCCTACCAAATCACTGGTGTCAAACTGGCCGTCTCGTACCTCCACATAATCTTCAGAACATTCGTCGGACTGAGACAGATTAAAGGAGTCGAAGGATAGCTTAATGTTGTTATCACTGTCCACGCGAATGATCCAAACACACTCGGCAGAGTCATCGTAAGCAAGAGGGTAGTTATAGCTGGCCAAACTTCCTGTTTCTGACGTAAAAGTGACGCGTTGGTTACTTGCAGTGCAAGCGAAAGGGGCTGGTACTGAAAAGAAGTGAAGAAATAACATTTATTACACAAATATTGATGAATATCAGAGTTAATCCTGTTTCACGGAAACTATATCTTTACCTCGCGCATTTAATGTACCATTCATATGAAATGATGAAATTGTAGATACGTTGGGGAGTAAATAATCATTACCTTGATTCACAGCCTCGAATTCAGCATAGAAGCTCGCTCCAATACGATTTTGAACAGCAACGAACTGAACCCAAAGATGACGAGAGCTGGAAAACACTGAGCTCTCAAAGGATATGCTGCAAAAAGATTTAAGTAAATCACTCCTTGAACTTCGGCCGTCGCGAATAGTGAGGATGGACTCCGAACAATCGCGAAAATCGAAAGACTTTATTCTCAGCTTCACAAAATGTCTCTCAGGAACTGTTATTATCCAGGTGCACGTAATGCTGTCGATAAATTTACGCGGATAAACAGGCGAAAAGATAATTCCTTTTTCTCCAGTCAGAGGAATCACGTTGTCTTGAAAGGGGTTCTTGCATGGTCCCATTGCGGCTTAGAAAAAAGTAAAAAGAGAAGAGAAAAGAAATATATATATTTAACAAAGGGAATGACAGTTGAAACTATCTGTCTTATCGTTTCGTCATCATCAAGTTCAAAATAAATAAAAGAACAGCGACTCAGCACCTTAAATTTTTCCATACTTACGATCAGGAAGTATTTGGTAACTTGCATGGAATCCTGGGTATTTTCCGGAGCTGTCGCTCACAAAGTCCACGTACATATTTGAGTCATTCACCAGAATGGCACCAGGGAGCGAGGAGCCACAGAATTTTCCAACCAGAGTCCTCCAAAAGTAAGATCCTTGCTCGATCTTCACGTAATCGCTTTCACAATCTTCAGATTGTTGTAAGTCAAAGAATTGAAACGTCAAACGGATCACGTGACCAGCCTGCCGTTCAATTTTCCACAAGCACTTGACGTCGTTGGAATAAGGCAGCGGATAATTGTAGCTGGCGAATTCGCCAGCGAAGTCTTTCATTTCAATACGTCTTGATTCATATCTAGTTATCTGACTGGAGTAATTAGCTGGGATTGCTTGAATGGACTGATATGTGGCGAAAAAACCACCAGAATACTTTTTGGAAGAGAGTGATGTATACTCCACCTTTAATTTGTTGCCTCGCGAGTATACTACGTCGGAGTATTTTGTGCAAAACTTTCCTAGGGAAATCCGAGTGGAATTTGTCTCATCAAAGACTTTTATAAAGTTCTGAGCGCATATTCCCTTAATATTCCGAAATGTAAGCTTTATGAACTCGCCGGAGTTCACTATGACGTTCCAAGTACAAGTTCCTTGTTCCACAATGAAAGGATACCCCGGCGTTGAGAAGCTTCGCCCTTCACCAGTCATATTCACCACTGAGTTCTTTCCCAAAACGCAGGCTCCCGATGTCACTGAAAAAGGTAACCATGCTTTCTTTCTAAGTCAGATAATCTTTAAACTCCTATTAGTGACCAAGACATAATTTCTCCTTAAAATATCGATACACTACCAAATAGGAAAGTGATGATAATAACAAGAAATATAAACTAGGGGTTTATTAATAGTTGATTCAATACCAAATTCTCAGAACTAACATTATGAGAATTGTACGGCAGAGAGTAAAGAGAATTACCGATGAGATCTTGGGAAGCAAAGGGTTAAAAAAACTACAAGGTCTCTCTGATTGGTGGGCCTCTTTACTGATGGAACAACTCAATGAAAGACTCATTTCCTGCTTGACTGACTGACTTTCTAACTTATTCATTAAGACTTTGATTCATTACGACTAATTGGGAAGACGACTGAGCGACTAACGAGCTGACTGAAATGGCTGATTAACAGACTTACCGATTGGCCTAATTTAATTCAATAGCCGACGAACAGACTGATAAACCGATTCGGACGGTATGTATAGCCAACAGACTGACTGACTAACTGACTGACAGACTGGCAGATTAGCAAACTGATTAACTAACTCACTAATTGACTGACCCACTGTTTGGCTGGCTGACTAACTCACTGACAGGCTATCAGACTGACTGATTGGCTGACTGTCAGACTGACCCATTGACCTGCATGAAGAGCCAGAGTGATTGGATACCATAGTATGTATTTAACTCGGTAGCTGATTGACTGAAAGACTGACAACATGATCACCAATACGATTTTCTTACAAACAAACAGACAGACATATGGACTAAGATTGACTGACGGACAGACTAACGGACACGTAGAATAACAGACTGACCGACTCACCCGCAGGCACTGCAGTGTAGTCTGCAATGAATCCTGGACCACTCTTTTGATCTGAACGAGCTGTCACCTTTATACTAAGCTCGCGTCCAGTTGAATAGAATTTAAACGATGGTTCTGTACCAGAAAGTAAAATAGAAATTGGGAGTAACCCATTTATTCTATCAGCGATTTCAGCGTAATCGTACTGTCCAAGCCGATAAGACGTGAATTCTATTCGCACTACTTTATCAGTGGGTACGATTATCTTCCAGGAACATTCGTTGATCAGGGAGTTATTATAACCACTTGGATACCCGGGAGTTTCGATTGTTCCTGAAGAATCCTCGAAGAAGATATTCATGTTCTCGTCGTAGGAGTTTCCAAAAGAACAGGTGGTTACTATGGAAAAAATAATCAAATAAAACAAAAAAAAAACAGTCATCAAATGATTAATCACACAGCTAGTCAGCCATTAAGTCATTTAGTTGGTCAGTTAGACAATCAGCAAGGTCGGTCATAATTCAGATTATCACAAAAATGGAGGTCATTGATGATCCTGCAAGATCTACAATGAGTGGCAAAGGAGGTTGGAACAACCCTCCACTCAACATAATAAACAGAAATCTTGCAATTCATCTCTAGTAAGTTACTTTCAAGTCTCCCCTTACCCTCTCCCCCCATACAATATTTCCTGAAATGTGTGACTATTTTGTTAGCACCAAGCAACATTGAAAGGGGGGAGGGGGGAGGGGGGGAAGGGAGAAATAACAAAAGTCAAAGGGAAAATTCAATAATTAGAAGAACGTGCCAAGACTTTTACGACCCACTAGAGTTTTGTGGTTCAACTCAAACTGCCACCTTCTTCCCTTCATACTCCGCCAAAGCTTTACCTTTCCTTACTGCGGAGTAACGAACAAGTATCCCCTTCTCTTGGTTTAGAAACGTTCGTGGCCTCTGATCGCTCTTGAAGACTACATAGACAGATTGAAACTTCGAGTAAAGCTCATTCTTTGGAATATCAATGGGAATGAGTTGGGCGCCATCTACATCGAAAATTTCCACACTGTCACGAAGATCCAGCTGTTGTGTTATCAAAAGCATAACCACGTGGTTCTGAGGAGCTGTGATGTGCCATCCACAAGTTGTATTTAAGGGATAGCCATGAGGGTAGTAAGGGCTTGTGAAGTTACGTTCAGTTGGCGACAGTGGAGCATCCAAGGTACTGTTTATAGAACATGACTCTAAAAAGGGAACACAATTTAATGTCACGGTTAACAATAGAAACTTCCAACTAAATGTCGCAAAAAAATTCGGCATTGCACTGAATTTGCCTTATCTTTCATTGTAATTGGTTTGACCAAAATAAAACCATTCGCAACTGGCTCGCTGACGTTTTTCGCACATCAGGTGTTGGTCCTTTTTTTTAATTTGAGTTGTTACTGGCTATTTGAGAAATTTCCCATTTTACGATTTCCTGATTTGTCGTCGTTTTACCACATTAAAGGAAATCGATCTCTAAACTCACAGGGGGATTTAACCCTTATCCGCACAAATTCAAAGCAAATAGCTACCACCTTCCATGAGAAAGACGCTGTATAGTTTCCTTGCACCTCACCTTACAATTTCTCCGAGGAATTTTCACTTCGATTCCCTCAATTTCTTCTACCAGTGGTTTAACGACCTTCATAGTTACTTCCCCCTTTGTAAGAGTCTATCTTGGGTGGTGGCCTCAGCTTCAGCCCTGCCCTGCCCTGCCCCGCCCTGCCCTGCCCTGCCCTGCCCTGCCACCTTACCCCTTGGAAGGGGGGGAGGGGGTAGCAAAGAGTATCATAAACAATGATTCAGTTGAGAGATTTTTGAGGAGGACCAATTTCACTAGCGATGACAGGTATACTTAAGGTCTTAGATAGGTGTTTGCCAGTGGGATTACGAGATCCTTCTTGGCCTACCCTCAGTTGTATTTTACAACTCTTTCTAGATGTGATGCTGTAAAACTATCGTTGTCTCCCATACCTCTATAACTACCGCAAGCCATCTTACGCAAGAACTGCTCAGAGAGGTGTGGTTTTTTAAGTGGTAAGCTCAAGCATTATGAGGCACTGGGCTCGAGAGCAAACTAGCGCCCTAAAAAGGGGCATATACTCTAATAATATACATTAGAGTACCCTTCCTCTAGGTTAAAGTTTACCTTGCTTAGCAAAGGTGTCATATTTCAAAATCAATCCCGTAGACTTTTCCTCTGCTCCTGTCTTTACCTCCAGTAACACGTGACGATCAGAAGAGAAAAAATACCCTGAGAAATCCTTTTTCCCGCTACAGTCATGTTCAAACATAACGTAACTGCCAACACCGCTTCCATCGTAGATCTTCACATAATTACCACTGCAGGGTAACTTTCGTCTGTTAACATAGACGTTGAGTGATATTCTGAACACACTTCCTATGGGAGCTGTTAGAATCCAGTTGCATACCGCATTTTTCGGAAAATATCCAGGGGAAATTGTGCCATTTGAACTCGTTAACGTGACTGTCGACTGCTGGTTTTCCCTACAAGCTAAAAAATAAAAAAACGAAGGGTTAGGAAGATGGAAGAGAACATGGGCTAGGATTATAAGGATTAATAGGATTAATAGATGCATGGGCTACAACAGATGGTTACAAGAAAAGGATAGATGGAAACGTTGTTTAACTACAGTAACTTTGATCAAAAATTGCCAGCGCACTTTAATTTTTTTTCTCAGCTTCGCTTCTGCCGAGAGATAACTGAAAATTATCAACCCCTGACTCTACTCCATAAGCCTGTCAAAAGGGGAAATGATACGCAGCACCACTATTTTGACTCAATACCAGTGGATAGGTTTCCGAAAAGGGAATGACACCATGGTCTGTTATCTATGAGTATTCTAATACAGGGTTTACAAAAAGTCTTAACACTCACTTAGCTAGTTATATTAGTCATCATAAGTAAGCATACTAGTCATACTGCAAACTTCGTCTCAAAACTTTGCAGAAATTTGTGATGACAAGCTTATCTTTATACCATAAGGAGATCAGGATCACCAAATTTCTTGGCTATCAGAGTGTTATTTCAACATGTTTTCAGGGACTGCGCGGCGTTTGAAACATTTGGTGAGGGGATGGGGGATGGGGAGCTGGGGAATCGCACTCCAATCCACAGCAAGCACCAATTCAAACATCCCAAATGTACCCTGCACAGTTTGCTGGCAAAGGCAAACCTCTTTGCAATCTTAACAGCGAGTAGTGTGACCAAAATCGACTTGTTTCAATTCATCAGGGGGTAGTTCTTCAATAAAAAGTCCTTCAATATTGTTTTTCGACGAGCGCGGCCTTAGTGAGAAGATTTGTCAAATGTAGAGAACATTTGAGGAAAACACAAGGCAAAGTACCAATGGTCTGTAGCTTTCTTTTAAATTCTTGTATTCTTCGTCAGCTAATCTAACAAGAATGACTAGTGAAGCTCTTTTTTGTGTATGGTAAGCATGAGTGGATATGTTGGCTTACTGAACTTGGAGGATGAAACATATTCAACAGAAAATTAACCTTCACAATTTTAGGACACTCTCCCAAATGACAACATGTAATTCATCCTTTCAATTAAACAATCCATATTTGAACGAGAACTTTAAGAGAAAGGTCAATCGCAAAACCTAAACATAGAGATTACTGCTCGAAAAGTAAACAAGCCATGAAAACATCCAACAGCCTGACAACAACTATTCACTTGACTAGTGATGACTTCCGCTCAGGTTGTCGAAACGTCAGTCACCACTACCAACAACAGTCCTTCTCAAGGCTGACCTCACCTAGACGATCAGACTACACTATCACGATTGCGATATCATTCACATCGAAACGTGGGTTGGTGGGGGACGGGTCTGCCGAAACCCCGCCTGCCAAAATTTTCGTTTTGATAAGTTAGAACCTCTTACCCTCATTCACCGCCGTCTATGGGAGTTTAAACACCGGGTGATATACCATGTTGACTGTTATTCTGTTGACGCATTTTAAGCCAAATCAGCTATAAATTCTTTTAAGAGTTTTCAGTTGGGTTCGTGTTCTTACCGAGGTCAGTTGGCCAGCATGCCCAAACATGCCTACCGATAGGGAATGTATATAAGCATGTACTTTAGAGTTTACTTAGTAGTCAGTGAGAATCAAAGAGCGAGAGACAGGAAAGAGCTTTAGAGTCAGACGACAAAAGTAAGCCAGAGTGAAGTAAATTTGATGTATTTGACAACCGAGAGATTCAAGAAGACTAAAAAATTACGGTTCCAGAGTCCTATATGATTTCGTAAAAGCACGTTGCGGTCTGCAGCTATTTTCCCTGCCATTGCGACCCAACAAATTAAAACACCTATCGGTTTACGGAATAAGTCTATATGCTGTAGACAATCATGATTGTTTTGGGAAACTTCCGTTTGAAAACTGGAAAGTGAAACGGATAAATGTGGTCACAAATTAAAAATAGAGATTTTAAAAAAGTAGCTATTAGATATCGCACCAACCTCTGTTACGAGACGAATTCCCAATAATAGCGAGAAACAAGAAAATTTTGTTGGATAATCAACAAGTTCAAAAAGATCATGTAATCATTTTCCGAGCCAGTGAGCAAGCTCCTTTAAGCCAATTACCGCACATGTTAACCATGAAAGTTTCTCACGAATATGTGAACTAATCTTGTTATATTTAATAAGGATGGTTTTCTACTGCTTTTCTCAAGCCGTTTTCACATTTTAAATAGTCTCTTCAGAAACATCATCTTCAGTGGTATATTTTCCACTTCTAAGATACCTTAAATTTTTCACATCTCCTAATTGCGTTTCAATTGGCTTTTTACTTGATGACTTTCGTGTTTCATGAACGCGGTTGATGTCCAATGGAGCCAATCTTGCCGGGGAGGAGACCTTTCTTGAAGGTTCCACAAAGTTTTTAAAGGAAGTTTTGTTTGCAGCACTTCCAAACGGTTGTCCTAATTGTTTCTCAGTTCTCCTTTTGGCCGGTAAGTTCGACGATGAGTCTAAAGCTGTCCAACTTCTCGAGAGAGTTGTGTTAGCGTTAATCCGACTCTCGCCTAGCTTTTCATTATACAAGTTCTCACAAGACTTTTGTCTTCCCGTCGTCTTATCGCGAGGTGATTCCAGTTCGTTTAAGCTCAGCGCCTCCGACAAATCCGAGAACGACTTCGACCTCCTCCTTCTGTCGAGTAAAACTGGCAATGTCACGGTACTACGGTTCCCTATGTGTGGAGAATCCGTCGTTGTTAAGAACTTAGGCTTGGGCAACTCACTTTCATCCGTAGAAACTTTGATCGCTGGAAGTTTGGTTTTCATGAATCGAAGAAATCGTGCTTGCTCAGCATTCAGGTTACAGCACTTGTTTTTATACTCGCTTTCTAGTAATCCATAAGTTGATTTCAAACACTCCAACTGGCCTCGGTTCGTCGCAAGAGCTCTTTTGGCCGTATCGGTCAAATCAGATTGTTGACGCCTTAACTCCATTAGCAGGTACGAAAACCCAGTATAATGATTATAATCCCAACATTCGCTCACGACACAGAAAGTTTCGTAACAAAGCGCAGTTACATGAAATTGTTCGCAATTGTTACGCACGGTCAATCATTGCGTGATCGATAACAAGATTAATCAAGGTCTACTGACCAAACGTTAAACTTCAATGGGAATACGTCGAACGTACGGATTGAGGCACGTAGCTAGAGAAATTTACACCAGCAATTTACAGTTTTCAAATGCTTTTCCGTTATAATCGTCTGGTCGTCTCTTTGATTTATTTGGAGCATGAAAAGTGGCGTAGTCTAGGCGCCCACCGGAAAATGACGGCGACTACTAGCCCTGCTTTTTTTCCTTATTTTTAATCTAAACGTCTGTTTTCTATTTGCTTTGCTTTGTCTATGTGTCAGGTCGAAAATTTGGCAGCAATTCGTTGTTGCGAACCTGCTGACTTACAAAAAGATCAGGCTTAAAAACGACATACTCGTACCCTCCTCATGCCCTTCTACTATTGGTATATAGACATTTTCCGGGTCGATCTAACACCATTTGGCAAGCGATTCGTTATTTTTAAGGCGCTGAGTGTTTTTTCCTTTTTTTCCGATGAGGGACTCGAGCCTTCGACCTCCCACACGGAAGTCCGTCGCTCTCCCAATTGAGGTAATCTATGTGCGGTTACACAAAACAAACCGCTGTCATCGTCTCTTTGATAACAAAAGGGGAGGGGAGGGGAGGTGAGGGAAGTTGCAATTGGAAGAAACAGGGGTGATTGATGATGCATTCAAGAAGAGACTTAATACACAAATACACAAAATAAATTGGATTGATACCAATCTATTGAAAAAAAAGAAGAAAAAAACTTGAGAAGGCAGATAGAATTCCCAATTATGGACAGAAGGGATTAGAGACAAAGTATCAGAGGTCTAATACTTAAAAAGAAGACTAGTAAAAAGGTTCAATGAAATGAATGACTGCAAAGTAAAGTCTTGGTTTTGTAAAACAAAAACAAAAAAAAAAAACCAACATATAAAACAGAGGCTTAAACAGAAATCTGCTGATGTCAAGCAAGGGTTTGAAAGCAAATATATGATTATCATATAAATCATCAAATCTCTCAGTTTGTATGCACAGACTACTAAATTCGATATTTTGTTTCAATTGCAATCTTTGCCCTCTATTTGAACCCAAAGATGTAATAAATATCTTACTAACTTTGTTTTTTCAGTGTTTATTGTGTGTGAGTGTAAAGGGACCTTGTTTTTTCTGCTCAGATTTACTGCCTGTGCCCTTCACAATTGAGACATAATTCTGCGCATAATTGCAGTCTGTCGTTATTACAATACTGACCTCACCTTGGTTATAACTTATTTTCATCAGGCCAGGGAAAAATTGTTCAATAAATTTTACTGTAATTTATATAAAGGTATATCCAATATATTGTCTACTTATTACAATATAACTCTATGTACCTTCAGTAGTCAATGCCTTTAACAGGACACACAAACCTGAAAGTCCAAAATAGAAGGGGTTAAATTTATATAACCTATTAAAAATTTGGTGTGTAGTATTGCTGAGTATTTTTAAAAATTGTGCCATATTTTGACGAGCCCATAGGGCTAGTCAAAATTCAAACAACGAGTAAAAATACTGAGCCGTACTATATATGCACCAAAATGTTTAATAAGTTATTTATTACCCAACTGCTTTATTTTATATGCATTTCTTAGAGGGCAGGAAAAGTAGAGCAGATATGTAGAATACTATAGCATGCACAGCTGGCTGGTTAAACAGGTTTTTTACATACATAATAACAAACTGTCCAAATATTGCATGATATTTGTATTTGATTCGTGGATTATTTGTATTCTACATAGTGCAGCTGGATAGTAACATTCACCTATTTATAACCACATCTTCCATAGCATGCTCAGCTGGCTGGTTAAAGAGGTTTTTTTACAATACATAATAACAAACTGTCCAAATATTGCATGATATTTGTATTTGATTCATGGAGTATTTGTATTCTACATAATGCAGCTGGATAGTAACATTCACCTATTTATAAACACATCTTCTGATGGAACACATTTTAAACATGAATATGAGTGTTGACCCTTTGACCCCGAGGGAAACTGGTATCTAATTTTCCCCTGTGATATCACTCCTGAATCACACTTTAAGGTAATGAGAATAAAGGAAATGATCACAAACTAAAGAAGTTGTTGATTGCTAAACCTCCTGCCAGCACCTTAAGAAATTTATAGAGAACAATATGGAGAATATGCATCCTGATGTTAGGTTGTATAGGGTTAAGGTAACTTCTTGTCCCAGAGTTAACCCTGTAACTCCCAGGGTTAAGGTAAATTCTTTTGTAATATCTCTTGTCCCAGAGTTAACCCTGTAAAATTTATCAAGAAGAAATTTGTCTTACTGATTCCAAATTCTTGTAACTTTTTTGTAAAATCTCTAGATTCTGGAGAAACTAACAATCAGATCTTGGGAGATAAAGGGTTCAGAAAAATTTAATAATAAATTTTTGAATTCAGGGGTTCAAACAAAACAGGCAATTTCCAAGACCTCTTTTAAACCCACATAACTTAAAAAGCTATGTACATTTCTATACCCTCAGACAGCCCAAACATTTCAAGATTTCAGCAAACCCTTCCTCAGTAGTTGAATGGATATAGGTGAAAGACAGCCCAAGCATTCCCTTTCCTCAATGGTGTAAAAGCTTCAATTTGGTTTCTTAAATTGCTCAGAATAAAAAAAAAACTGAGTGATTGACTGACACTAACCTGCAATGTTACTCTTCTGGTATAGATCATGTGCAAGTGATTTGACATACATATTTACCAAACATCAAGGGTTGACATCTAGTCATTTACTTACATATCATGCTATAAAATATGATGCCTTGCCACAGTTAAAACCTATAACCACCACCCCTCCCCTCCCCCCCCCATCTCAAACACCTATGGATTACAGATTATCAATGTTAAGTTCCTCAAAGAAGGCCCCCTTCCCCCCACCCAAAAACCTTTCAGTTTACCCAGTCAGTACTGATATTATATGGTTCATACATCAGCCTGCGTAAACATAGAAATACTTATTATTCGAGACCAGAAAGTTGCATCAGAGTTTTTGTTCAACCAAAACCATCAATTTATTAAAGATAAGATTGAAAATAAGCGTTTTCGTTTATTTTAAAATATTTTCAAATAAACACAACTGACTCTGAAGGCACCATTGGGAAGCCTACGTAGTTAATAGAACCTTAAAGAAATCTCTACGATCTAGTGTAAATAAAAACCGAAGTAGAAGTCTATAACACAAAATGGAATCGCCTTTGTTTCCGATATTGATTATGGTTGAGTAATTTTTCTCCAAAATTTTACCATTTCGGTGTACTGTAATTATAGCAAAGGCTTTCTTTAAAGAGGTTTCATTCGACAGTAGTAAAAACACTGATGGCCTCGTGACCCTTAGACCTTAGAGAAGAAAAAGGTACATGCCCTTCGATTCAGACAAAAACAAGAGACACGAGTTCAGATGCAAAGTACTTGCGTGATAAATAAATTCATTAAAGGAAAAATAACGTGTCAATAAAATGCTGCATGGCCACTTTTTTTCATCAAACTTTCTCTCATCATGTGAAGAAACCTTAATCGCTGAAGTACGTAAACAGCTTTCATACTAGCGTGTGGCGTTACAGCTGAATAATAGAACATCCCGTTACAGATCTGCCGCCTTGGACAAGACACAACGTGTTGACATTTTTTGCTTAACTTTAAAAATGCCTACTCACCACAGAAGAACAACATCCACTTAAACAACGATTGTAGCCCGGGATAATAAATAGAATTTTTCCGATAATTTAGCTTGCTGGTGAATTACTCCACTCTCATTTAGCTGAGGAAACCAACGTATAAGAAGAGATTGGGACGAGAGAAGGACGTGAGAGGTGTGTCACGCTTAACGGTCACGCGCGTTCTTCCTCGATCCAGCCCCTTCTCTTGGCTCCAGGGATGTAAAACAAGCCACTAATGGTCTAAAGATTATTGCATGGAGTGATAATTAACTTTACACAAATCTGGACTTTATGGTTCAGCCACAATGAGCTCTGGGTAGGTTTTTCGGTTTTTGGATCAAGGTTGGATCAAAGTTCGCGATTGTAGTAGCCACTTGCGTTCTCATCATAGTGCTTGCTTTTCCTATGGCGCATACTTTGCGCGCATACGCAATGGTCGCAGTTGCGCACGCGTTAATCACAACCCTACAAATTCAGCGAGTGTTCGCGACATTTTCAACTTTCAGTTGTTTCAGGATTAGTGCTTCGCCGTACTTCGTAAATCGGGCTCAACCGATTTTATTGCGAAGCAAAAAAATACCCACAGTTGATATTGCTGCTCCTAATTGTAAAGCATGAAACTGTACAACTTCTGGCTTCAGAAAACGGCACCAAAAAAACACTCACTAACCCCAATTAACATCCAATACTTATCGTTCAAGTGGAACAAGTCGAAGATGGCCATGGGAATAATAAAAACAAACGTTTCAGGGTGTTGTTTGTGTGACTCAACAAGGCATTTCACGTGTAAAGGGGATTGGAAGGCCGGGAGCAATCTATTTTTCGACCTCCATACTCTATGACTTGTCCTTAATAACAATATCACTCATAACCACACGTTTTGTGGACATCTTATGTGTAACTATAGCCAGCACCTCATTTAATATTACAGTTTAACTGTAGTTAAAAATGTCCAAGGTATCATCGTGTTATAAATTCAGTGATGTGTACAATTCAAAACAAATAAAGTTATATTACTTTTCTGAATATTTTTCAGAATATGGTCCACCAAAATTAACCCAGCTTCACTCTAGGTTTGGTATAGCAACCCCCTGTTGTAAGTTCATCTTTTTTTCTCCTTTTTTTTCTGAGCACCAGTAGGTGATTTCTAAAGTAGGAGAAATCTCTTCTTTCCACCAATGTTCTTGCAGTGCATGGAGAGCAAAAATCGACTTGGAGTTTATAATTGCTGCAAGAGAGTCACCCTTCGTTTGGTCTCAAAATCACGTGCAGCTTTAGTATTACTGAAGCAACACTGATCTAAGAATTCATGGTTCATATTAACAGGCTCATTTACAATTCAGTGGCGACATCTTCTTCGCGCAACGGAATAACTAAAATTTCGTCACCGCGTGTGGCTCGATATCGACGTGACCTGCAATATCTGCGGCATCCAATTCCAATCACTAAACAAAGAAGAACCCCACCGAGACAACCGGCCAGTATCACCAGAATGCCTTGAGTGGACACTGGGGAGAGTAAAAATAACAACAATAAATAACGGCTTCGTTCTAACAAAGAGGGAAAAAGGAAGGGGAAGGAGAAGGGGGATAAGGGGGGAGGGGCAGGGGAAAACTTTCAGGCCCCGAGAGAGAGATATGGGGAGAGTTACAACCACTATTTGCGCGTCAGGGTAATGGGCTATTGGCGCGTATAGAGCAAAATAAATATACGCTCGAGAATCCACCCTTTTGTTGAATGAAAGTTTAAAATCTCCGCCAGATTCTCTCATCCCCAAAAAGGGTCGAAGACCAACCAACGGCGTAGCTAGGTTATTTTTAAAAGGGTGGGGAGGGGGGAGGGTGGGGGGTTCAGGCAAATAACACTTAGATTCTCCACCCCAACGTTATATCTACATCTAGGTTTTGTTTCACCATACGAGATATTTTTCGTGCCGTGTAGATTCTACGGATTTGCGCTTTTTCGCCACCTGGATTATATAGGTTGAGCGTTTTGAAATAGTTATATATATAAATATATATCATCTCACAAAGTGGGGGGGGGAGGGAGGGGGTAAGGGGCGCACAGGTAACATTGGACCTCCCCCTGGCTACGTCTCCGCTGTCCGTAAAATACGCAAAACTCAAAACCCAAAGAATTTCCATGCCACACGCACACATGGTACTCAAACCGACCAACTGATTTGTAGCTCGCTTTAAATCCGGGATGTTTCGTCTTTCCAGTGGTAATAAACCGGACCCACATGGTGGAGTCATTTGAGTTTATAACTGGAGGCATCTGTGATCCACAGAATTTTCCAATCAGTGTCCCACCCAGAGACCAGTCGCCATCTCCGACCTCGACGACATCAGAATGCGAACACTCTGGATTGGTGTCTGTTAGATTAAACGAGTCGAACCACAGTTGGATTTTTCTCAGTTTCCCAGTCTTAATTGTCCAGGTACAGTCAACTGTATACGGCAGATCATACGGCAGAGGGTAGTTGTAGCTGGCTAGGGCACCAGTCTCCGACGACAGATCAAAGTCGCGCTTATCTGTCACGCAAGAATAGGGGGCTGGTACTGAAAATACGAAAATAAAAATTAAAAAATTTTCCTTTCTAAAAAGGTAACACTAAAGAGCAATATTAAAATCGAGTGTAGAAGTATCTGGTATTTCATTGTAATGCATTTCCTTTCATCACTGCAGTGCATTACTGTTCCAGAAAAGTGAAACACGCTCTCGACCAATTAGAAGCAAAATCAAAACTAACGTGACTTGGTTGCAAATGTTTTCCCGCGCTAGCGGCTGTATGCATGAATGCACATCAGTTCCTAACGTCTCTGTGTGTAATATTTACCTTCGCTCTGTTAAAGGTCAGTATTCACGACCCCTTATTTACAAGCCCCCTAAATATAAGATAATCTCGCTTTTAAGTACATCTTGCAAACCGAGTTCGCGGACCGAGTTTTTTTCAACACGGATGTACGGCCCCAACGCGGGGCGCGCAGGCTAACACGGAGCGAAAAAAAACGAGTTTCCGTAACTTACGGTGCAGACCGAGAAATAAGGGTAGCATGGATATTTGATATCTCTGGGTTCAAATATAGCAGGAATATTTCATATCAAACAAATTATTGAATTTAGCGGGCCGTAGAGTGAAATAAAACCCGCTACATTGACCAATCCTAGCGCATGCACTAACTGAGAATACAATAATAGTTAAGACGCCGCAAAGATGATTTTCCTTGCAAATACTGTCTCTTTCGTATTGGCAACTAACACAACATAGAGAAAAATTCAACAGCACTCAATAAATAAAGCCTTACATTGTTTCACTGCTTCAAAAACTGCTCTGAACCGAGGCGAAAACGACCAATCAGCCCTGGGAGATTTGAACCTAACCCAAAGTTGCCGACCGCTAGAGAAGAGCTCTCGTCCATAAAAGATATATTCACAGTATAACTTTAACAAATTGCTGGCTGAACTCCCTCCATCGCGAATTTCAAGGCTGGTGTTCCATTTCCCGCAGTCGCCATCAAACCTGAATAAAATCATGTTGAACCTGACAAAGTGTCTCTCAGGAACTGTGATTGTCCATGTGCACATCATGTCTCTGGGAGGGGTCCCCGGAGGAAATTTGGGCGAAAAAACTTCCCCTTTGCTGCCTGTCATTTGAATAACATTGTCAAATCCATCAAGTTTGCAGGGTCCCACACTCGCTGAAAAAAAGAACAGAAACGGTTTTTAATATTTATGTCAATAATAACATTAAAAGGGGATGTTAATCAGTGAATGGCACAGACATACTCAAAGAAAAAAACTCTGAGTACTGCAAATTAGGAGTCAAACCTACACCTTCTGATTACTACTTCGGACGCTCTATCATTGGACCATGGGAGATTCGTGGAAGGCTAGGCCCTTTAACTAGGTCTATAGTGACAAACTTCCTGCATGCTGCCAGGATAGGAATATTAATATCTGATGCTTATGCACAATCATGATGCAAATGAAGATGGATGAATGGAGTATGAAATAAGTTTGTCACACTGGCTATAGTTAAATGGCCTAGCCTGCAATGAGTCTCCTACAGCTCAGTGGGAAGAGCATGCAAAGTACTAATGGAAAGTCAGAGGACTGACTCCTAATGGGAGCACTCCGAGTTCTTTTTCTCTGATTATGTCTGTGTTATTTATATCTTCTTTCACTGGAACACCAGCCTTAAAAATTCACCATCTTTTTTTTACACCACCAACAATGGTATTGTTTTTAAAAAAAGTAATAGTATTGTTGATATACTGGTAACAAGAATTATGGTTAAAAAATAAAACCATTAGTCTGAGGCTCCATTCTTTATGAGGACTCAGAAGTTCTTCTTTGTCCACACCTCAACCAGACAAAGAAAGCCCTTTCTTAAGAAGCAGCAAGCATTGAAAACAGATATTGGCTACAGAATTCAAAGCAACTTTCCAAACAAACAGGTTTTCCTTATCTTCTGTAATGACAGCAACACATTCTTGTAAAGTGAATCAACCCATGAAGAAGACTTTCATGGTATTGAATGAAAGATTTGAAAATTTGGGATCAGAACTAGTGGAACATTGATGCCATTTCCTTGCATTTTGCCACCTATATTCAGTTACGTGATTAATGGTGCAGAAGAGAAAATATTTGACCAATTAAAATGAGGGATATCTTGTATATAATGAGCACTTACGGTCAGGAAATGTTATGAAGCTTGCATGGAAGCCTCGGTACATTCCTGCTCTGTCTGTCTCAAAATTTATGTACATTGTTGAGTATTTTGATCGAATAACTCCTGGTAATGTTGAACCACAGAATGTGCCAAGAACAGTGTTACCCGGATTATCAATATAGAGTGTGCCTTCCACAACCTTCACAAAATCTTTTTTACAATTTTGAGAAGGCTCCAAGTTGAATGAGTTAAAAGTTAACTGAATGAGATATCCAGGGGGGGCTGTTATTGTCCAGGTACACTTAGCATCGTTAGGGTAGAGATTGGGAAAGCCATAACTTGCAAATTCACCAGAACTTCTACTCAGCTCTATTTCGTCATCATTGAGACAAGAATCTCCACCAGGAATGGTGCTGACAGCCTCAAAGGTGGCAACAAATCCACCTTTCTTGAATAGTGCAGAGATAAGTAGATTGTGTCCTGTTGAGTATACCACCTGATCTCTTCTGTATGGATTATCACAGAACTTTTCTAAGAATGTCTGTTTGCCATTTGTCACTTCAGAAACATTCGCATAGTTCTTCTCACATCCAGAGGCTCTGAAACTCCAAAATGTCAGCTTGATAAACTTTCCACCAGAAACTGTGATGTTCCAAACACAAGCAGCTCCTTTGCCCAAGTACATAGGAAATTTCGGAGTAAAAAAACTCATCCCTTCACCTGTCAGGTGCACTGTGGTATTTTTTTCAGGGTTGCATTTTCCATGTGAAACTTAAAAAAAAGCAGAAAGAAAGGACATGTTACAAAATAATCTAGCACCAATGCAACTCCTTAAGTTAAAATTTAACTCTTCATAGGCATCTAAAAGGAAATTCTCCCAACTAAAAAGAATCTATTTCTCCTTCAGCTTTTCCTTTAACTGGTTGTTATATTCAACAATATCCTCCTGTGTTGTAGCATACAATTTTCTTAACACTTTCACTCCCAGGATCTGATTTTTAATTCTCCCCTCTAGCTTCTTTTCAATCAGTTAGAGAATTCGGTGTTAGATCAATAATAACATCCTCTACATGATAAGTTTTAATATTCTCATCACCTGTTTGCTGAATGGTGTATGGATATTATAGGGAGAAGTTATCTCCCAATCACTTCTGGGAGTTAAAGGGTTAATTATCAAAACTTATGTTTTAGAAAACATATAAAAACAGTAAAACTTACTTAACAGTCCCTCCGAGAGTGTTGTAGCCTGCGGGGCAGGCATCTTATTGATGCCAGCTAATGTTATAAGCTCGCAATTGTTTATCTGACTGGCCATGTTTGATTTTGGAGTTGGAGTGGACAATGGGGGTAACCTTCATTTCCCTACCCCTACCCCTCTCCTTATTTTTGACCATCAACTGCCCCCTAGCTACAAATTTCTTTCTCTCCCTAGCCTTCTGCTGCCATTAAAATCAAAGATGGTGGCCATAATTTCTGTTAAGAAAATACTGAACACTCGCTTGCCAAAATTATGCCTGCTCTGCAAGCTAAGAGTATTGAGGCTCAGTTGGTCCCCACAATGGAAGGGATACTGTCTCAAAATTCATTCTTAACATCGTATTTTACACTGAATCAAACCAGTCTAACAGTCTAACAAGCAAAAAGTGATTTGTATAATATGCCAAACCAAGAATATCTTTGTCCCCACCTGCAGCAGGTACCATCTTGTAAGTTGCAGAAAATCCTGGACCAGTTTTTCCGCGATTTCCTGACACCTTTATCTCAAGCTGCCGTCCAGTTGAGAATATAGTGAATGTAGGCAAATAACCAGATCGCATTATCGAGCGGTAGGCACTCCAATTATCAACAGGATCTTTGATTTCCACTATATCATAATCATTCATTTGAAAACTCAGAAATGTCAAGCGAACCATTTTACCCTCTGGGGCTACTAACTTCCAGTGGCATTGGCTGATCACCTCATAAGAGTAACCATCTGGATACCCTGGGCTTTCAATGACTCCAGATGAACTTTGCAATAAAATGTTCATGTTTTGGTCACGAGAATTTGAAGAAGAACAAGACAGCCCTGTTAGAAGAGAAGAATTCACAATACTTAATAATAATAATAGTAATAATAATAATAACATCACATGCAATTGACACTCCTTGAATTAGTCATTTCAGCAGTAATGCAAACTGATTTGAAACAAACATTAAATCAACAAAGCGTTTAAAAATAAATGCAGCCAAGGCACTGAAGTCGTGGATATCAATAAAATTAATTTAGTGTGTAGAAGAGTGGAGGGCTTGAATGTAGGACCACCAGATTACAAGCCCAAGGCTGGCTTAACTTCTCAGCTCCACAGCCTTGTTATAGCAGTGTTAAGATCACAGATTTCAAGGGTAACTTTGATTGTGAACTGTTAACTTCAAGTAATATTTTTCACTTCAGGAGATTGGTTGTAAAAGTCAGTATTGACACAAGGTAAAAACCACAGTGCTAAGTTTGTTTGGAGTTCACTCTCTCACATCACATTGTTTAGTTGGTTTTCCATGTCTTGTAGCTTGTAAAGACTTCTCAATTGGATTTCACTGAACTTTGGTAACAGTGCTAAAACTTATCAAAAGTAAATTGTGTTAATTGATTTTTGAATAAATTACCTTCAGTCACTGCTAATTTGCAGAGCAGCAAACAAAACACTGAAAAGAAAAAACATGACACAGTCTACTTATTATTTCTCTAAAACTTGAGATGTCAACATGACTTGTGTTAGATAAAGATTAATCATTGCTTTGAAATATGGCCTCCAATAATTAAAGTGGCACTGAAAAAGCTCAAGGAATAGATTTGTAGATAATTCTCACTTCTACCATTACATATTTCCCTATAAATGAGTTTTGAGAATCTTACCTATTTCCAGTATAACTTTTTTTGTTTCAAAATGCTTTTTCTTTTAATAATTCTCATCTACCATCTGCTGGACAGTGTCTCAAATTACATGGGAGATTTTACAAATGTAACAATGAACCAAGTTCCAACAGTGTAAGAAAAACATCCAAGCCCAAGTCCATTAGTCACTTGCACCCCACAATCTAAGGTGAAGTTTCCCTTACAGCCATTGCTGATGAATATCATATTAAATCTTTATCATGAATATAAAACACCCAGCAAGCCTCTGTGAGGTATTAAAGGGGGTAAGTTTCTAAAGAAACTGTGGTGCTGTGTTGGTGGAAGAGTATAACAGGTAATTTAATGTTGACAACTGAGTTGAAAAATTGACCACCGTAAATAGTTTAAAGGCTGATGTTTCAACTGTAAACCCTTGGTCAGAAGAATTGGAGGAATTGTGGGTTGTGTGTGGATTTATATGTAGAAAATGGAGCTATACTATTGGTGGGAATATGAAAACAAGAAAACAAGAATAAATTAGTTGAATGAAAAGCACTTATTGATACTGTGGGGATTAAGAGTGCCGATTTAGAAAATAAATTTTTGCTCTAGCGTTTTTTGGCCTTCTGAACTGCCTAGATGTAGGAAGAGACTGCAAACTGCCATACATTGTTTGGAATGATTTAGGGAGATTAAAGTGCCTAGCGACTGATTTGGATGTGTCCTCATCCCATCTCTGGTATTATCTCTTCGTTATCCTCCTCACTGGTAGAGGAGGTGTCAGAAAGTTGCCACAAAACTTTTTAGCCTGTCAAACAACAACTGCACCATCTTTGTTGGCCACTCTAGTAACTATGTCTCTGCCTTTTTTTAGACTTTTTATAATGCCAAGCACCCTCCTGAAGAGCAGTTGGCACTTCCTCCTCTACTGCATCAGTGCTACCTCCTCTACCAGAGAGGAGCTCACTCAATTCATAGCTGCTGTCAGTCCCTTTCACCCAGCTCTTAAATATCCCTGAGAAATTTCCAACACTTCTTTGGCTTTTCTAGACATCAAAATTTCAATTGAACGCAATGGTTTAGGCATAAGTGTTCGCTACAAACCTACAGATTCACATAGTTACTTGTTGTATTCATTTTCGCATCCATCAAATGTCAATAATTTTACACCTTTTTCACAGTTTCTTGAACTTTGTCATTTATGTAGTGACAACTCTGATTTTTCCGAAAAAATCAGAGGCAATGGGCCAGTTTTTCAATAAACGTGGCTATCCTGTTTCTGTTGTTCAAGAAGGCCACCACTGTGCCCAACAAATTGCTCAACAGTCAGCACTACAAATGGCTGGGAAGGAAAACACTGACTGCATTCCATTCACTCTTACATTTCACCCTCACACCACGCAGTTAAATCTATCATTCTTAAAAAAACTTTAAATTACTTCAAAACAACTCAGAGACTGGTACTATCTTTTCACAACCTCCAATAATTTCACTCAAATGCAACAAAAACATCGGCAACTTGTTGGTCAGAAGTTCATTTCAAACCAGCGACCAGTCTGCAACTGTCAAATGCACTTGCTCACAATGTAAAACTTGTCCTTTAATTAATAACGAGATCCATTATGATCACTGATCACTTTACACATACCTCTGCCAATATCATTTACTGCATAACTTGCACTTATTGCAATAAGTAATACATTAGTGAAACAGGAAGACAACTAGGTGACCAATTTCAAGAACACCTTCATGACATAGAAAGAAATGACAAGGACGCATCCAAACCAGTCGCTAGACACTCAAATCTCTCTAATCACTCTACCCGAGATATGGCAGTTTGCAGCCTTTCCCTAAATCTAGGTAATTCAGAAGGCCGCAAAACAATAGAACAAAAATGTATCTTCCAAATCGGCACTCTTAATCCTGACGGTATCAGCGAGCCCTTTTCATTCAACTAATTTATTCTTGTTTACTTGTCACCATTTTCCCACCAATAGCGCGGCTCCATTTTCTGCATACAAACCCACACACATCCCACAATTCCCCCAATCGCTCTGACGAAGGGCTAACGCTCGAAACGTCGGTCTCTAAACTCTTTACGGTGGTAAATTTACGTTTTCAACTCAACTCTAAAATTACCTGTGAGGTATTGTTTTGTACAAAATCTTGCGGAGAGGACGTGTAAAAGTTCGCGTATTTACTAATAAGATTACTTCCATAAAATTCAATAACTATGAGAGATGTAATCTCTCGTCTACTTCCGTTTAATCGGGGTTATTTCATGCGAGAAAATCAGGGATCCTCTTAACTAAAAGACAATTAAACAAGAAAGTACCCACAGCCGCCAATTCAGCTGTCGTGGCATGTGAATCCGAGCAGAGAAATGTCATTTATATGAAAGGTTACTATGATGGATTCTATGGTAGTTATCTAAAATCATTAAGAGTGTTTTTACCCACCAAAAACAAAGGACATTGCTGCTTTCAAAAACTCACAGACTGTGGGAACGGAAAATTCTGCTCTCTTCTCTGTAAAGAAAACCGAAGTCACGTAACCGTTTCTGAGGTCTAAACAGCTCCTCTTTTCGGGTTATGTTCGCGTACTGTTTTCAGGTACGCAAAAAATGCCACCATGCAGTTTCTAAGCTAAGGAAAATAAAGTTATTTTCGTTCTTGACCTTTCACGCTCCCTTAACATGAAACTCATTTATTGAAAGCTAAGCTGAGGCATTTCTTCTGTTCTAAATATGTGGTATAACAGACCACTAAGTGTCCTCGTCGTGTCGAGTGACCAACGCCAATCATGAATGACTTGAAGTTACCTCTAAACACGTTTTACTTTGTTTTGCACCCTCAAACCAAGTAAATTTTTATTTCCAAGAATTCTTAGGAAATCTTTTTAATTTTATGGTGAGAAGCATTGTTAGCAGTTAATCTCGCACACAGTTACTACCGTTTAATTGTAACAACCGCTGGGCCGTGGAAGGTCTGGGTACGAGACTATCAAGCAGTAAAACGAACCAAGTAAAGTGAGTGTAAACTGGTTTAAAAACCCTTGAACGAATACAATCAGAGTTCGGAATGGCTATTCAAAAATATGTGTGTTATCCTAATGTTATGGGCTAACGAAACGGTTTGGTATTTTGGAAAAGAAATGGAGAGAAATGTGTTAAAATTAGTTTATGTAATCTATGAAAAAGTTCTAGAGAAGGTTCCTCATGGGCCGCCCATAGTTCCTGGTGTATGTTTACATGAAGTTTACCAATACATTTTCGTAAGGAGTTTTATCGCTGACTCCCCAGGTGAGCAAGATAAAGCGAATGCTCTGTTTTGACTGGCTCTCTGGGTGTGCCAGGTGGTTTCTTAGCGCAAGCTTCTTTGGCAAAACTTTTGGGGTAAGGATTAGGTTTTTAGGTAGTATTTACTGCTAACGGAGTCCGAAAAAAGAGACATTGCCTAAAAAATAGAAAACTAGGTAGGTTTTTTGTCAATTTATCCCGCTTCCTGTGACGACAAAGAGATAGACCCATGTAATCTATGAAAAAGTTCTAGAGAAGGTTCCTTATGGGCCGCCCATAGTTCCCGGTGTATGTTTACATGAAGTTTACCAATACATTTTCGTAAGGAGTTTTATCGCTAACTCCTCAGGTGAGCAAGATAAAGCGAATGCTCTGTTTTGACTGGCTCTCTGGGTGTGCCAGGTGGTTTCTTAGCGCAAGCTTCTTTGGCAAAACTTTTGGGGTAAGGATTAGGTTTTTAGGTAGTATTTACTGCTAACGGAGTCCGAAAAAATAGACATTGCCTAAAAAATAGAAAACTACGTAGGTTTTTGTCAATTTATCCCGCTTCCTGTGACGACAAAGAGATAGACCCAGGGTATTTCTCTCTCCACAGGAGCGACAAGAAAAGGGAGCTTGACAACGAGTTTGCGGAAAATTTTGAAGTTCAAAACAATGTGCAAACTGAAAATGACTGCGATCACGACGGATGTAACGGGTGAAAAGTTATCACATAAAAGCTTCACAGATTACACTGATGCCCAATTTTTTTTTATTTTACATGTATTCTTGCCTTTAATAAATTCATTTGTTTTCATTGGAGGCGGTCGAAATCCTTAAAAGCTGACTCACTTTGTGTCTTAGCTCCTTGAACCGCAGACAATAGAGAAACGGATTTAAAGAAGAATTAAGAAATGCTACAGTCTCTGCTAATGGATAAATAACGTGATCGAAGATATCATCTCTGTCTACTATCATATCCGCCACCGAAGTCAACATAAGAGGTAAATAACAGATAATGAGTACCCCGGAAATTAACAACACTGTGACAGCCATGCGTGTGTCTTGTGAACGGGCCCGTGGGTTGTCGCTTTCCACCTTACCTTGTCCTTCAGGATTTTCTCGTGTCTTAAAGTCAATGATGACTTGGTTGTGGGAAAGAATCTGTCGTTTGTGAAGTCTCACGATGCGGAAAATTTTGAAGTTCAAAACGATGTTCAAACTGAAAGTAACTGCGATCACAACGGAGGCAACGGGTGAAAAGAACTCGTCGTTTTTCACTCTCACTGCTCTGCATATAACGTTGAACAGAAACCACGAGCCCCAGAAAATAACCACAGTTTTTATGACTCGTTTCTTTGTGGCGCGAATGATGTACTTGTATGGAAAAACTATAGCAAAGTATCTATCGCAGCACACGAGGGTTAACATTAAAATAGACAGCCCGAGACTGAAGATCTCGGTATATAAGTACGACATAAAAGCCATGCAGGAGAAGTCCAATCTTAATTTACTAACGATGTACACAATGAACGAGGGCTGTACCACCGCACCGACGAGAATGTCTGTTGTAGCAAGCGAAAATATCAGAAGATTCGAGTTAGTTTGAAGACTTGGAAACTTCAGAATAACAGCAAGAACGAGACCATTTCCTGCCACTGCGATTGGCGATAAGAGACCATTTGTGACGCATACACCTACCAAGATGTTATAGATGGTTGGTGTTAGTTTGAAACGAGCCAATTCGTTTGATAAAGTAGAATCGACGCAGAACTTTTCACTTGAGTTCATCTTGCAACAAACAAACATTCATGAGAGGTTTCGATTGTAGACAAAAAATCTTGCACTTAATCGTTTTCAAATAGAAGTCCCTAATTACGAGCCTTTGACGTCTGATTCACAACATAACGTCGTCTGTAGTTACATGTACCATCGTCCATCCAGCCATGACATAACTTGACTTTTTGATTCCGCCTTGCATTTACAAGCGTATCTGTGGCCGACAACTTTTCGTGATTGAAGGAATCTTCGCTTGAATGCACGCTGACAGTGGTCCCTGCCAACAGTACCTCACATGCAAACTCGCACGCTTTCGTCGTAGCCTATTTATGAATCGTTTATACTGCACTTAGCATGGTCTCTGAATGGACTTTCGAACCCCTACCAAGACTAGATAATCTTAAAAACTATCCACGTCACCACGCTTAATTGCAAAAATTAAGAAACACGAAAAAACCAACAAAGCAAGGTTAGAGAGATGCTCTTATCGCGTAAGAAGGTGCATCGCAAAAAAGACAGATGGATAAAGAAAACACTCCAGCATTTCTAAAAATTTCACAATGTCCTTGGTAATTTATTCAAGATAAATTTAACGATTCCATTTACATCGTTTAAAGTCTAACATGATAAGCAGTAAGGTTTAGTTTATCGTATTTGGTGGTTATTAAGCTAAAGCTATTTGAAAGTGAAAAATAATGGAGTTCCTTTTATTATTTTAATCAATTGAGGACTAAATGACAGTTTCACTCAGCCGATGAAATTCAAATTTATTTTTCTAAAAAATGGTAAAACGTGTTAAATGTAAGACCGAGGAAATTGTGTCGATCCAGAGGAAGCGAGGGCCGGTTTTAAAAAAGTGTACACTGAAAATGTACAATCGTGCAAAATACTCTTTTCGAAACTTCCTACAATTAAAATTTCCCTGCCATATATTTCAGGTAGGGGTACGTACACAATGAAATCAATGATGTATTTCGAAGAGACACTGAATATGTTTTATTTCAATTCAGTGGAAATTACCATTCGCATTTCCTTAAAAATGGTGCAGTAAACACAAAAACCTTTTAAAGAAACCTTCTCTAATATGGATCCAACCTTAAGAGGCTTTATTCGCGTACATTCTACAGATTTTACAGTTTCGAACCGGTGGACATTGTAAAAGGACAAGAAAGAAAGACATGCAAACAAAGTCCGTTTACAGCCCCCTACAATCGAAATAAAAATGAGTGAGACTCTTCATGCAAACGAAAGATTCTTGCCACTGCTAAGTCATCCTTGAAAATCCCAAGGGATTAGGTCCTGCGGGCGCAAACAAGACACAGCGGTCAAACGTAGGGCATGCGTGGTGGGATCAACTATGACTGGCCACACGCCAAGTTTCAACGCGAAATTTCGAGGGAAAACATAAGAAACAAAAAGGGAACAGAAACCTTAGTTGATTAGGTGTGTCCTACACCACATGTTTTCTCTTTTGTGCGTGGTGAGGAGGAGGCAAGCTAAATCCATAAGCCAATCAGAACACAGTACTCACTCTATCTCAATTGCATGCTTGCGAAGCAAGCCTTATTTGAACAATACAAGATCTATGTATGTACATCTGATCATGCATATTGATATGTGACAGGTAAGATTAAGTAGGTTTACCTCGGGCAAAAAACCTAATTATGCTGGGTGACTTTTTCAAACAATAATTAGCTGGTAGTAAAAATTTCAAACTGACAAGTTTTATTCTTGTCTTATTTCTGACATCAAGCTGCGGTGCAACTAAACATCCATTATAACTGAATGGAAATGAAGTTGAACTTGACTATAAATCAGAACAAACGTGCGATAGCTCAAACTCTTTTCCTTTGATTTGTTCCTCAGTTTGGCTACATTTAGCTGTGACGAAATCGTGACTGACTGCATGGCGTGACTTTCTATACATAATTATATCTTTGGCATCGCTTGACATGCACGCTTGACAGATGAAAAATAAGCCGTTTATTAGCAGAACTTGTGAAGAAGAGGTCCTGTCCTCGTGGAAGGATAAAGGATGTTCCCTTACTTTGGTAAGTTGTATTCGATAAGGCCAGCGAAGTTGCGCTCGTTCCTAAATGTTAGTTTTTCTGAACACCCGCAATGCACTTAGCGAGGTGTTAGAATATTTAAAAAAAAAATGCACGCGCTCTTCGTTTACTTTAACACCTGATATATAGAAACTTTGACCGGCGTCAGTTTCATCGGAATAAAACTTGGAGAACGCCGCGAATTGAGATTTCTTCTTTCATATAATCAATCGCTAATATCAGAGACTTCAATGCTCTGACTGTGTGAAATTGCAACCCGTTAGTTCAGGCGTCCGTACCTTTCTTTGTTTGTACAAGACAAAAATTTAATATGCGCTTTCAATCTGAGAAAAGGCTGGTCTGTCATTTTTTGGCGATTGAAAGATGCTTTCGCAAAAGTTAGGAAATTGAGACATTCTGTTCTGGAGACCATACATATCGAATGTGCCTGATGTTCGATGTACGCTATCTCTAAGAAAGACTCTATGTGACAATAGCAAATGTATAATGAAAGGATTGACGAATATTTTACAAGTTTATTGCTTCAACAAAATGGTTACCTCAGGTCATCTCAATCCCAGTCGTATTTCGCTTTGAATGTTATGACATAACGTGTTGGAAGTCGTGGTTGTATTGTATTTTGAACTAAAGAGCGTGGTAAACAGACGAATTTTTTGCACTGCCGTCTTATTACGTAACGCTTCAAAGGAGTTAGTTACTGTTACTTTAACGTAACATAATTTTTTAAGTCGATGCCTCGCCAACCTTTCCCAATTTTCTTCCTTTTTTTGGTTTATTTTTCCGTTCTGTTTCTTCAGTTCCGTCTAACCAACCTAACATTTTATCCGAGTTTCTTCTGCGTGCAAAATGCTGTAAACATGGCGTTCAAGTTAGTTTTGCACGCATAAGAAACATCTTTAACTAACGTAACTAAATTAATTTGGCGTACGTTGTCAATTAATGAAATATCATGGTTTCGTCTTCACAAGCACAGTTTAGCGGGTGTATTGATGCTGACCTGATTACACTCCTCTGATTTAGCCAGTTATTGATAGTTCGATCTATATATGGTATAATATCTGAGACATTTGTCGTAATAATTGAAATAATCATCATTCTTTACTTTATCAGGTTTATTGTTGCTGCTTAAATCACTGGCTGCTGAAGGTATTTTTAAGATATGGAGCCAGCAAAACAAAAACAATTGTTGTAGCACGCTGGAAATTAGTGAATAACTAGTATTTGTGACACTGCTGCGAAAATCTGTTATATTTACAATCTTGAAATAAATCATTCTTGGGTCTTGTTTAGATGAATCAATGAAACGAGAGCAATCGTTGCCATTCACTTCGACAGGCCCGTCTGACATTTCGCCACCTGAATGATGTAATCAGCTGTGAACTGCGAACTCAGGGTGATATTAAAGGGGGAGGGGGGAGGGTAGGGAGGAAGTAGTTACCTGTTTGGTTTGAGATTTGGTTTCCATGGGATCAGCGACATGCTCTGAATGAATGTTTGTCTTACCTCTTTTTGTTGGACCCCTGGGCAGCAAACCAGTCGCGAAGGACGTTACATGCAATGGATCGGTCTGGAAATTTGGGAGAGGGAGGAAGCAATCTCGAGCCCCGAGTCTTACAGGCTCCTTGTCAGCGGCTTAATCGCATTCTCAAATTTTGACAACTGGCTTTCGATTGATTTCTGCGCATGTCCAGACTGAAAGCAGCAGAGGAGAAGGCAAACAAACCGTTCGATTTGTCATGAGGACTCAGAATTCTTTCCTAGTCCCACGCATCTTTTTCTATTTCTCTACCGAGCTCAAAACTTACCATCTCTCTTATTCTGTCTACAAACATGATGCTATCGACATTGCTGATCCCAGCAGTATGCAGGACGCGTGTCATATGAACTTCGTAATAGAAGTCGCTCACCGTGGAGTCTCTGAAGGTCTGAAGTTCGATTCCCCATGGGGACTCAGAATTTTTTTCTTTGTCCCACGCTCGTGACAAGACGAAAGACATTTTTCTCCAAACCGTACTTGTTGTAAGACATCTTACTGCGGAAAAGGAGCTGAACAATATTATTTACTCGAGACTGGGAATGATATTTCCATTAATTTAACGTTCCATTTTTCAGGTTGTACTGCCAATCAGAGCTCGACTGCCACTTTATTGGCCACAGAAGACAGCCGCTCACTTGAAAATGGTACTTTTATACTTCCGTTTAATTCTACTTGCCAATGGAACATCACGGCACCAGTTGGTAAGGTGCTCAGCATTGACGCGGGAATCTTCTTATTTCATAAGCCATGTGGCGATATGTACCTAAAGATACACGACGGGCCGAGCGAGTCAAGTAGCTTAATATCAGAATACTGCCTGAATGTTACCTTTAGCACTACAAAGTTCTCGTCGAGTGGCCGAAGTGTGTGGATCGAGGCGAAAAAGGGACCTCTTGACTTTTACGGCGCATTTCTTATCTCTTACCAGGCCATACCATTTGAAGGTAACAGGATTCGTAATTATAGACATGAAAATGATTTCAAATTCGTTGTAACGTTGATGCAATCGTCGTGATAAGTAAATCGGCCTAATTTTGTCGAGCCTAGTTCCCGGAACCTGGTTTTTCTTAAACTGAAAGGACTTCAGTTAAAGAACTTTCCAATATTGTAGCTCGGTAGGTAGATCTTTTCAACTCAGTTTGTACTTTAATATAGAGGGTAAACTGCATTCGAGATTCATGAAATTCACACGGTTCTGAGTACCGATAATGTTCTGAATAAACCTTACAATTTAGGATTTTTAGAGGTTTGGGGGCTCCAGGGAACGGGGAGAGAGGAGAGCATTTTAAAGAGGGGGGCTTTTTAGAAAGGGGGGCTTTTTAGAGAGGGGGCTTTTAGAGAAGGGGGCTCACTGGAGGAGGGGGCTTTCTAAACAGGCGATTCAATAGAGAGTGGGGCTTCCAAGAGAGGGTGGGCTCATTACAGGGGGGGGGGGGCTTTTTAAGAGGGAAGCTTGCTGAATAACTCACAACTTTCTAAACATGTAGAGAAACTTATAAAGGATTTCAGATAATTTCTACAATGAGACCAGTATAACAATACTAGAGTTTTTCCTAGACGGGAGAAATAAGGGTGGCATGGTAGAAACTTGAGCTTTGGACGAGGTGGGGCGGGGGGCTTATTGGGAACTCAGTTCAACCTCTGGTCGGGGATTGCTGATTAGAAACTTGAATCTTTTACCGGGAGTTATCAAAGTCTTTACGATAATCTTCCTCTATAGAGTGTCCATTCAACAGCACATTGAACGCTCCTTTGTCGCCTGTGGCACATAACATTTCTAGCCCCTACTGGCCTCGTGGTTATCGCTTACACACGACATGTGGATGGTACATCACGGCGCCTGAGAACTACACCGTGGTGCTGCATCTCAAATATAAGCTATCTATGGACAGCGTAAAGGTTTATGACGTGGAGGGCTCCGTGATCAGCCTCCTCGCTCATTTTACTGGACGTGTGCCAGGATATTTGTACCAAGCCACTATGTATTCCAATTTCCGCCGTTTGTACATCTTGTTCGAAAGTAAGATTGACACAGATGAAGGATTTTATGCATCGTACTCTGCCGTCACTCCAAGTATGTATACTGGCAACTTAAGATTTAAGGGACACTCCATGAGTGTGGGTTTGAATAAAGGAGGTGTTGGGGCACGTTTTCTTGTGGGTGCTCCTGTTAGACCCTACACCCTTAATATAATCCCGAAATGTAAGACCCCTACATAACTGAAACACCGATACAACGAGCTAATTCCAGTAATATTGATGAATACTGTGAATAATATGTGTATCTCCGGTTGAAAACCCTACAACAATTTAAACATATAGAGAACTTAGTAAGGCTTTTAGATACTTTTTACTGAGATTTAACCAAATATAGAACAGTAATATAATGTTTACCTTGGTGGAAGGGAGATGGAGGCTTATTAGAGAAAGAGGCGTCTTTGCAACATGGGGTATTAAAAACCTCAAACTCGGACCCGGGAGGGGCTTGATCGGAAATTGGAGCTCTTGACAGGGAATTGTTAAAGCGTTCACGATAATCATTCTTTCCAGTATGTACATTCAACTCCACATTGAATGCTCCTCTGTCGCCTGTGGAACATAACTTCTCCAGTCCCTCCTTGCCTTTTGGCTATCGCTTAAACACAACTTGTGGGTGGTACATCACGGCGCCTGAAAACCACACCGTGGTACTGCGTCTCACGTACAAACTCTACTTGGACAGTGTAGAGATTTATGATGTAGAGGGCTCTGTGATCAGCCTCATCGCCCGTTTCACTGCACGTCTACCCTTACGTTCTGAATCAACTACTATATATTCCAAGTATCGCCGTTTGTACATCGTGTTCGAAAGTAAAGTTAAAACGACTGACGTAGAGGAAGAATTTTATGCATCGTATTCTGCTATCTCTCTAGGTATGTATACAGAGCAATTTTATTTTTGAGGAACTTTGAATGGGGGATGGGTGGATAAAAAGGGAGGGCGTGGTCGTTGGGGCTGCTCCTGGCAAACCTTATGGAACGTAAAGAGGGTAGGTTTTTAAAGAAACTTTGGTGCTGCGTCAGTGGGGGATAAAATAAGATAATTTGGTCGTATCAACTGAGGTGATAGTGTAAATTGCCTACTGTAGAAAGTTTCTGAAGCTGACATTTCGAGCGACGGATGGCTTACGCTTGAAATTTCAGCTTTAGAAACTCTTTACGGTGGTTAATCTACTTCATTAACTTAGTTGATTAAACCAAATTATCCTGTGGATCGTAACCTCGATACAGTTGCATTAAAGCGTTATCCCAGTATATGGAAGGTGTTTAGGACCAAGAGAATATTAATTTTAGAGACTAGTCCCTCATAAAGACCTTGCTGCGATGGTTGCTCTTACATGCGTAAAATTACTTCAAAATGTCTGACTGCGCACGCGTCTGGTCGTCTTCTCTTTAAGGGGAATGATGTTCCGGAAACCACATAATTTTTATCGCCACCATTGAAAAGTTGATATAGAATCATGCCAATGACCGAGTTTTGAAAGTACAGAATGTCGCCTAACCTTTTCCAAACAGTCTACAAAGACATTAGAAATTGGGCTATGGGCGCCGCCATTTTGTATTTTGCTTAGCAATGTGGCCGCTTACCTGTGACGTAATAATTTTTTTCTATACACTCTGACAAGGTGGCGATGAGACATTATCAGTTTCAGTCTATTTCATATTTCTCATTGAAAGTAGACTCATGTGAGGTAGTCTTCTGGCTTGTTCCTCACTTGATCTCAGGAAACGTATCTCTTGAAAGGTCTATGTAGCCATTCTGGTATCTTGTCGATTCAATCTAACGTTATTTATCTTACGTATTTTAAGAGGTAGATAGCCCTTCTTATTTTTTTCTAAACATACTCTTTCATAAACCTTCAGCACAACAGGTATCGCTTTCGTGAGAAGCAGTTCAACCCAGGTGAACGAATTTTTTATGATATTCTTTCCATCATTATATCTGTAGCTCACGCCTGTTCATCGATGAACTCCTTGGATGAAAATAGGAATATTGTGTTGAAGAGTCCTTCGGGTGTCATAACAACCCCTGGGTATCCATCCAGCTACCCGCAGGAATTGATGAAACAGTGTTTCTGGAAAATACTAGCGCCTGTTGGAAATGTTGTACGAGTGGATTTCCTATCCTTCCGGCTTCCGTCTTCTAGAACATGTTTGACTATTTTCTTTGCAATAAATAAAAGAAATCCAACGCAAACGCTTCTCTGTGGACTAAAAGCATCGTTTCTACTTTACTCAATGACAAACGAGATTGGTATTGAAGGTCCGCAGTCGTATGGCTTTAACCCCGGACGTGGTGGATTCAATGCGAACTACACGACCATACCAGCAGGTGAGAACGAAGGTTGGAATGTCGCGCAATATGTAATGTGTGAAGGAAGAAACTTATTGTGACTCAAAACGCTTCCCAAGCGCTGACTTTGTAGGAAAACCAGGGCGGCGGCGACATCTAGACCGTGTTGAAGCAAAGGATTTCATCAAATGAGCACAACAAAAGCTCTGCACGTGCGTTAAAAACTTAGTACTTTAAAGAGGTTGGTTTCAGCCAAACATTAGCGTGACAAAACCAATTTTACCGCATTATAAGAACGAGAACCCCAACAACAAATGTTTTATGTCTTAAGCAACTTAGGACCTGACGACCTCATGATGTTTTAATCAGTTGTAAAAACGGTTGCGATTATTCATCATTTTGGGTACTTTAGTAACGAAGCTTTATCCGCCGTTTTTAATTGTTTTCTTTTTCCTTTGCAAAAAGACTCGCAGTAGGCAGTTGAAACGTCGCAGTTCACATTGGAACGGACTACATTGAGCTACGAGCGATTAAACTTCGTTATGGAAAGAACTTTTAACTCCGTCGTTACCTTAGCATTGGGAAGCGAAAATCGTCTTTTTAGCCTGTTTTTATTCCTGTGCGTGTGTATGCGCATGTTGCAATTACATTTGAGTTCATCGAGATGTGGGTGTTAATTTTGTTTCTTAGTTCTGGTTTCACGGAACCATTTCCAATTCTATATTTCATTTGACCTTTACAGCTTCATCAGGGGTTTGCATCCCAAGCAACAACAGCACTGTACACATGGCGGCAGAGGGAATGACGTTTGCAACTCCTGGCTTCCCTCTCTATCCTGGAAAAGGCCGATGTAACTGGAATATATCCGTACCCGAAGGGAATTTAATAAAACTAACGTTTCTGTCGTTATCAACGCGTTGTAATAACAGTTATGTGGAGATTTTTGATACGACAAATTCCACATGGATCCCCCTCAGAAAATTCTGCGATGTAACTTCTGGTGACTTTGAAGTGTACTCGCAAGGAAGCAGTCTACTTGTTACGCATGTAAATCTCCTGAATACCTCAGCTTCCGCAGGGTTTTTGGCGACATACGAAACCGTTAAGGCAATCCCTGCTACATACGCTTGTGGTAAATCGGGCATTTATGGCATTCCAACCAAATTACGAGGCACTTATGGTGAATTTGCTAGTTACCAGTTCCCTCGTTCTTACTCCAATGATGTCAAATGCTCCTGGATTATTCAAGTTCCAGTTGGATTTCTCGTGAATTTGACTTTTCATACGTTTAAGCTTCAGGAATCCTCAGGCTGTTCTGCAGACCACGTCGAGATCAAACAAGGGAAATCAGTTTGGTCAGTTACTGAGTTACTTGGAAGATTTTGCGGCTCATTAATACCCAGAGTTATTCAGTCCAACCGTTCTACAGTAAGAGTGAACTTTGTGGCAGACAGCTCAGGAAGATACCCAGGATTCCATGCAAGCTTTAAAGCAGTTCCTGATCGTAAGTAGAGTACACTTTTGATCAGGTGTCCAAATTAATTCAGCTTTGCTTTAATGTTACTTTAAAACTTTGGTCTGAAAATTTCATGCAAACCAAAACAAATCGTAACTTGGTCACTCGCGAATCAAACGAAACAATTGTATGCAGAGTGATGTAAGCGGAAGTTTCTGTTAAATAATGCTTCTTTCATGTTCATTGTATGCTATATTTACGCGATTTCTTTTAAACACCTTTTTCATTGATATCTAAGGTTATGAAAGCAAAAAATCTCAACAAAACTATTCCTGATTCAATACACTTTTTCCAGCGTTGATTGCCCCTCTCGCTAAGAGCGGTCCTCTCGACTTCCCGTCAGAAAAAAGTTTTCTTTTATTGTTTGCCCATGAAAAGGGTTTACAAAACATTTTTCAAAAATAGTATAGTTGTTCTCCAAATCTCTATTTTTGCGTTGCCACAAGCCAAAAAAGTTTTTTTTGGAGAGACCACACTTGTGGACAGCGATTAAAAGTGTAAATTTCACAGATTTTGTCCAGCGCGCACTGCAATAATATAGCTCACGAAATTCTATCTTGCTACAAGTTACAAGATTTATTCAGTTGCTTCACAGACAAAATATGGAAACTTCTTTTCTATATCACCAATTTGTGCGAAAAAAGTGTCCAAATGCAGGCGTTAATCGGGCTAATAAAGCATATCAGTGTATAGTTTAACACCAATGAGATCATCGATTGCCTCAAACCCGCGGATATATCTCTAGTTTCCATGCACCAACATAATAATAATAATAATAATAATAAAGGGTTTATTAAAAGTATTCAAAAATAGCACCCCAGTGGTGAAATACATGTGAATTTACAAGTATACTTTAAATATTTAAAAAATACGACAATCTTACATTTGACTTTAAAATTAAAAGTCTAAGGGGACTGGGAATTACAAGAGTCAGTAGTTATATACCAATAAAAAACGCTTAGGTTTGCTTGACTACAAGAACTGGGCGTTAGACGCCATTGTTGGAAAGAAAGATTTTTTAAATCTTTCGGTCCGGCATTTAAAGAGTGATGGTTGAGAGGGGACTGGGGTCTAATGGCGGACACACGCACCGTCATTAGGCTCTTCGTATTTCTTATTCTTCTAGCCCATCTAGCGGAGCCTAGGTTCACCAGCTTGATTTACAGGACGGCTAAAGTTACTAACCTGCCAGTCGGACCATCTCTCAAACTGGAACTGGTTAAATTTCGCCGGAAACATCGAGTTAAGTTCGCTGTTCAGAAGACTACTAAACATGGGCAAGGAAGTGAAGTGCAAGGAACTTGTGATTTGTTCGCTTAGAACACGGCCAGATCTTGGCCCTTTGTGCGTCAATGGACGTCCCTTAGAACGGGTCTCCTCACACAAGGTCCTTGGAGTCACTATCAGCGACACTCTTGGGTGGAATGAGCACGTGCGTGAGATTGTCTCCAAAGCCTCAAAACGTCTTTACATCTTAAGAGTGCTCAAGCGGTCCGGAATTCCACCCGAAGACCTTATTAACATATTTTATGCCTTGGTACGATCGGTCCTCGAATACGCCTGCGTCACTTGGTCTACTAGCCTACCAATTTACCTCAAGGACATGATCGAAAGAGTTCAGAAAAAGAGCTCTGCGTATATTATTTCCGGCGCTGAGCTACAAAGACGCCATTGTGGCTGCAAACTCCACTCGCTTAAATGTGAGAAGAGACGAACTCTGCAAGAAAGTTTGGGACGGTATCTGTGTGCCTGGGTCACGGCTGTACCACCTTATTCCACCAAAGCGCGCCGATTGCCACGTTTATGAGTTGCGCAACAAAAACCATGTATCACTCTTTAAATGCCGGACCGAAAGATTTAAAAATCTTTCTTTCCAACAATGGCGTCTAACGCCCAGTTCTTGTAGTCAAGCAAACCTTAGCGTTTTTCATTGGTATATAACTACTGACTCTTGTAATTCCCAGTCCCCTTAGACTTTTAATTTTAAAGTCAAATGTAAGATTGTCGTATTTTTTAAATATTTAAAGTATACTTGTAAATTCACATGTATTTCACCACTGGGGTGCTATTTTTGAATACTTTTAATAAACCCTTTATAAAAAAAGGCTTATGAACAAACACAGCGGCCAAACGTGGGACATGCGCAAGGGTATCAATTTTGCCCGCCCGCGCTCCCATTTCCCGCGAAAAATTTCAAAGGAAAACATATGAAAGAACCGCTGTCTCGCAAAAAGCGAAATAAAATTTGAAACTTTCATTGAAATCTGTAAATGGAAACAAAAGTAAAGAAAAGGAAAACTCAAGACTTTTCAAACACAAGGCTGATTCAAGATACCCTGTTGATTTACTACTCTGTTTTGAGCTTTACCAAAAACGTTGTATGCTTAATTTTAAAACACCGTGACTTATTGGCTTGAATGGTGTGTGGTGTTACTCGTGTTAGACCTGGTCATTGCGTTTGCACATGCGCAGACGTTCGACCAATGTGTTCTAGGATCAAGAGAAAATAAACCAAAATGGTTAAAGCTCTCTTTTATCATTTCAGCCGCCATGGGCCCATGTAAAACTCAAGGAATAAATAACGTCATCCCTCTTAACGGGAAAACTGGAAGATTATTTTCCCCGCTGTATCCGGAGACATTTCCTAACAACATGACGTGCACGTGGATCATAACGGTCCCCGAAGGCCATTTTGTCAAGTTGAGGATAACCTCTTTTTTCCTGGCACATATTTGTAAGCAGACGACTTTGGAAATTCGAGATGGCCAGAAATCCTCCAGTGACTTACTTGGGAATTTTTGCGGGAGCTCCTTTGAAAGATCGGTATTCTCCAGCGTTCGTCATCTCTGGATTCGGTTCCATTCTGACAAAGATGAATTGTTGTACGGGACGGGATTCAATGCTTTCTTCGAGATGGTCGGCCAATGTAAGTTTTTTTTTTTATATTGTTGTTGTAATTGAATGAGAGGTAACCATGGTAAGAGAAAATGAATAAGCCACTGTCCATCCTCAAGATCGAAAGAAAACGTATCCGAATCGCGATTTCAACTCTTTTAAGGGTACACGGAATAATCCAAGTTTCTAAAGGTAACGTGCGCTTCAAAAACCGGGAAAAATTTTGCTATCTCCGCCACAGAAAAGTATATATAAAATCATGACCCCCAACAGCTTTTTGAGATTCCTTAGAGCAAACTTACGTGGAGAAAATTGTCTTTTTCTCGGTTTTTTTTATTGTGGATGCCGCCATTCTTAATCTTGGTTAACAAACTGGCCACTGTCTTACGACGTTACAAATCTAAGAACTCTAAAAAACGCAGGCTGGACACAATTGATTTTTTCTCTTTAGCGACAACCACAGTTGAAGCCGTTTATTAACTTCGCATTGTAGATTTAAGTTTGATGACTTCTTTTCAAACTGAAGGCATTTTTACTGAAAGCATTTTTCACTTTAAAAAGTCAAATTTACATAATTCTATGTCTTCATCTCGTTTTCTTGTAGTACCAGCTCCGTTTTCCTGCACAGCGAAGGACTTAAACATCAAATTGAAGTCTAAGACAGGAACTCTGGCCAGTTATAACTACCCTCTGCCGTCTGACGACCCTGTAGAATGCGTCTGGTCTATCAGTGTAGACAGTAATTCTAAAATTATATTGTCTTTCGAGTTTTTTAATGTGTCCCGGACCAGTGACTGTTTTGAGGATTATGTAGAGGTGCGAGATGGAATGTTCAGCACCAGCGACCTTGTTGGAAGGTACTGTGGAGCAGAGAAACCCTCGAAGATAACCTCGGATTCTCGGAACTTGCGTGTGGCTTTTAAATCGAGTGGCAAGTTGAAATATCCTGGGTTCAAAGCCACCTACAAAATAAAAAAGGGTAGGTGAATATCCTGAGATCAATTTGGAATAGGAAAGGCAGGAAAGATATTAAATGTGTGTGCACGGATAGCTTTGCACGTGCATCACGATTTTTAGCGCGTTGTTTGTCATCAGCATCAGTTAGTGCTACATAATGTGCCGCTGGGAAGAAGCTTTCTTTTGGCGTAGGAGCGTGTGGTTATTGTCACGTGCCTGTGCGGGTATTTGCGTGTTTTGTGCGTGTTGCGTGAAAGAATGATTGCATGAGCCAACGGATTTTGCTATCATACGGCGAACAAGTCTGTAATTTACGTTCATCGACAAAGCAGACTTATGGTGCAACCTTTCAAAGCTCATAGGATGCTCTGGTGACGTAAATTGCTTTCACGCTCCTTTGCTGTTCTAGCTAACTATTTTTTTCACTTTTTCCTCTTTCCTTTTAGATCAAACCCTTAAAATTCTTAAGATCGTCGGGATTTGTCTTGGAGCACTGTCTTTGCTGTGCACTATAGTTGCCGGTTCTTGCCGTTATTGCAATATGAGGCATAACCAAGGGCGACCCGAAGTCGTTTTAGCTATGCAAGGCACAGACAACGCTGGAGCTGATGGGGAAGGTATCAGGAACCAAACAGGCAGTTCATGAAAACCTGCACAGTGATCTTTATAACTCAAAGAGCTATCAAGCCACCTTAAAATAAACAACCCTAGCTTGTCTTACTGATCTGCTCTCTCGATTGTGAGAGTTAAAAACTGTTACCTGCTCTTTGCCAAATTTCAGGGCTACGAGGGAAAATGTTCATGACCCCATCGATGATCATAGTAACTACCGGCTTACACTGAAATTGCGCAGGTTTGACATATTCAGAATCAATCGGGGAGAACTGGGTCGAGTTATCAGGGAGCATCGACTTCCCAAACTAGATCCAGTTCCTTAGCTCTCGACTTCGCAAACTAGATCTAATTCGCTGGCTCTCGACTTCGTAAACTAGATCCAGTTCCCTGGCTCTCGTTCGAACCGAAACCCGAACAGATGAAGTAAATTCTTCATAGCTATATTTCAGAATTAACACTTTAGAGAACGTTCAAACTTGAGTTTAATCTTATTTGAGGTCAGTCATTGAGGTCAATCATTGAATCAACGAATTATTCTTAATGAATTTGTTTCCGATATTAATATACCAACTGCCTTATATTATTATATGATTATTTATTTCATTAACAACGAGGATTTCCGGGGCGATTCTTTAAACATATTACGGGATAGCTTTGGTTTTACTCTATATTGCTCTGTGATTGGTGGCGAAAACTGGCAGAACGCTATAAACCAATCAGATACAAAAGTAAAAAGACTCTTGGCTTGGTTACACGCTTCTTCCTGCGCTTCACGCAGTTTGCGTGTTTATTCTTCGGTTCCTCATTGGCTCCTTGTGATGTTTTTCTTTGTTCTGATTGGCCATTGAGATAAGGTTGATTTTAGTTTTCGACCAGCCTGAACCAGAGTGTCTCGATGGGGTGAAACGATAATCTTAAAAGGCTTAAAAATTTAGCTGTTAGGCGTAAAAATTGTCAATTTGACAGATAGTCGTAAAAAGGTTGACCGTAAACAAAACTTCCGATGACAACAATGGAATGATATTAACCATTAGCCGTAAAATGGCCAAAATTTTAACCGTTGGCCGACACCCGTACCCCATTGAGAACCTCGTTCCAGGCGTTCAATCAGTAAAACGAAGCACGGTAGTTGAAAACGAGAGAGGCTTGGGTCGGGTCGCGTTCTTTTCCCGACCCAAACCTCTTGCTTTTTTACCCCTTCGCTACTATAGCTACTATTTCGCTGCGTTTTATTAACTTAACAGGTGGAACAGGCTAGTTTTCGACACTCAATCAAAGAGCGCTCTCATCTGTTAATTTGCATCAATAAAAAATGGTAAATACTCATCTTATTCTCAGATTCATTACATCTTCAGTAGATGGATGTGGGAGAAGTAACTTTTTCCATAACGTTGACACTGTGACACTGTAGTGCCGCAATGGCGCGCTTTTCTGTCGAAGTATTATATTTTCCATCACTTGTGACCAAACGTAAGGTTATACACAGTGGACCTGTATCAATCGGTACTGTATTAAGCGGTCACCCTGTATTAAGCGGTCACCCTGTATTAAGCGATCGGTTTCAAAAGCCACGAAATTTTCTCCATATAAATACTGTAATATTCACCTCTATTCTGTGGAATCTGTATTTGGCGGTCAACCTGTGACTAGCGGTCACCCTGTCTTTCCCCATAGTGACTGCTTAATCCACTGTACATCGAACCGTGGCAAGTTTTTAGAAACAAAATCTACTTGGAAATACCGCGAAGGCTTGCGAAAACAGCACAAAATCAAACAGATAATGAAGGCAAGTTCTCGATTAAAAAAAATTGTCTAAACCCGTTTAAGTCGGCGATAAGGTGTTCAGCAATAAAACTTGTATTACATGGAACATGGAAGGGTAAACTGTGGCTACAGTTCCAAAATTTATAGCTCTTTGTGAGCGGTTAATTAAAATTTTTTGAACATTAATAAGAACAAACCTCCAAACTTATTGTGGTAATATTAATTTGCACACAAAATCATTAAAACGGGACGCTGCAGCCACTCGCACGCACGATAATCGTAGACGCTATATCTGAGTGCGCGCGTGTCAAACGCGTGTGTCACGCCGTTTTGTTACCCTTTTGAGTAGTAGTTGCCATAGATACTTTATATCGGAAAGTTGTCTTGACCCTTTGGCTGCATTGCGTGACTTCGCTTCGAAAATCATGTGATTCTTCTATTTACTGATGAGGTCATATCTAGCATACCAGTCTGTATCTCAGCAACATCTTCTGATTCCCGGGCGTCGTCGATGCCGTGGACGCTGTATTAGATTCCACTATATTTTCTTTCTTTGGCACGTTTAGTGCAAGAAGTGTAAAGCCTGGAAAAAATTTACAGACCGATGCAGAGGTTACGTATGAACCGATATGCGCACTGTGTCAAAAGCATCCTGACTTGGTAATACTAGGCACAGGGACAGTTTATTTCAATATATTTGTCAAAATTTGTAGAACGAACATAATAAATTGCGCTTTCGTTGTAGCTTATTCATGACTCGTTTATACTGCACTTAGCATGGTCTCTGAATGGACTTTCGAACCCCTACTAAGACTAGATAATCTTAAAAACTATTTCACGTCACCACGCTTAATTGCAAAAATTAAGAAACACGAAAAAACCAACAAAGAAAGGTTAGAGAGATGCTCTTATTGCCTAAGAAGGTGCATCGCAAAAAAGACGGATGGATAAAGAAAACACTCCAGCGTTTCTCTAAACTTACATAATGTGGTAATTTATTCAAGATAAATTTAACGATCCATGTACATCGTTTAAATAACGATGCTAATTCATCCTTGAAAATCCCAAGGGATTAGGTCCCGCGGGCGCAAACAAGACACAGCGGTCAAACGTAGGGCATGCGTGGTGGGATCAACTAGTACTCACTATATCTCAATTGTCTGCTTTCGAAGCAAGTCACATGTATGTACATCTGATCATGCATACTGATATGTGAAAGGTAGGATTAAGTAGGTTTAACTCGGGCAAAAAACCTAATTATTCTGGGTGACCTTTTCAAACAATAAGCTGGTAGTAAAAAATTCGAACTGACAAGTTTTATCGTCTTATTTCTGACATCAAGCTGCGGCACAGCTAAACATCCATGATAACTGAATGAAAATGAAGTTGAACTTGACTATAAATCAATACAACGTGCGATAGCTCAAACTCTTTTCCTTTAATTTGTCCCATAGTTTGGCTACATTTTAGCTGTGACGAAACCGTGACTGACTGCATGGCGTTACTTTAAATACATAATTCTATCTTTGACATCGCTTGACACGTACGCTTGACAGATGAGAGAAAAGCCGTTCATTTGCAAAACTTATGAAGAAGAGGGCTTGCCCTCGTGGAAGGATAAAGGATGATTCCTTACTTTGGTAAGTTTTATTCGATAAAGCCAGCGAAGTTGCGCTCGTTCCTAAATGTTAAGTTTTCTGAACACCCGCAGTGCACTTATGCGAGGTGTTAGAATATTAAAAAAAATGCACGCGCTCTTCGTTTACTTTATCACTTGATAAATATTTACTTTGTCCGGCGTCAATTTCATCGGAATAAAACTAGAGAACGCCGCGAATTGAGATTTCGCCTTTCATATAATCAATCGCTAACATCAGAGATTTCAATGCTCTGACTATGTGAAATTGCAAACCGTTAGTTCAGGCGTCCGTACCTTTATTTGTTTATACAAGACGAAGACTTATTATGCGCTTTCAATCTGAGAAAAGGCTGTTATGTCATTTTTTGGCGATTGAAAGATGCTTTCCCAAAAGTTAGGAAATTGAGACATTCTGTTCTGGAGACCATACATATCGAATGTGCCTGACGTTCGATGTACGCTATCTCTAAGAAAGACTTGATGTGACAAAAACAAATGTATAATGAAAGGATTGACGAATATTTTAAAAATTTATTGCCACAACAAAATGGCTACCACAGGTCATCTCAATCCCAGTCGTATTTCGCTTTGAATGTTATGATATAACGTGTTTGAAGTCATGGTTTTATTTTATTTTTGAACCAAAGAGCGTGGCAAACAGACGAATTTTTGCGTTGCTGTCTTATTACGTAACGCTTCAAAGGAGTTAGTTACGGTTACTTAAACGTAGCATTATTTTTTTAAGTCGATGCCTTGAAACCCGCGTAAATTTTCGCCAACCTTCTGTTTCTTCGGTTCCGTCTAACCAACCTAACATTTTATCCGAGTTTCTTCTGCGTGCAAAAATACTGTAAACGTGGCGTTCAGGTTAGTTTTGCACGTAGAAGAAACAACTTAACTTACGTAACTAAATTAATTTGGCGTACGTTGTCAATTAATGAAATATTATGGTTTCGTCTTCGCAAGCACTGTTTAGCGGGTGTATTGGTGCTGACCTGATTACATTCCTCTGATTTAGCCAGTTTTTGATAGTTCGATCTATACATGGCATAATATCTGAGACATTTGTCGTAATAATTGAAATAATCATCATTTTCTTTATCAGGTTTATTGTTGCTGCTTAAATCACTGGCTGCTGAAGGTATTTTTAAGATATGGAGTCAGCAAAACAGAAACAATTGTTGTATTTATGACACTGTTGCGAAAATCTGTTATATTTACAATCTTAAAATAAATCACTCTTGGATCTTGTTTAGATGGATCAATGAAACGAGAGCAATCGTTGCCATTCACTTCGACAGGCCCATCTGACATTTCGCCACTCGAATGATGTAATCAGTTGTGAACTGCGAACTCAGGGTGATATTAAAGGGGGAGGGGGAAGGGTAGGGAGGAAGTAGTTACCTGTTTGGTTAGAGATTTGGTTTCCATGGGATTAGCGACATGCTCTGAATGAATGTTTGTCTTACCTCTTTTTGTTGGACCCCTGGGCAGCAAACCAGTCGCGGAGGACGTTACATGCAATGGACCGGAAATTTGGGAGAGGGAGGAAGCAATCTCGAGCCCCAAGTCTTACAGGCTCCTTGTCAGCGGCTTAATCGCATTCTCAAATTTTGACAACTGGCTTTTGATTGATTTCTGCGCATGTCCAGACTGAAAGCAGCAGAGGAGAAGGCAAACAAACCGTTCGATTTGTCATGGGGACTCAGAATTCTTACCTAGTCCCACGCATCTTTTTCTATTTCTCTACCGAGCTCAAAACTTACCATCTGTCTTATTCTGTCTACAAACATGACGCTATCGACATTGCTGATCCCAGCAGCATGCAGGACGCGTGTCATATGAACTTCGTAATAGAAGTCGCTCGCCGTGGAGTCTCCGAAGGTCTGAGGTTCGATTCCCCATGGGGACTCAGAATTTTTTTCTTTGTCCCACGCTCGTGACAAGACGAAAGACATCTTTCTCCAAACCATACTTGTTGTAAGACATCTTACTGCGGAAAAGGAGCTGAACAATATTATTTACTCGAGACTGGGAATGATATTTCCATGAATTTAACGTTCCATTTTTCAGGTTGTACTGCGAATCAGAGCTCGACTGCCACTATATTGGCCACAGAAGACAGCCGCTCACTTGAAAATGGTACTTTTATACTTCCGTTTAATTCTACTTGCCAATGGAACATCACGGCACCAGTTGGTAAGGTGCTCAGCATTGACGCGGGAATCTTCTTATTTCATAAGCCATGTGGCGATATGTACCTAAAGATACACGACGGTCCGAGCGAGTCAAGTAGCCTAATATCAGAATACTGCCTGAATGTTACCTTTAGCACTAAAAAGTTCTCGTCGAGTGGCCGAAGTGTGTGGATCGAGGCGAAAAAGGGACCTCTTGACTTTTACGGCGCATTTCTTATCTCTTACCAGGCCATACCATTTGAAGGTAACAGGATTCGTAATTATAGAAATGAAAATGATTTCAAATTCGTTGTAACGTTGATGCAATCGTCGTGATAAGTAAATAGGCCTAATTTTGTCGAGCCTAGTTCCCGGAACCTGGTTTTTCTTAAACTGAAAGGACTTCAGTTAAAGAACTTTCCAATATTGTAGCTCGGTAGGTAGGTCTTTTCAACTCAGTTTGTACTTTAATATAGAGGGTAAACTGCATTCGAGATTCATGCAATTCGCACGGTTCTGAGTACGGATAATGTTCTGAATAAACCTTACAATTTAGGATTCTTAGAGGTTTGGGGGCTCCAGGGAACGGGGAGAGAGGAGAGCATTTTAAAGAGGGGGGCTTTTTAGAAAGGGGGGCTTTTTAGAGGGGGGCTTTTTAGAGAGGGGGGGCTTTAGAGAAGGGGCTCACTGGAGGAGGGGCTTTCTAAACAGGCGATTCAATAGAGAGGGGGCTTCCAAGAGAGGGGGCTCATTACAGGGGGCTTTTTAAGAGGGAAGCTTGCTGAATAACTCACAACTTTCTAAACATGTAGAGAAACTTATAAAGGATTTCAGATAATTTCTACAATGAGACTAGTATAACAATACTAGAGTTTTTCCTAGACGGGAGAAATAAGGGTGGCATGGTAGAGACTTGAGCTTTGGACGAGGTGGGGCGGGGGGCTCATTGGGAACTCAGTTCAACCTTTGGCCGGGGATTGCTGATTAGAAACTTGAATCTTTTACCGGGAGTTATCAAAGTCTTTACGATAATCTTCCTCTATAGAGTGTCCATTCAACAGCACATTGAACGCTCCTCTGTCGCCTGTGGCACATAACATTTCTAGCCCCTACTGGCCTCGTGGTTATCGCTTACACACGACATGTGGATGGTACATCACGGCGCCTGAGAACTACACCGTGGTGCTGCATCTCAAATATAAGCTATCTATGGACAGCGTAAAGGTTTATGACGTGGAGGGCTCCGTGATCAGCCTCCTCGCTCATTTTACTGGACGTGTGCCAGGATATTTGTACCAAGCCACTGTGTATTCCAATTTCCGCCGTTTGTACATCTTGTTCAAAAGTAAGATTGACACAGATGAAGGATTTTATGCATCGTACTCTGCCGTCACTCCAAGTATGTATACGGGGCAACTTAAGATTTAAGGGACACTCGATGAGTGTGGGTTTGTATAAAGGAGGGGTTGGGGCACGTTTTCTTGTGGGTGCTCCTGCTAGACCCTACACCCTTTATATAATCCCGAAATGTAAGACCCCTACATAACTGAATCACCGATACAACGAGCTAATTCCAGTAATATTGTTGAAAACTGTGAATAATATGTGTATCTCCGGTTGAAAACCCTACAACAATTTAAACATAAAGAGAACTTACTAAGGCTTTTAGATACTTTTTACCGAGATTTAACCAAATTTAGAACAGTAATATAATGTTTACCTTGGTGGAAGGGAGATGGAGGCTTATTAGAGAAAGAGGCGTCTTTGCAACATGGGGTATTGAAAACCTCAAACTCGGACCTGGGAGGGGCTTGATCAGAAATTGGAGCTCTTGACAGGGAATTGTTAAAGCGTTCACGATAATCATTCTTTCCAGTATGTACATTCAACTCCACATTGAATGCTCCTCTGTCGCCTGTGGAACATAACTTCTCCAGTCCCTCCTTGCCTTTTGGCTATCGCTTAAACACAACTTGTGGATGGTACATCACGGCGCCTGAAAACCACACCGTGGCGCTGCGTCTCACGTACAAACTCTACTTGGACAGTGTAGAGATTTATGATGTAGAGGGCTCTGTGATCAGCCTCATCGCCCGTTTCACTGCACGTCTACCCTTACGTTCTGAATCAACTACTATATATTCCAAGTTTCGCCGTTTGTACATCGTGTTCGAAAGTAAAGTTAAAACGATTGACGTAGAGGAAGAATTTTATGCATCGTATTCTGCCATCTCTCTAGGTATGTATGCGGGGCAATTTTATTTTTGAGGAACTTTGAACGGGGGATGGGTGGATAAAAAGGGAGGGCGTGGTCGTAGGGGATGCTCCTGGCAAACCTTATGGAACGTTAAGAGGGAAGGTTTTTAAAGAAACTTTGGTGCTGCGTCAGTGGGGGATAAAATAAGATAATTTGGTCGTATCAACTGAGGTGATAGTGTAAATTGCCTACTGTAGAAAGTTTCTGAAGCTGACAATTTGAGCGACGGATGGCTTACGCTTGAAACTTCAGCTTTAGAAACTCTTTACGGTGGTTAATCTACTTTATTAACTTAGTTGATTAAACCAAATTATCCTGTGGATCGTAACCTCGATACAGTTGCATTAAAGCGTTATCCCAGTGTATGGAAGGTGTTTAGGACCAAGAGAATATCAATTTTAGAGACTAGTCCCTCATAAAGACCTTACTGCGATGGTTACTTTTACATGCGTAAAATTACTTCAAAATGTCTGACTGCGCACGCGTCTGGTCGTCTTCTCTTTAAGGGGAATGATGTTCCGGAAACCACATAATTTTTATCGCCACCATTGAAAAGTTGATATAAAATCATGCCAATGACCGAGTTTTGAAACTACAGAATGTCGCCTAACCTTTTCCAAACAGTCTACAAAGACACTAGAAATTGGGCTATGGGCGCCGCCATTTTTTATTTTGCTCAGCAATGTGGCCGCTTACCTGTGACATAATAATTTTTTTCTATACACTCTGACAAGGTGGCGATGAGACATTATCAGTTTCAGTCTATTTCATATTTCTCGTTGAAAGTAAGCTCATGTGAGGTAGTCTTCTGGCTTTTTCCTCACTTGATCTCAGGAAACGTATCTCTTGAAAGGTCTATGTAGCCATTCTGGTATCTTGTCGATTCAATCTAACGTTATTTATCTTACGTATTTTAAGAGGTAGATAGCCCTTCTTGTTTTTTTTTTTATCCATACCCTTTCATAAACCTTCAGCGCAACAGGTATCGCTTTCGTGAGAGGCAGTTCAACCCAGGTAAACGAATTTTTTATGATATTCTTTCCATCATTATATCTGTAGCTCACGCCTGTTCATCGATGAACTCCTTGGATGAAAATAGGAATATTGTGTTGAAGAGTCCTTCGGGTGTCATAACAACCCCTGGGTATCCATCCAGCTACCCGCAGGAATTGATGAAACAGTGTTTCTGGAAAATACTAGCGCCTGTTGGAAATATTGTACTAGTGGATTTCCTATCCTTCCGGCTTCCGTCTTCTAGAACATGTTTGACTATTTTCTTTGCAATAAATAAAAGAAATCCAACGCAAACGCTTCTCTGTGGACTGAAAGCATCGTTTCTACTTTACTCAATGACAAACGAGATTGGTATTGAAGGTCCGCAGTCGTACGGTTTTAACCCCGGACGTGGTGGATTCAATGCGAACTACACGACCATACCAGCAGGTGAGAACGAAGGTTGGAATGTCGCGCAATATGTAATGTGTGAAGGAAGAAACTTAATGTGACTCAAAACGCTTCCCAAGCGCTGACTTTGTAGGAAAACCAGGGCGGCGGCGACATCTAGACCGTGTTGAAGCAAAGGATTTCATCAAATGAGCACAACAAAAGCTCTGCACGTGCGTTAAAAACCTAGTACTTTAAAGAGGTTGGCTTCAGCCAAACATTAGCGTGACAAAACCAATTTTACCGCATTATAAGAACGAGAACCCCAACAACAAATGTTTTATGTCTTAAGCAACTTAGTACCTGACGACCTCATGATGTGTTAAGCTTGAGGAGAATGTGTGATGCTGTTCACGAATTGACATCGAGCCAGTCGCAAAAACCACAAATTTCAAGTTCATTTTGAATCAATCTTTTCAAAGGCGTCTCATCTGGTTTTTAAGGCTACCGCTTTGTGAAGGTTCCTCCTTTGTAACCTATACTCACTTGCGACTATTTAACTGCGGTGATAATAAAAGGATGTTTTAATCAATTGTAAAAACGGTTGCGATTATTCATCATTTTGGTTACTTTAGTAATGAAGCTTTATCCGTCGTTTTTAATTGTTTTCTTTTTCCTTTGCGAAAAGAATCGCAGTAGGCAGTTGAAACGTCGCAGTTTACATCGGAACGGACTACATTGAGCTACGAGCGATTAAACTTCGTTATGGAAAGAACTTTTAACTCCGTCGTTACCTTAGCATTGGGAAGCGAAAATCGTCTTTTTAGCCTGTTTTTATTCCTGTGCGTGTATATGCGCATGTTGCAATTACATTTGAGTTCATCGAGATGTAGGTGTTAATTTTGTTTCTTAGTTCTGGTTTCACGGAACCATTTCCAATTCTATATTTCGTTTGACCTTTACAGCTTCATCAGGGGTTTGCATCCCAAGCAACAACAGCACTTTACACATGGCGGCAGAGGGAATGACGTTTTCAACTCCTGGCTTCCCTCTCTATCCTGGAAAAGGCCGATGTAACTGGAATATATCCGTATCCGAAGGGAATTTAATAAAACTGACGTTTCTGTCGTTATCAACGCGTTGTAATAAGAGTTATGTGGAGATTTTTGATACGACAAATTCCACAAGGATCCCCCTCGGAAAATTCTGCGATGTAACTTCTGGTGACTTTGAAGTGTACTCGCGAGGAAACAGTCTACTTGTTACGCATGTAAATCTCCTGAATACCTCGGCTTCCACAGGGTTTTTGGCGACATACGAAACCGTTAAGGCAATCCCTGCTAAATACGCTTGTGGTAAATTAGACATTTATGGCATTCCAACTAAATTAGGAGACAGTTTTGGTGAATTTGCTAGTCACCAGTTCCCTCGTTCTTACTCCAATGATGTCAAATGCTCCTGGATTATTCAAGTTCCAGTTGGATTTCTCGTGAATTTGACTTTTCATACGTTTGAGCTTCAAGAATCCCCAGGCTGTTCTGCAGACCACGTAGAGATCAAACAAGGGAAATCAGTTTGGTCAGTTACTGAGTTACTTGGAAGATTTTGCGGTGCATCAGTACCCAGAGTTATTCAGTCCAACCGTTCTATAGTCAGAGTGGACTTTGTGGCGGACAGCTCAGGAAGATACCCAGGATTCCATGCAAGCTTTAAAGCAGTTTCTGATCGTAAGTAGGGTACCTTTTTGATCAGGCGTCCAAATTAATTCAGCTTTGCTTTAATATTACTTTACTTTGCGATTGGTCTGAAAATTTCATGCAAACCAAAACAAATCGTAACTTGGTCACTCGCGAATCAAACGTATGCAGATTGATGTAAAGGCTTATGAACAAACACAAAGGTCAAACGTGGGGCATGCGCAAGGAGATCTATTTTGCCCGCCCGCGCTCCCATTTCCCGCGAAAAATTTCAAAGGAAAACATTTGAAGGAACCGCTGTCTCGCGAAAAGCGAAATAACATTTGAAACTCATAGAAATCTGTAAATGGAAGCAAAAGTAAAGAAAAGGAAAACTCAAGACTTTTCGAACACAAAGCTGATTCAAGTTAGATACACTGTTGATTCACTACTCTGTTTTGAGCTTTACCAAAAACGTTGTATGCTTAAAACACCGTGACTTACTGGCTTGAGTGGTGTGTGGTGTTACTCGTGTTAGACCTGGTCATTGCGTTCGCACATGCGCAGACGTTCGACCGCTGTGTTCTAGGATCAAGAGAAAATAAACCAAAATGGTTAAAGCTCTCTTTTATCATTTCAGCCGCCATGGGCCCATGTAAAACTCAAGGAATAAATAACGTCATCCCTCTTAACGGGAAAACTGGAAGATTATTTTCCCCGCTGTATCCGGAGACATTTCCTAACAATATGACGTGCACGTGGATCATAGCAGTTACCGAGGGCCATTTTGTCAGGTTGAGAATAACCTCTTTTTTCCTGGCACATGTTTGTAAGCAGACGACTTTGGAAATTCGAGATGGCCAGAAATCCTCCAGTGACTTACTTGGGAATTTTTGCGGGAGCTCCTTTGAAAGATCGGTATTCTCCAGCGGTCGTCATCTCTGGATTCGGTTCCATTCTGACAAAGATGAATTGTTGTACGGGACGGGATTCAATGCTTTCTTCGAGATGGTTGGCCAATGTAAGTTTTTTTTTTTATATTATTGTTGTAATTGAATGAGAGGTAACCATGGTAAGAGAAAATGAATAAGCCACTGTCCATCCTCAAGATCGAAAGAAAACGTATCCGAATCGCGATTTCAACTCTTGTAAGGGTACACGGAATAATCCAAGTTTCTAAAGGTAACGTGCGCTTCAGAAACTGGGAAAAATTTTGCTATCTCCGCCACAGAAAAGTTTATGTAAAATCATGACCCCCAACAGCTTTTTGAGATTCCTTAGAGCGAACTTACGCTGAGAAAATTGTCTTCAAATTTATTTAGTTTTGTTACTGTGGTTGCCGCCATTCTCAATCTTGGTTAACAATCTGGCCACTGTCTTACGACGTTACAATTCTAAGAACTATAAAAAACGCAGGCTGGACACAATTGATTTTTTTTCTTTTTAAGCTTTTTGTCAACTTCGCATTGTAGATTTGAAGGTGTTGACTTATTTTTCGACTGAAGGCATTTTTACTGAAAACATCTTTCACTTTAAAAAGTCGAATTTACATAATTCTATGTCTTCATCTCGTTTTCTTGTAGTACCAGCTCCGTTTTCCTGCACAGCGAAGGACTTAAACATCAAATTGAAGTCTGAGACAGGAACTCTGGCCAGTTACAACTACCCTCTGCCGTCTGACGACTCTGTAGAATGCATCTGGTCTATCAGTGTAGACACTAATTCCAAAATTATATTGTCTTTCGAGTTTTTCAATGTGTCCCGGACCAGTGACTGTTCTGAGGACTATGTAGAAGTGCGAGATGGAATGTTCAGCACCAGCGACCTTGTTGGAAAGTACTGTGGAGCAGAGAAACCCTCGAAGATAACCTCGGATTCTTGGAACTTGCGTGTAGCTTTTAAATCGAGTGGCAAGTTGAAATATCCTGGGTTCAAAGCCACCTACAAAATAAAAAAGGGTAGGTGAATATCCTGAGATCAATTTGCAATAGGAAAGGCAGGAAAGATATTAAATGTGTCTGCACGGATAGCTTTGCACGTGCATCACGATTTTTAGCGCGTTGTGTGTCATCAGCATCAGTTAGTGCTACGTAATGTGCCGCTGGGAAGAAGCTTTCTTTTGGCGTGGGAGCGTGTGGTTTATTGTCACGTGCCTGTGCGGGCATTTGCTTGTTTTGTGCGTGTTGCGTGAAATAATGATTGCATGAGCCAATGCGTTTTGCCATCTTACGGCGAACAAGTCTGTAATTTACGTTCATCGACAAAGCAGACTTATGGTGCAACCTTTCAAAGCTCATAGGATGCTCTGGTGACGTAAATTGCTTTCACGCTCCTTTGCTGTTCTAGCTAACCATTTTTCTGCTTTTTCCTATTTCCTGTCAGATCCAACCCTTAAAATTCTTAAGATCGTCGGGATTTGTGTTGGAGCACTGTCTTTGCTGTGTGCTATAGTTGCCGGTTCTTGCCGTTGTTGCAATAGGAGGCATAACCAATCGCAACCCGAAAACGTTTTAGCTATGCAAGGCACAGTCAACGCTGGAACTGATGGGGAAGGTATCAGGAACCAAACAGGCAGTTCATGAAAACCTGCATAGTGATCTTTATAACTCAAAGAGCTATCAAGCCACCTTAAAATAAACAACCCTAGCTTGTCTTACTGATCTGCTCTCTCGATTATGAGAGTTAAAACTGTTACCTGCTCTTTGCCAAATTTCAGAGCTACGAGGGAAAATGTTCATGACCTTATCGATGATCATAGTAACTACCGGCTTGCACTGAAATTGCGCAGGTTTGACATATTCAGAATCAATCGGGGAGAACTGGGTCGAGTTATCAGGGAGCCTCGACTTCCCAAACTAGATCCAGTTCCCTTGCTCTCGTTCGAACCGAAACCCGAACAGATGAAGTAAATTCTTCATAGCTATATTTCAGAATTAACACTTTAGAGAACGTTCAAACTTGAGTTTAATCTCAATTGAGGTCAGTCATTGAGGTCAATCATTGAATCAACGAATTTAACTTGATGAATTTGTTTTCGATATTAATATGCCAACTGCCTTATGTTATTATATGATTATTTATTTCATTAACAACAAGGATTTCCGGGGCGATTCTTTTAACATATTAAAGGTGAAACACTAGAGCATTTTTAATTAAGTCAAAAGTATTACGGGATAGCTTTGGTTTTACTCTATATTGCTCTGTGACTGGCGGCGAAAACTGGCAGAACGTTATAAACCAACCAGATACAAAAGTAAAAAGACTCTTGGCTTGGTTACACGCGTTTTCCCGCGCTTCACGCAGTTTGCGTGTTTATTCTTCGGTTCCTCATTGGCTCCTTGTGATGTTTTTCTTTGTTCTGATTGGCTATTGAGATAAGGTTGATTTTAGTTTTCGACCAGCCTGAACCAGAGTGTCTCGATGGGGTGAAACGATAACCATAAAAAGGCTTAAAAATTTAGCTGTTAGGCGTAAAAATTGACAATTTGACAGGTAGTCGTGAAAAAGTTGACCGTAAATAAAACTTCCGATGACAACAATGGAATGATATTAACCATTAGCCGTAAAATGGCCAAAATTTTAACCGTTGGCCGACACCCGTACCCCATTGAGAACCTCGTTCCAGGCGTTCAATCAGTAAAACGAAGCACGGTAGTTGAAAACGAGGAAGGCTTGGGTCGAGTCGCGTTCTTTAACCGATCCAAACCTCTTGTTTTTTTACCCCTTCGCTACTATAGCTACTATTTCGCTGCGTTTTATTAACTTAACAGGTGGAACAGGCTAGTTTTCGACACTCAATCAAAGAGCGCTCTCATCTGTTAATTTGCATCAATAAAAAATGGTAAATACTCATCTTATTCTCAGATTCATTACATCTTCAGTAAATGGATGTGGGAGAAGTAACTTTTTCCATAACGTTGACACTGTAATGCCGCAATGGCGCGCTTTTCTGTCGAAGTATTATATTTTCCATCACTTGTGACCAAACGTAAGGTTATACACAGTGGACCTGTATCAATCGGTACTGTATTGAGCGGTCACCCTGTATTAAGCGGTCGGTTTTAAAAGCCACGAAATTTTCTCCCTATAAATTTTGTAATATTCACCTCTATTCTGTGGAATCTGTATTTGGCGGTCAACCTGTGACTAGCGGTCACCCTTTCGTTCCCCATAGTGACTGCTTAATCCACTGTACATTGAACCGTGGCAAGTTTTTTAGAAACAAAATCTACTTCGAAATACCGCGAGGGCTTGCGAAAACAGCACAAAATCAAACAGACCTATAATGAAGGCAAGTTCTCGATTAAAAAAAATGTCTAAACTCGTCAAAGTCGGCGATAAGGTGTTCTGCAACAAAACTTGTATTACATGGAATATGGGAGGGCAAACTGTGGCTACAGATCCAAAATTTATAGCTCTTTGTGAGCGGTTGACTAAAAATTCTTTGAACGTTAACAAGAACAAACCTCCAAACTTATTGTGGTAATATTAATTTGCACACAAAATCATTAAAACGGGACGCTGTAGCCACTCGCACGCACGATAATCGTAGAAGCTATATCTGAGTGTGCGCGTGTCAATCGCGTGTGTCACGCTGATTTGTTACCCTTTTGAGAAGTAGTTGCTATAGATACTTTATATCGGAAAGTTGTCTTAACCCTTTGGCTGCATTGCGTGACCTCGCTTCGAAAATCATGTGATTCTTCTGTTTACTGATGAGGTCATATCTAGCATACCAGTCTGTATCTTAGCAACATCTACTGATTCCCGGGTGTCGTCGATGCCGTGGACGCTGTATTGGATTCCACTATATTTTCTTTCTTTGGCACGTTTAGTGCAAGAAGTATAAAGCCTGGAAAAAATTTACAGACCAATGCAGATGTTACTTATGAACCGATATGCGCACTGTGTCAAAAGAATCCTGACTTGGTAATACTAGGCACAGGGACAGTTTATTTCAATATATTTGTCAAAATTTGTAGAAAGAACATAATAAATTGCGGGTTGCAATTTACATCGAAATACAGCACTTAAGCTCAGCATTAAGCTGGCTAGAACAAAGGAAAGGCTCGTCCTTTTTCTCAAAGTAGTACATACTGCAACAAACGTCCGCTCACACATCAATATATATGACATCCATAAATGATTGGGATAGCGACACGTCTAAGTTGGCGAGTTAATCGTCTTAGCCTAAGTAACTTTGTTTCCTTTATAAATGATATCCTTAATTATGATTGGCATTTGATTGCGAACAATGATTTGAGCCGCATATATGGTGTGTTTTAACCAGTTTTGGTATCATCGGAGACTCTCAGTGGGAGATAGTACCGGTGCGCTAAATTGAACTACGAAATTACACTATACACCTAAGCTGAAAACGGATCGGTCTGCAAATTAGAAACCGTCACTGAAAGAAGTAAGTTTTGATCGATGTGATTATGCTAACTTATAGCACCTTCTCTGGCTTCAAGGTAACGAAAGAACAGGATTCTATTCAGTTCGAATCAGCCTTATTTCGAATTTCCCCCGCTAGTATAATCAAGCTGTACAATTACGATTAGAACCAAGGTATAACTCAATTGTCAAGAGCAATAGATATGATTGAAATTCATCATACGATTTGTGGTGATCGTTCGAGTTTGCCTGTTCCCGACTGAAACAAACTTAACGTATCATAGTGTTGTTTCTAATGTCGTGACCCACTGCATCGCGTGACCCTGCTTTCGATATCACGTGACCTCTCTGTAAAAAAACCACGCAAATCTATTGTTTACGTATGATTTCAGATACAACATCAGTCGCTTCTCCGTAAGAAATTGGCTCGCCTTCGCGCTGTTTTAGGCTGCTGGGATGATGTTTTTATTCCTTGGTAAGTATTGTATATTTTAATCCTATAGCCAGTCAAGATAAACACTAATATTTAGATCAGTTTGACTTGCATGCGAGGTCAAATTATTCTTTAAAAACGTACGGAACCTTTAGCCTTTTGACAGTTTGTTCCATCTGAATGAAATACCGTTCAGAAGGAGAATGGAGATTTGTAACCCAATTAAAGGATTTTGGCTTTGGTTTACGAAGGCAAAGCAAATTCATTCTTTATGTTAGCCGATGATACAAGACGTTTCACGATCTTGTGTTCCATTTGCCGTTAGTTGTTTATCTATCCATATGAGAGAGAGATACCGCAGTGGAAAAGGTGCAGTTTTTCGGCAGCATCATTATCTAGAAAATCTTCAGAGCATGTGCTTTCCTGTTCTGAGGACATCTAAGTGTTTTTCATGTATTTAAGTAATAGATGCAGTCAGTATGTGTTCGTTTTTCGAAGTCAGTTATAACTAATGTTTATCCAGTGAAAAAGCTGAAAAGGCACGCAGCGGAATATACTTTTTTTAAAGAAACTTTGAAGAGGAATCTTGGATTTTAAATTTCATTCAAAAGTTGTGGGCAAATGATAGTGAACGGGTAGCTTGAGAAACCCTAGCGATTCGCGTGACTAGATCGCAGCGATGGGACGACTGTACTGTAACACTTTACAATTTACAATTTACACTTTGCGTTACCTTTTGTACTATACAAGCAATTAATAAGAGGGAACGATACAAAATTTTGTAGACAAAGAGCTGCAAAAATTTAAGCTGTTTGTCCCTGGCAAGCGAAATATCTTGATTTTGACCTTTATGAGAAGAGGTTTCAACTTCGATCTAGAATAATGATAACACGGTTTCTTTTTGCAGGTTTGGCTTTGCTACTTAAATCACTAACGGCGGAAGGTGAAATTAAATTTACTGCTTCTTGATGTGTTTAAGCTGAAATGTTGAGAGAGGAGGAAAAATAAAAATTTCTAGGCTGGTTATATGCTCTTGTCTATGGCTTTCGGAGCCACTGTGACACGAAAAGCAAGCAAGGCTGCTGAAGACATGTTTAAGTCACCTTCGCAACTGTTCTTCGGGTTGTAACGCAACGCTTCCCCGTGCTAATCATATTAGGAGCAAAATTGCGTGACATCCCAAAGAACGACTGCGAAGGAGACTAGTTAGAGACTAGCAGCAGAGCAAAGTAAAATGTTGCGTCGTTAGCTAAACCCTCACAGCATTGACGCTCGTTTCGCAGCAACTGTTAGAGCCGGCTCGCCGGATCCTCTGGATTCGCAAGGTCCTAAATCTCTTAGTCTGATCTATGCAAATTTGGATGCATTTTCCAATCATACCCTGGTTTAGGCACTGAAAATCCAACCTTGATGACTGTTTTGAAATGCCACGACTCAATCCTCATTTCTTTCTTTGTTGATTCAGACCGAAACCTTCAAAAGCAATTCTCCTCGAGATTTTGGCTCCTCGAGTATACTCAGTACATTTATTTCTGAGAGTACTAAGTTATGGGAGACTCGTTGTGGCGCTAAATTCATCCAGCTCATTTTCTTAAATTTTTACAGCGTGTTCTTTAAACACCACTCTGAATGCTTCTTTGTCACCTGTGGAAAATAACTTCTCTAGTCCCAACTGGCCACAGGGATACCAAGTGAACACGACGTGTGGATGGTACATCACGGCGTCTAAGAATCATATCGTGGTGCTTCGCCTTACATACGCGTTGAACACGGACACAGTAAAGGTTTACGATGTGGACGGTGCTGAACTCAGTCTTATTGACAATTTTACTGGGGGAGGCCAGGGATCTAGACAAACAACCACAGTGTATTCCAAGTTTCATGGATTGTACATCTTGTTCGACAGTGACAATAAAACAAGTAAAAAAGAGGAAGGAGTATTCGCCTCGTACACTGCCATTTCTCCAGGTAGGTGTGGGGCAAGATTGTAGGATGTTTCATCGATTCGAAAACTGGCGGGAAACAAACACGTACCCGCGGCGCAAGCGCATGCCAGCGGTTACTCTCAACAAACAAAAATTTTTATGGAACATGCGCAGACAAGATGCCCCTCTGCTGTACGTTTGATGTTCAGAGGCATTTGCAGCCCTCTGGAAAATTTTTGACCGAGGTGGCTTCGGCACGCCTTTCATCTCTTTTATGCTGCGGAGATTGCCAAGGTTGCGAGCATTCTCTTCCCCAGTGCTCATCGTTTTTCTTTGCCGTTGCGAAAAACCATGGGCTCTTAGACGAAACTAGGTCGTAAGAAGACAGAAGTCTCTGATCTGTGCTGTCAGGATTCTTGACCTCTCAGGCGGTCAATTTTCTTTTAATATTCCATAATTACATATTCTTTGGGAGTCGTGCTTAAAGGATAGTTATGCCAGCAAATGTGGCACTGATTTATAGATTATCGAATTCATTAATCAATTTATCAACCGAATTTAATCGATCATTGAAAAGTATTCAATTGATATCAATGGTCATCGGTCAAACCCAATCGATATTAATCGAAAGTAGCTAATAACAGTTCCGAAAAAGCTTGTGGAACTGATAACGAAAAGACAAATCCAAAATTATGATGTCAAGTGACTGTGTCAAAATGATTACGACTACGGTCACTCGGATATTTGCCAAATGTTTGTGACGTAAATATTTGTATTTTGTAAATGTTAAACTTTCTAATACAAAGAATAAGTGGTATTCTCTCTCTAGTAACTTCTTTTAAGAACAGGAGTTTCACCCGACTTCGAAATAACTAAAAGCACAGTAATTTCGTTCCAGTTATGATGAAGGGGACCCACCCTGTAAGGAGTGCTTTCTTTCTAGTGCCCCCCCCCATCCCCCCCCCCCCTCGTTGCGGCCTAGAAGGATTAGAACAATTGCATCATTTAAAATATTTCTAACTTATTTTTTTATATATGCAGCTCTCCACTGTTCATCAGGAAACTCCCTGGACGAGAATCACAACATCGTGTTGAAAGATCCCTCGGGGGTTTTAGAGACTCCTGGGAACCCCAATCGTTTGTGTTACTGGAAGATAATCGCTCCTAAAGGAAGACTTCTGCGGGTTGAGGTTTTATCAATTCAGCTTTCTATGTTGGAGTGCGTTGAAATTGTCTTTAAATTGAATAAGAGAAATCCTCCGAGTGCGAAGCGATGTGAACAATCATATCCTTCCTTCGTTCTTTACTCGTTGACAAACGAGCTTGGCATAAAGTACCAACACTATGGCATACCAACTAGTTATGGCTTTAGAGCAAACTACACAACCATACTTCCAGGTTAGCACAATTATTTGTTACGTCGCGCAACACTGCTTTCGAGTGTTGCGCTCTTGCTCGCGTATTTGGTCGCGAGTCAGGGAAACTGGGTCGAGGAAACCCAATTGCGACGGACTGGTACAATTTCAGATCGAAATGGATAGCAAAAAAGAGATAAAAAATTCACTCGCAGTTTGCCTCTTTTCGTATCGCCATTATTTTAATTTCTCCCAGGAATATTCTTGACTAAGCTTGAGGGATAGAAAAGGGCAGCTTCGGTTTGATGCAAAAGTTGACTTGACGAGTAGAAAGGTCTCCTGACCGACTCCTCCCTCGATTTCCTTTTAGCCCTTAACTTCAAGAAAAAGACCGAGTTTCCTGGATCAACCTGCTCTACCAATGGAAACGGGTGTGAGATAAATGAGTCTCCACATTTTGTTTGATTGTTTGATAGTTTTCAGTATTTTTTACACGTTGATATGCTATTGTTTACTTTTTTGGGGTGAGGGGGGTGGGGTGAGAGGAGGCAGAGAAAACGTTACTCATCTACTTCTATCTAACCCTCCTAGATTCAACTGGCTTTTGTATACCGGGCAAAAACAGTACAATCTACATGAAGGGCGAAGGAATGGCCATTGCAAGTCCGGAATCATACGGGGACCGTAAAAATGATAGCTGGTGCAACTGGAATATATCTGTACCCCTTGGGAACTTCATAAAGCTGACATTTTTGTCATTTACTGGAGTCTGTCTCATCGAAAACAAGGTCAAGGTTTATGACATGACAAATTCCACAAAAATTCTTCTTGGGGAATTCTGCGGGTTCAAAAAGAGAAACAGCGAGGTTTTCTCCAGAGGGAACAATTTGGTGATCACCCTTCCAATTTTATCACAAGAACCATATGTCAGATTTTTGGCCACATACCAATCAGTCCAAGCCGTACCTGCATCATACGCTTGCAATTATGTTAAGTACATGAAGGGTGATGTAACAGAATTAAACGGTACTAATGGTGAATTCGCTAGTTACCAATATCCGCTGCCCTACTCCAACGACGTCCGCTGTTCCTGGAAGATAGAAGTCCCGGTTGGTTTTATTGTAAATGTGACTTTCCATGTATTTGATTTACAAGAATCTCCCAACTGTAAGTCAGACTTTGTTGAGATCAAACAGGGATTGTTTCATTCGGTGGGACGATTTTGTGGTTTTATGGCATCCGAGGTAATTCAGGTGAAGAACCGCGTGGTTTACGTGGATTTTGTTACAGACAGCTCTGAAAGATACCCAGGATTTCATGCAAGCTACACAGCAGTCCCCGATCGTAAGTGGTTCATATTAAATTTAAAAAAAAAATTATGAGCAAAATCGATTGAATGTTGAAAGCAATCCAGTATTTTATTAGTTTTACGCTAACTCATTCTTGATTGGTCCAGTAAAATTGCTCTATCCTATGAACCAATCAGATTAAAACAAAAACAACTCACTTCTTGGTCACGCGCGTTTTCCCGCGCTTCCTGAAGTTTTTTGGTTTTTATTTTGACTTCTCATTGGCTCCTTGTGATATGCCTCTTTATCTGCCCGGCCTTTGTGGTTGCAGATTTATGATACTCAACTACAAAGAGCTCTAAGTTTAGTTTGTCCATGATTTCCATTCAACTATTTTCACTTACCTCATATACAGACTGTTCAATGTGTAAGAGGGAGATTCCTTTTTTTTCTATCCCAGCGGCCATGGGACCCTGTAAAACTCAAGGAATAGACAACGTTATTCCCCTGACTGGAAAAGCTGGAAGACTATTTTCGCCCCTATATCCAGAGAAATTTCCACAAGATATGGAGTGTACTTGGATTATAACAGTTCCGGAAGGACAATTCGTGAGGTTGAGTATAACATCCTTTGATTTAGGAAATGAGTGTAAAAACACTCTCGAGATTCGTGATGGCCAGAACTCATTGAGTCCATTGCTGGGGAATTTCTGCTCTGTATCCTTTGATCGATCAGTGTTTTCCAATGGTCGCTATCTTTGGGTTCGATTTCAGTCGGAAAAACGGGCAGATAAACCTCCATATGCCACTGGATTCAAAGCCTTCTACGAAACAGTCAGCCAGTGTAGGTATTCTTTTTTTTAATCATGTTTTTAGATTTACCCACAGTTTTCGATTTTAAATGGATCTCATGAACAAATGTCAAATTCAGAATGAGCCATGAACACGTATACAATGTTCGGAATTTTTATCACGTCGTGAAAAAAAACATACAGGAAATCAGGGTATGCGGGAAACCCAGGCGGCCGGATCTATCACGCGTGTGTGTGTTGGGGGGGAGGAGAAGGGGAGAGGGGAATGAAGGTGTTCTGAGCTTATTCCCATATCTGATTTGAACCAAATTTTTTTTCCGGAGGGGGGGAGGATAGCATTCTGAGAATGCATATAAAGTTCTCCGAGACCCTTCTGGCGGTCACGTGGGTTAAACACTCTATGTAGAGCGCGTAAAGGAGAGTGCAAGGACTGGATTAGTGTTGGATTCTTAATCAATTAACTGGAATAATTGATGATAATTAAATGTATTCCAGTGCCAGCATCGTTCTCCTGCACCGCGCAAAACTCAAATCACGGCATTGAGTTGAAGTCAGAAACTGGACTCCTGGCCAGCTACAATTACCCTTTGCCTGTTGACGATAGTGTTGTATGCACCTGGTATATCCTCGTAAACACTGATTTAAGGATCAGACTATCATTTGACTTCTTCAATCTGAGTCAAGCGAATGACTGTTCGGAAGACTACGTAAAGGTATTGGATGGGAATTCCACACACAGTAACCAATTAGGAAGGTACTGTGGAGAAGAAAAACCCCCCACGATAACCTCGACTACTTCAAACTTATACGTGATTTTTCGGTCCAGTAGAAATGCAAAATATCCTGGATTCAAGGCCAGCTACAAAACAGAGGACTCGAGTAAGTAAATTTGTGCGAGGATTGCTCAGCGGTAATCTCTTACCCAGATCTTACCGTGTAACTGAAATGTACAGCCACTTGGCCGTGGAAGGTCTGGGTACGAGACTAGCTAAGGGGTGCCTAAACTAATAGTGCCGGTTATTTACACGAGGTCTGGCCCAAACCGCGATTTTACGAAAGCAATGGGCCTCGGGGATTCTTCATAAGAGGATTGGTTTGAATATCCTTCCACTATAAGCTTTTGGCCCTCTTGACACTGTTGACAAATATAAATGTTCCGGCTCATAGTGTTTAGGACGTCTTTTAAGTGGTATTTATGAGGATTTAGTGAAGTTCGAGCCAAGTCAAGATTTGCTAATAAATGTTCCTGCATATCAACTTCCTCGTACCTTGGGTCGCTCTTCTTTGCACTTTCTTGATCGAGAGAAGGTTTGAAAAAAAATATAACAAACCTGATTGTTGTGGGCGTGTCGGAACGTGTGACTGATTAAGTTAGTCGTGGTGCTGTGAAACGAATACGTTTTGCTCAAGAGTATTCATGCGTTTTATTGGATAACAAGATATTTGTTGAGGTTCTTGTCGAATTACGAGGACATTTAGTTTAGAGTAATTCGTGCAGCATAAGAACTAGCAAAATTTGAAAATTATTTTATTTATGTTGCAGAGACTATAGGGAGATGCGAAATTCAAGGAAAAGATAACAATATTCCCTTGACTGGCACAAAAGGAAGACTATTTACGTCGCTATATCCACAGACAGTTCCAACAGACATGAAGTGTACTTGGATTATAACGGTACCAGAAGGACACTTTGTTTGGTTAAGAATAGTGTATTTTTTCCTGAAAAGTGATTGTGCTAAGACTACCCTAGAAATTCGTGACGGTCAGAGTTCTTCCAGTGAATTACTTAAGACCTTCTGTGGAAGTTCGTTTGAGTCCTCGGTGTTTTCCAGTGGTCGCTACCTCTGGGTTCGTTTTCAATCCGCAAAAGATGACTCCCTGAAAGGAACTGGATTTGATGCTTCCTTTGAGATGATCAGCCAAAGTAAGTGTTCTTTTGTTAGGTGTGCTTACATTTAGGGCAGCTTTCGATTAATTTTTGAAAGTAAACCAAGATTGCTTGGGTTTTGCTTTACTTCGCTATGAGAGTCCCAAAAACTTGCGCCTCGTTCTCCACCGATCAGATTCAAAAGTGAAACCAATCATGACTCGCGTTTTCCCACGCTTAAGCAGTTTCTTTGTTTTTATTTTGCGTTATCATTGGTTCCTTGAAGTATTCTTCTAAACCAATCAGATTCAATGGTAAAAACCAAAGCGATTTTTCAGCGTCTCGAGCAATTTACTTGTTTTGAATTTGTGTTCTCATTAGTTCCATATAATAATAATATAATATTGTCTAATCCTCTGAAAGGCGGTTGTTATTGCTTTGAATATTTTTCAATCTCTTTTATTTTAGCACCAGCTCCCTTTTCCTGCACCGCGCACGACCAAAAGTTCTTGTTAACGTCCAAGACTGGAACATTGGCCAGTTATAACTACCCTCTACCATGTGACGACTCTGTCGAGTGCATCTGGCACGTGAACGTCAATTCAAATTCCAAAATTAAGCTGACCTTCCAATTATTCAATCTGTCCCAAGCGAAGAATTGTACTGAGGACTATGTAGAGGTGCGAGATGGACCATTCAACACAAGCGACCTCATAGGGAGGTATTGCGGACCAGCAAAACCCTCGGCGGTAACTGCGGGTGGCTGGCACTTGCATGTGGCTTTTAAATCGAGTGGAAAGACGAAATATCCTGGATTCAAGGCCAGCTACGAAACGACAAAAATAAGTAAGTAGGAAGTTTGATTGGGAGATGGGAACAACATGCAAGCGTTGACGTGTTCGTGAGTGCGTACTTTCGTGGGAACGTGCATGTTCCGTTAATCGTCGATAGGTGCACATAAGTTATTAGATTGCATGTGGGGTGATGCGAACACAATGCACCCGCGCGCCAATTTCCCGCGCAAAACGTTAATTAAAGGAAACATTAGAAACAACTGGTGTCTCGCATGACGAACAAAAGAAAATTGAAACGTTCCCAAAAATCTGCCGTTAAAAGAACTCAAAAGTAAGGAAAGAGAAAAATCAAGACTTTTCGAACACAGAGCTTATTCAAGTACGGGTATCCTGTCGGTATATCATTCTGTTTTGAGATTTACTAATAGATTTATAGGTCTTTAATGCATCGTGACTCACTAACTTGTGTGCAACTGTCTCATCTACAATTTCCTTTTTATTACTTTTCGTTTCGTTTCAGAATCGTCGCTGAGTAGTGCAAAGATCGTTGCGATTTGTCTTGGGGTATTTGTTTTCCTGTGTATCGCAATTGGATGTTCTCTAACTTTTTACAAGAAAAGACGAAACAAAGCTTGGCCCTCCCTCGTCGTGGAATATTCTGACAACTCCGGCTGTGTCATGGAGAACCTAAGGAAATAAAACCCACTGGCCTTGGACATTATAATTTATCTTCTTTTAGCAGTTATTCCTAGTGGAGTCATCGGAAATAACACAAGTTCTGAGAAAAATTCTCGTGCACTACTCCCGTTTCAAATAGCTACAGATACTTAACCAGTTGTAAATATGTAAAATACCAAACTGAACGATTTTACTTACGTACTGTTAATTTCCTTGTCTTGTTCAATGTTTATTGGCGTAGCACCACAACTAATGTTACTGTGGTAACAAACCTGACAAATCCGATTCCAGGAAACGTTTAAAAGTAATCCCAGAGACAGCCTTGTTTATCCTGGTGTCTTTTTCAAGTCCTCAGCAATGAATGGCTTCATTGAATTTACCCTGTTACCCTCCAGAGTATTAAGCATCCAAGATCTTATAAAAGTATCACCCTTTAATCAAACAGGAAGGGTAAAGGTCACGAACTAGAGAAGTTCTTGATTGTTCAACAAATTCTCCTTATCAGCCAGCGCCATAGGAAATAAATGGAGAACAGGGTGTTAAGGGTCGAGTTGGCATCATTTTTCGTTTCCTTTAAAACGATTGGTTAATTTTGTTTAGTAGAGATGTTTGTATTAGTTTTGGTCACTAGAACCTGAGTTACACCACAATTTAAAGTAACATTCACTACTTCAAGAGATGAGTCATTCTTTTATCACTTTATTTTAACAGTTATAATATTACGGAGCATCCCAGAAAATTTAACTTATGTCACATCTGAATTCAAAAGAATTTTAGTCAAATAAAAAGTTGTCATCATTTGAAAAATAAAATTACGTCAGGAATTATTTTGTTTTGATTTCATTCGTATGTTTTTACGTTGTCAATGCTGGTAGCAAAAGTTGCTGCTGCTATCTTCCACCAACTGTAGAATGAAGTGGGAGATAATGTACCAGAATTAAAGTCGCTACAGGATTTCCTGTCAAAATTTCATTCAATTCTGAGTCGCAAACAGTGGTTGGAAGGTGTCTGCGAACAAAGCTAGTCTTGTGAAAGAAATTGTTGAGGAAAGAGTAAAAATAATTAACCAGTTAAAAATTAGTTTTTCACTGCATACTCATGGTGTACTCCGTTTTTGTTGTCTACTGACCGTATGCACAACAACAATTTTATCGAATTCCATTCGCAAACTGTGGCTAAATTCCAAATTCGAATTAGGAGAAACAGATGGCGAATGATTAGCACGCTTGTGTGACGAAAAGGGAGCAACTTTGATTGTTACCAACATGGCACAAACTTAACATATTTCACAACTTATCATAAATTTTCCGAAATTTGCAACTGAATCATTCAACTTCATGATGAAACAATTGCAAATTTCCAAACAAAAATTCATAAAGGATACCGCGTTAGTCTTTGTACAAAAGAAAAAGGTGGAATGTATAAACTATTTTTTTGGCGTCTGTTTTCAATTTCATAAACATAACAAATTAATTCTATATCATTAATATCATTATTCACTTTGCATTCGATACTTCTTTTATATCAAACTATGTAACAGGCATTTTTATGAACTGATCAAGGTTGTCCTTCTGCGCGCTCAAGATCTACTTCTCTCGTCAAGGAACCCTTCCTTTCCAGAAAAACAGCTCCACAAGCTATAAATTGTGCGACAGACTAAAAAAAGTGCTCGCGAAGAAGGCCTGCTAGATCACAAAATTGAAAATTCAAGCAAAATAATTACTACTACAGCTCCGGCTGTTTCCTGTTTGATGTTCGCCTAAACTGAGATACTGTTAATTCTTAATCTTTTTTCTGGCTAACTTAACTCGTAAGTCGGAGTTGTTTTCGCTATTACTTTCCGAAAAGATATGTTTACATCTTGTTTTGCTTAGTGCCGACGAGATTCAATCAGTCCTGATTAAAACATTCAAAAAATATTCATTAATTTTACTACCCCCACGTTAAATTAATCCCACAAATATGAAACACAACGAAATAAGTCCATGGTGCATAAGAATGTATGGAGTCAGTAGACAGGAATATTCACTACACTTCCCTTACTAACGAAGAAATGGTAATAGGACAGACAGCGTACTATCGCTGTTAGAGCGCGAAATTTCCACCGTGCGTCGTAAACCAAAGACAAAGTAATTTCAATGACTAATCAAGGCAGAGGAATATATCTAAAGGAACCAATCTGAATTCAAAGTAACAAGAAGTAAACTGTCTAAAGGGAGGGAGAACGCAGGTGGCTGAGGCGCTATCGTTTTCAGTTTTGCCTCTGATTGGTCGAGTGGATGACGCGGGTTCTCTACACCAATCGCGGGGTGAGCCAAAGCAAAACAAAACCAAAACAATCCTAGACGTTTTACCCCAGTCTACGTACGGACGTTTGTTGCGACTATTTTTCCGTGACAATTGATGTGTTGAAACTAGTTTTGATACGCGTCTGTGAAATACTTTGAACACCAACTACCTACACGAAAACAAAGCGAGAGAACTCTCTCTGACCATTGCCTAAACTCACGCAAACAGGGCTAATTTTTCGCGTCTACCATTCTTCTTATTTGACACAATGAAACTAACGCCCAGTTTTCGAGACAATTTACCCCTTACTTACCCCACCCCCACAAAAGAGAGAGATTGACTTTACTAAAGCACACCAACAAGTTACTATTGTTACGGAACTATTGTGACAAAAATGAAGTGGGTTTAGACCGGACCGTAAGAAGCAAAACCACATGCTGCAAGACTTGTTTCTCATCCCCGTTTTTCCTGGTTCAAGGTAAACTCACTACGTCGAGTAAACCCCGTCGATTGATTTCTTACGGTCAGTGAAAACCCACACAGAGTCATGCAAATCAAGTATGATTTCTGCTAGGACAGATTGGAGTTAGTTTTTCCGAAATACACCTATGTGAGCCATTCTATCGTCCGTTAGAAAAAAAATGCTGTGAAAACTTATCTACTAACGACAAGGTCTTCACACTTATCGCTTAGAGGGGGGCTTCCATTGCCACACCCACGCTTTCCTTCCATAAACTCGTCGGAATCAGCTTCGTCGTCCGTTAGATCATTACCACTGCCGATGTGCTCGAAACTGTCCGTGTTCTCTTCGTTAGAACTCGCGTTCGTCTCGGTAGAATTCGTCGGCTTGATGGTACTGCCTTCAGATGAATCGCCTGCGATCGTTAACGCTTGATCTTCCGCAGGATCGGCGGTTTCTACCCCTGGAGCCAAATCACCGTTGGAAAGCACCTGCGCTTTCAGTTTTTCAAAGTTTCTAGTCAAGCTTTCGTTCTCCGCTCGCAGGGATCTGATGATGCCCTTGAGTTCACCCTGATTAATCTGCATCGTGTTAATTGTGCTCTCGAGGCTATGAACTGTATTCCGCGCACAAGTGAGTTGCTCAGACAGTATTTGAATCTGTTTTGTTTTGATGGTGAGTTCTGCCTCCAAGGATTCCACCCTTTCACTTTCAATGTCCTCAAATGACGCAACGCTTAGATCCTCCTCTTTGAGAACACAGTACTCAACCTAAAGGGAAATTAATCAAACAAAATCTCTTATTAAAACGAAGGTTACGCTAGAAACCTCAGCTTTACAATCTTTTAGGGTGGCCAATTCACTCTAACAACTATTAATGAAACCAATTTACAACAATTCAATGACGTAAATAAAGCAAATAAAAAGAAACGCTGCTTTTAGGCGAGCAGGCATCTATGGAAGGCAACCCAAAGAAGCCAGTGATTGCCAAACACGTTCTCCTTGTCAGTGCCATTGGAAATTTATCAGGAGCAGTATGGAGAATCTAAATATTGATGTGCTCCTCTCCACTCAAAAGTATGAATGGGTTTCCGCGAAGCATCAAAGGAACTGGAACGAATGAAAGGTGCTAACCAGCAATGGTGTACCATCTCATCTCGGGGGGCTGGGGGCTGGGGGGGAAGTAATCCTAGTCGTACCTAGTGTTTCCCTCTACTAGCAGTTACGAGAAGCAACTCACCTCGTAAGACTCCAGATCTTTACTGATATCAAACGAGAGCACTTGACTGACCAACCACTCGACGTTTTGTTCAGCAAAAGGCGCCAGTGAAGTCTTCATCACTTCCACAGCACCCTCTAAACCATCACTCTCCAATAACTCTACCTGACAAGACCCGAGCAGCAACAGGATCACCTGGTGAAAGTCACAAATGTTGGTCAGTCTGAGAACGCGATTTGCGGTTTATAGAACTACGTTTCGGGCTCATGACTCCTATTATGAAAAGGTATATACTGGTTGGGCGGGGTAGTGATCTCAAATCCCATAAATTTTATAAGGAAAAAGAAGTCTAGACATCTTAAGTGATTAGATGACACTTGCGTGACCGAATGAACTCTGAGCGGATTTGTCAAGATCTGAGAGCTTTTTAGTATGCTTTGTGACTACTTATAATATTAGCTTTAATACTCTAAGCGTGAGTTAAAGAGGTTGTGTAATCAGTTGTGATCAGGGAGAACAATAAAGACAGGTTTTGAAGGTCTGCGTGCGTCTGTCGGATCCCTCGAGCTAATCATGACAAAAGTAGCTTTCACTGAAAACTCACTCCGAACTCAAAATTAAACGCCTACAGATGGATGGGAGGCTGTAGTAAGTTACTTAAATACTGTGGTAGGATCTCAGTCGAACGACAGCACAGGCGCTTAGACAAGCTCACCTTGAATACCACCTCCATGCCTTGAAGAAACATCATATCTAAAAATTAACAACAGCAACAACTTACAAAAAACACGTTGATAAAAAGTAGTTTCTTGCTTCTAAAGGATGGAAAATTTGAATCGACTGGAGAAAACTCTGTATGGTGACACTAACTCAAGACAACAAAGGATTTCTTACGGACATCAAAATGGAATTCATGGTATACTGGGAAAAATGGTCTAAGTTGACATCGCATCTTACTTTAAACCTCGCTTTTTAAGTAACTTTTACGACGGGATTTTGAATTTCTTCCACAAAAATCCCTCGAGGGAAAATCTAACCATAACCTTCATCGATTAGTTTGTAAAGACCACAACTCACCCAGCACTCGTGCCACAAAGCCTACTGGGAAGTGAGATGCGAAGAGCGTAAGGAACCACGGGGCTGCGTAAAGAGTAGGCGTGATCTCCAGCTCCAGTAGAAACTCGTACACAGGTTTGTAGTAATCGTGTAGGAGGCGTGACAACATGTAAAATTGAGTCTGAAAGAAAGAGTGGAAAAAAAAGTGTTGGGCTGAAGAAACAATGACAAATACACGCTGTTCTTCAGGTGAGGAGCGTTCCATAATCTAGCATTGTCTCAGAATGGTTTTATAATCGTGAAAAAGGTTGCGGTTATTCGTCGCAGTAAATACACTTAAATGAAGTATAATCGTCCGTTTCACGAGGAAGTAACTTCCAGTGTGAAAAACAGAATGCATCAATCACAGCTGTTGAACATCAGCCAATTACAGCTGAGCACAATGGTTCATAAGGTGGTTCGTATCCAGTTCATCTTATCTCCTCATGAAGACTCACAGTTTGTAGTCGAGACGTCGCGAACCACATCCGAAGAGATTTCATCGCGAGACAGATGAAAACACTTCACAACAGGTCGTTTTGTTATTTCATAAAAACACATCTTTGATGGATGACAGCTTCTACACATTTCGTTTGTTTCCTTCGAAATGGTTGGCATTAGTTTCTAACACATAAGGTTACCATGAAAATAACTGCCCCCCTTAAAACGCTCTTAATTCTAACTTTGTGTCTGTAAGTTCACGAGTTCACGAGCTCACAGACCCCGGTGTAACTGAAATACACTGAGAAAATAAAGATTTATCGTCCCACTAAATTTCACAAAAATTAGTTCCCACGGTTCAGAGCCTGCTTAAGTTATCAAATAAAAGATGGCTCTAAACTTAACGTACATCAGTGAAACTTTTCAGAAGAGGAATCTTAACCAGCTGCTGATGATAATAATAATAGTAATAATAATAATAATAATAATAATAATAATAATAATAATAAAAGATTGGCAATAAACCAAGTCGACTTATAATATAATACGAACGCAAAAATAAGATCAGACAGCAATGCAAGTCAGTTTGTAAAACAGTCCAGCTGCGTGAATTTACCTGTAAATCTTGCATGTCAGGTTTGTATTGCTTACGGACACCAAGTGTGTACATCATGAATCGAAGTATGTCGTAAGCATCCTCCTCTTTCATATGCATCAGCAGAATGCCAGCCACAAAACTGAGTCCCTGACAGTAGCCGACTTCTTCGTCTAGAATGGAATACGCCTTCAGGATGTTGAACAAACACAACTGGCCATGCCCCAACGGAGGAGCAAAGTATGGATGATTGGGAAATGTGCGACCTGTGAAGGAAAATAAGGCAAAGTCAAAGGAGAAGATAACAAGGCCTTCAGCTCGCTCAGCTCCTCTCCGCCCAAAAAGAGTGGCAATGGATCAGTAGTTATACAGCAAACTTACCTAGGTCAATGAAGATGGAGTGCTGGTGACACGTAGAGCCTTCCTTGATGTCATGGTAAGTTTTCTCCATCCATTGCTGTTCCTTTTCAGGTGGTGAATGCAAGTCGTGCTGCTTGGCAAGAAACACCCATATCTCGCCTCTTTTGGCTTTGGGTACACCTTTGTATACGAAATTATTACATAAGAAATACATCTCTGACAATGGAGTAAGTTTATTAAGAAACTGTGGTGCTACGTCGGTGGGAGAGTATAACAGGGTAATAAAATGTTATCAACTGAGTTGAAAACGTAAATTAGCCACCGTAAAGATCGAGTTTATAGGCTGATGTTTCGAGCATTAGCCTTTAAACTCTTTACGGTGGCAATTTACCTTGTCAACTCTGTTGATAACACTAAATTACCCTGTTATATCTCTGATAACTGATTTAAGTGGAAATTATCCTTCATTGTATGAGGGTCTCGTGTGGAATTTTACTTTATCTTAAATGTGGGTGTGACTGAAGTGAGATTTGTACCTTTCAGATTTAGATTCAAAATCGACAGTCCACAGTCCGCACTTAACGCGCATTGAAAGGCCTTGGAGTCTACCTACCAGCTTTGACAGCTTCTGTCAGAGTCTTCAAGTCAACTGCTTCATCTCCATTCTCAAGAATTTTGTTCCAAGTTGCAGCTGCTGCATCAGAACACGGTGGAACTTCATTGTATGAAAGCTTCAGCATATTGGCTTCTATGACATTCTGATTAACTGGAAGAAAAAAAAACAGTTACAAGTTTCAAATACTATGTAAGAGAGATGATTTCAAACCGAAAATTATCAAACCGCTTATAATCCTGATTCTAAAAGGCGCTAGATTAACAATAATTGATCCAAATCCACTGTTGGGAAATTGTCTCTGTGTTGTGTAAATTCAAAAAGTTGTCAACAGTTGCGAAGAAAAACATGGATGTAAAAAAATAGAGAGAATCAAATTGAAATGCAATTGAACATTTGCCGTCCAAATTTTGAGGAAAGAGCTTCACGACAACTATAGGACTGTATCAACAGGGACACCAGTAGGGCGCTGGAGACAGAATGGACCTAAGAGGACGTTTACAAGGACAGCTGAGGAAAGAAAGGGCTAGAAAGAAGAGCTGAGTGGAGTACAATGCCGACTCTGACAGAGCTTATAGGCAGCAGAAGGTAGGAAAGAGGCTTTATACAATACTTGGCAGGAAAAAAATTAAAACGTAAATAAAGCTGGGTGAAGCAATTAAGTTGCCTGAAAACAAGACTATCAACTAAAATATTACATACCCTGTAAACTGTTATTTTCTCTCTCCATTCTGATGAGTAAAATCTGTTCCATGATAGCTTTCCGCCACAGAGCTCTCAGCTCCTGAGACGATTTCTTGCGACCAACCATTTCTGCCCATGATGCACTCTGGGGGATGCCTAACTCTGGGTCTGCTGAAAGTATACATTCAAGCAACTTGTTGTTACAACGTACACCTAGTTGTTAACTTAGAGGATAACTTTACAAGCTGGACAAATTTCTAATATTTAAAAAAATATGTAGGTCCAATCAATATCTCTTACTTCTAAAAGTGAAACTTTCGGCCCATCATAAGGTTTTGTCCTCTAGGGTTATATCATAATGTCAGATGCAATTCTTATTATTTTGAATTTACCTGAGGTGGATTCTTTCTTTGATGGTGTGACTACACTATGAAATATGGTCTGCAACAAAAATATTCAAAATATTTGTGGCTCAGTCCATGAATCATACCCAGCTTTTTAGAGATAAAAAAGGTGAAAACTTTCAAAAGGTAAATTTTGTGCTAGCTTGTCCAAGGAAGAGAGAAATGTGTTATCTGTTTTCCCATGGGCCTGGAAAAATGACACATCTGAGTTCCCTTGGAGGAAATGAACACTAAACTTGTGGATTTTGCACTTCAATGCACTCCTTACCATATCAATGCAATATCAACCAGATAAGTTATGAGAATAAAGAAAAATATCAATTTGGGAATAATTAGTTGATTCAATACCAAATTCTCTGAACCAACATTATAAGAATTGTATGGTTGACAGTAAGGAGAATTAAAAAATTTGATCTGGGAGTTAAAGGGTAAATAAAACCCTGTATACTACGCACAACACAAACCTGTCTATATCCATATGAGTTCGTTTTGCTCAGACGCCTGTGGCGCCCAGGTGTTTTGGTAGGCGTGTTAGGTGGGGTGGTTGTGGTTGGACTGGTTTCTCCTGTTGCTGTTTGTCTTATCAGCTTGCGCGGCGTACTTGTAAACACCTCCTCCTTCTTTCCAGATAGTTCTTTTAATGGGGACATAGGAGGAGTAGTGATGTTATAGTTTGAAGGGGTGCTGTCCAGAGTCATACTTCTTTTCCTTTGCAGACCAGGTGATTGTTTGGTTGGCTCACATCTTTCCTATCAATTAAAAAAAATAATAATAATTAAATCAAGTTCATTTAACTCTTTGACCTCTAAGAGTGACTAGCATCTAAATTCTCCTTACAATATCACCCCTGAATCAATATTAACTCTTGAACTCCCATAAGAGACCAAGAGATAATTTCTCCTTACAATATCAACACAATGTCAACTAGATGAGTGATGAGAATAAAGAAAAATATCAATTGGGGGATAATTAGTTGATCCCATACTAAATTCTCTGAACTAACATTGAAAGAACTGTATGGTTGACAGTAAGGAGAATTACAAATTTGATCTGGGAATTAAAGGGTTAAGGACACATGATTGTAGGAAATGATCACCAAGTTCATATAAAGAAGTTCTTGATTGCTAAACAGATTCTCCTTGTCAGCACCTTAGGAAATGTATAGAGAACAGTATGGAGAATATGCAGACTGATGTTGGGGTGTAAAGGGTTAAATTTCTTTCTGGCAGGAATAACCAAGTTCAACATACAAGAACTACATATTTTTCCAACCCCCTCTACTAAGTTTTACTTTTAGTATCCTTTAAATACCTTCACTCTTATGTTGAAATAACTTGGTCTCACTTACCATTCCAGAACACTCCTCGCTCATTACTGTCCTTGCTCTTGCCTAGAATGTCACATAAAGAAATTACACCAAATGACCATCATCAAATAAGCTTGAATAAACAATTCAATTCTTATCCAATCAATCAGACCACAATATCAAGACATACATAGTATCTTCTGTAAATCGTGTACATTTATTTGACCACAATTGGCAATGTGGCAATCTAAACAGCCAATTTGCCATCGTTGATAAGAGTACAGACAATACTCTTTGAGTCAACATGTGGTCACGCACTGCGGCGCCTTGTGGGTCCACAACATTTTGACCACTGTGATGATAAACATCGTAGTCAATAATGGTACCAACCACGCTAAACTACTGTTGATATGTTAAATTAACCATTCTCCTAAGAAATAATATTAGATGTGTTGTTCTTACCCTCTTACTCATGAAACTTTCAAAAGAACTAGTTAGAGACTTCTTGGCTTTTTGCAACAAATTAGGGCTTACTGGCCCTTTGTCCTTTTGGTATGGCTGTCCCTGAAAAAACATTACAAAGATAAAATTTAACGTATTTACCTGTGTATAATGTGCACTTTTTTTCTATAAAAATAACCATCAAATCGCGGTGCATATTATACACGGATTCTATTGTTTAGAAACAACAAAGAAAGTAAAAGTGCGCAGATTGGTGGCCTGGGGAGGAGAAAGAGCTTCCTTGTTTATGACTCATTTGAAGCTCACATGACAGATACTGTGAAAGCTTCCATCAAATGCAAATTTCCCTTCTCCAGCCGCTCGACGCACAGGCGGCCCAAGAGGAGAAAGAGCTTCCTTGTTTACGACTCATTTGAAGCTCACGTGACAGATACTGTGAAAGCGTCCTTCAAACACAAATTTCCCTTCTCCAGCCACTCGACAAACAGGCAGCCCAAGCTCCAGCTGTGAGATGATCGAATTATGGTCAACTCACCGACGGTCCAACTCGCCGACGTATAAAATCGAGTAGAGACGTCGGCGAGTTGGTCCTCAATCCAATACAACTTATTAGAAGTTAAACATACAGAAAAGTAAACAACATTTAGTAAAAAAACACTGGTGAACATTGGTGAACATCAAAGAGAAGCTAAAAAAGAATAAAGCAAAGTAAACATTGGCAATGACTATATCTGCTTCAGACATGAACAAGTTAACTGAATGGTTTGATGTAGCACTTAGGAATTTTCGTCAGCAGTTTTTTGCTTTTCTGTTACCTGGCCAATGTGTGTGTGCTGCAGTTGCCTTTTTTCATACATTGCTCTGAATATGGCCATGATCACTTCAATTTCCTCATTCATTGTTGATGGACTTTCAGCCTAAGAGGTAGGAAAACTGTTCAGCAAAAATAGTCATGTCTACAAAACCATCCTCGATGATTTTGAGGAAACAATGTGAATTAAGAAACTTGGATGACATTTTATCTCAAATCACTCCAGTTGACAATGAAGCAGGCTGTGTACAGATGTAATTTGTGACAAACAGGCAACGTTTTATGAAAGAATACAAAAGAAACTGTGCTATATACACTCTTCAAATAACCTGATAATAATAACTGAAAAAAAAATCTGCAGAGGTACATGTACAACCCACCCATTACAACTTAATTTACTGGCAACAACATTTCACAGCTTGTGAGCAATGATTTCACTGTATGGTTTTAAATTGGTTTACCATCTCTGTTGTATATTATGACCAAACATACTCACCTTAAACTGTTCTGTAAATTGGCTCATCTCATCATCACTGAGATTAATTCTGTGTTTTTGTAGTATATCATATTGATTTCTTGGACCACGCCCTACAAACAACACACAAAAGAATTACTCAAAGCCACAGAGGATCCAGCCTCCTGTGCTTACTATTGGTTTTGACAGTAACTGACTGTACTGGGTTTTCCAGGAGACCTGTTTTAGATGTAAGCTTTCATGACCAAGTGTGATGTCAAGATGGCTGGATTTTGGCAGAGTTCTGTTGTTTGCATTTTTAAGGGCCAAGACGAAGTTGAAGACCAAAGAAATGCAAAAAAAAAAAAAAAAAAACAGAGAACAAGGCTTACATCCAGCAATCCTGATTGAACAAGCTGGTCAATTAAGGATTCATTATTTTAGCAAAAGATTTTACTTAAATTAGAATTAAAATTTCTTTCAGGCCCTTATTTCACTTTGTTATTTAGTTTTTTAGCAAAACTATTGATCATCTTCTGCTGCTTTTTGCAACTTCAAAGCTGGCATTGTCTTAAAATTACAAAGTTAAGAAGCCCACTCTGAGCAATTCTTTTCCTTGTGTGATCAAAGCTGGCAATCCCAAGTAGTCAGGATGGGCACACCAACTCACCTTCAAGTTGAACACACAACTGATGAAGTTGATGAAGAGGACACATATCACAGACTGAAGTAGGACCTGCTGCCTGCCATGCACTGTTGAATGCTTGTCTTAAAGATTGCATTACTTCATCCACCTTAAAACATTGTTTCAGGTTATATTTTATTAACATAAATATCTTCATGGCTTGCAAACCAAAGTAATAGGCAAATGCAACATAATAACTGACTAATCACTTACAAACTAAACATTGTGTCAGAATTTGAAACAGAACACTCTGAGAATTTCATTGCTTATAACAAATAACGATACTAATAAAAGCACCCATAGTAATAATGAACATGACATTGCAATAAAATTTTTATTAATACAAATAATAATGGTGTTTTATCAGGAGGTATAGGATACTGAACACATTTACAGCAAAGGGATAGCATGCACTTTATAAAGGTCTTTACATATAAAGTGTAGTTCTCTATATAACCTAGACAGTTTCCCTCTGACTGGCTATGAATTCAAGTTTCTTGCTGAGCACTAAAAAGCATTAGTTACAGGGTAGGTAATTTTGCACTAAAAAAAGTAAATGGAAGTTTGATTAAGCCTGAATATATAAGCAAAATGGGATGTGTTACCGCATTCACCATGAAACTTACCAGTTGTTCAGAACGCCCCTTGAACACGTAACAGTAATACTGCCCGGTTTTGAGCTCATGGCAGATAAAGCCAAAATGTTCTGGTGACTTTGTTCCCTAAGTTGAAATAGAACATAAGAAATGGCTTAGCAAAGTTTCAAAAATTCATGCTTCTCTCAGCCATGATCAAGCTACAGAAAACAAGTTCCACTTTACAATTGATGTCATTGAAGGAGATTCAAACTTACAAGTGAGCAGTCAATCTAAATCCATGGCTTCTAGGTTAACAAAGGCTCACAAACAAAACTAGTCTATCCAGAAGTCCCTATGTAGTCATAATCTTTGAAATGTAAATGTCTTTTGTAATTCTATCTGAGGTTTCAAAATGCTTGACTGTGGGACAGAAAGGGCCCCACTTCAGATTGATGTCAAAATGTGAAGAATTAACCAAAAATGAAGGGCTTTTTTCAAATAATTTCTTGGGATGGTTAGAAGATTGCATACACCAAAAATGAGTTAGTTTGGGTCAAACTGGACTCAGGAATCAAGTTCAACAAATGCACAGTAGAAGCCCGGCATGTGAATCAAACTTTTTAATTGAGTTTGCAAAGCAATTAAGTTCAACAAGCTCTGCCATGCTACATGACTGTAGCATGAAAGTGATTCAGACATTGTACCCTTGCTATGCCAAACAAAATTTATAAACTATACTAATGTACTTTGGCTGAATTAAGTCGCTGCGAGGAGTCATAAGAATAACTCTCCTTTATGGACTATGCACTGAGGGTGTTTCAGTAAATGCTAAATTTCACACAACATTAGCCTGATGTCTGAATCAGAGTCATGCCTCTGCTGTGCTATAGTTGAACCAAATTGTAATTAAGTGTGGCACAGCAGAAGTACAATGTCGGAACTGGACCTTAGTTGCAGTGTAACAGAGTAGAAAAGGTACACGTTTCTTTTTTAAACCATCAACAATGGAAAAGGTCTAAAAAATTCAAACAATTATTAGTATTACTTGACCACAATTTTCACCTACCTGTTGACAAAAGGAAACTTCTCTTAGTCTTCTCTCCATCAGCAGTACCCTAGAGGCTGCACTGAGACATGCAATTGAGTGGATGCTGATTTTGAAAAGAATGTTTCTGTTTTCCCCAACACCACTGAAACTAGTTTTCCTTGAGTGTGTTTTTGCGTGATGTTGGTTCTGAGGGGAATCCTGACTCCTGGTAGGGTAACTGTTCTTTGTCTTATCGCCATCACTGGCAGAGCGAGGTCTTCCATTCAAACTGTTCATCTTAATTAGAGGTGGGTGCTTGCTACCCTCTGGTGCCTTGTCCTCACAGCTGCTTTTTCCACCAAGTATTCTCTCATGATCCAAGCTTTTTGCTTTACTCAATGCTGGATGTTCCTTAGAATGATTTTCAACACTGGCATTAACACTGACTGTATTAGAAAACCCTTCTCTTTCCTCTGATTTTTGTACACTCAGCTGCTTTTCCAACTCAGTCATTCCTTTTGTTTTATCAAACCTATCCACCAAATCGTCTACAAGATTTGGGGGAGCTTGTCTGTGAGATACCATAACTCGGCCAACATACCACAGTGGAAAAATGACTGCTTGTGCCTCAGTAATTTCAGTAGAATTAGTTGGACTGCCATTGCTGTTGGGATTAGCTGGTTCATTGGATGAATTTTCCTTATCTGTGGTTACATTACTTTCTGGTTGCTCAGCTACTTGCCTAGCAGCATCACGAATACTGTGAAAAAACCCAGTAATCTGTGAGAAAAAAGGACAAACAAAGCTTAGAATTTCAGTGACAAATATCAGTGACCTTCCAAAACTAAACTAAATCATAGTTAAAGCTTTATTAAAGTGATAATATTAATTCTTGTTCTTTCACAAATGGACACTTCAACTAAACCTATAACTTCCTTGTCACTAAATTTCAGCTTTAAAAGATTTACACTTAAGAAGAAAGCTGGACTGCTTGTTCAAAACTTCCTGCTAGTACTGAATTTGCAAAGGAAAAATTTACAAAAAAATTGTATAAATTTTTTAAATATTTTTTCATAGTGATGTCTCAAGAATTCCAAACTGCGCTTTCTTTTTGACAATTCTGAAACAGTGATCACTTGCATCATTTTCCAACAAAATCCACTCCTATTAATATATAAATATGAACAATATTGGGTTTTTATTTTGAGCAGGTTTACATCTGCGGGTTATGTTTTAAATTTACATCCTTGAACAGAACTCAAACCTTTAAATTTCCACTCACTGTTCAATTGCAGTTCTAAATAAATACAGCTAACCATTCATAACCAGGTATGCCCACTGCCAAGTAACCTATTGAAGTTATCTGACATGGCGCATTTAATTTAACAAACATGTACACAGAATATTTAACATTCTCTTTATACAGGTGCCTTGTGACAAATTTTTTCCTGATTTATTTCAAAAAATACTACCAGCTACATTAGCTGGTACAATCTATTGTCAAAACACCTACAACATCTGTATAATGGCAGCACTGATTTCATAATAACAGACAATGCTAATGTTCATTTCAACTTCTGGCTACAGAGTGCATGGAAAAATACTATACAAATTATCTTAAACAAACTATTTAACTCTTTATCAAAGTTAAAAAAAATAATAACTTTCATGTATTAATTCTAATCTCTTTACAAAAGGGCATTTAAATATATTGGCAAACAATGAGCTCTATTTTTAGACTACTTAATCCTTTCAGGACAATTTGAAGATCTCTTAAAGATCTGAAAGATAAGAGTCCGAATTCTATTTAAAAATACACTGTTTTTCATGCTAAACCTGAAAAAAGACCAATAATTCCACTGTGACATTGATTTCGATGAAACAAGATATTGTGTGACAAAACTGTTTTGCATAACAATTATTAACATGTTAATATTACCTTGAACTTCAAAACAAGTTATACAATGTACGTGATAGCATTTTGTGAAAGGTTCTACTTTTCAAACACTCCGTCACATGCGAAAAACAAACATTAGAAGAAATTATCCATGAAGGAAGTCTTTATAACCTTTGATCCGGAGGGACCCCAAAGCTTAAAATTTCAGTGAATCTAATAAAGGACCTTGATTAGGTATTCATAAAGAGAAAAAAATATTTCCATGAAATTAATGGACGTAAACACTATTTCGAACAATAACTAACGAGGCATGCTCAGGCATAAAAAATGATCACAATAACAACAACAATTATTTAACGTTACAAATGAAAATGCAACCCTGAAAGATCCTACCAACATCGTGGATATCAAAAGTACGCCAAGTTTTTTTTTTTCCTAGAAATTACGATTCGGATATCAGTTTGAAAGCAACCTTGAACATGTGCGCCATCAAGATAAAAAATATGGCTCCTTTTATCGTTGAGAGGAATTGAAAACTCAAGCTTCGAAACCTTTCTCCGCCAAAATAAATACAACGAGCTAAAATCTGTTGAGAGGTATATCGGGTTTCCCCTAAAAAAAACAGGGAAATGTTTCGTTGGATAAACTAGCCTGGAGTAAGCTTAGGTTTGAAAGAAAGGAGATTTCAAAGGAAAACGACCCCAGTGGACACTGCATCAGAAAGCACGCAAATTATTCAGCGCTACGAAGCACAATTCTTTGCAAAACCTAAAAGAGTATATTTTTAGATGCAAATAAATTGTGTAATCACTGATTGACCAGAGAGCATTCATAGTTTCGGGTTTAGAGACACAGGTAAGGGGCCTTATCAAATCAGAGACACTGCAAAGCAACCTGCTGATGAAATCACAGAAGATAACCCTTACCGAGCTTATTTCGACGGCTTCAAACACGTAGCAGTGACAGGAAGATACATCATCGGGTATTTTAGTCAGGTAGGCAAAACACTTCTTGTCCACAGAACGCGCGCAGCGTGTTATGGTCTGCACCTTATGTTGAAATAAAGTACTTGCTGCGGAGCAGTCGACTGCCTCTACTGTCATCTCTTTGACATTTAAATCAATCTGATTTCGCTCGTTTTTCCGCCGGATCTCAGCAATGACCCACGGTAGCATATGCTGAGTGTAGCGCTTGTCAAGGACCGAACTTCCAAGATACACAAAACGGAAACTGGCCGGCACGTCATATTGTTGTCTATTGCCCGATTGCTGTAGTTCATCAGTTGTTGGCGTGCACGATTTATCGCCAGAGTCTGCTTCTTCAAAGCTCCCAACCCTGCTGTCTAACGAATTAGACATAGCAAATTGATTTGAAGCTGGCGGAGTTGTTTTAGAGCGTCGCCGGAACCTATCTTGGTCCGCATCCCCGCTCTCTTTCTTCCCTGTTAGCTCCGCATCCATCAGATACTTGAGCTACAGTGATCGGGCACATGCGTGGTACACGAGGATCACGGCTTCCGCTCGCGCCAAGCCTCGACTTCGTGTTGACTTTTCGCTGATTCAACACGAAAAAATTGCTTTCATTGCGTTTTCCCTTTTTCCCATATCTTTTTATAGCGCGCTTGAAATAGAAAAGGGTAATTTCATTTCGTTTTTTCGAACATAATAGATCCGAATTGGAAGTGTCATCATGTGGAGTCATGGTCATAGCAATCACTTGCTTTTTCGCTACAATAAATCCTGGCCTGGTTAGAAATTTTCCACTTCGGCCCAAACAAGTGGAAATATACGTATTTTAATTTTTTTTTATTTCAAATGTCTGCTCGCCGTTTTTTCTTTCACCTGGTTGAGAAAAAAACCTTATCTTTTCTTATCGCATCGTTCAAGCCAATGAAACATTTGAAGCCTCACCCTGACCTAACCAAAATTGTTCCTGTTTTCTTTGTGCTCTGTACTGACCAATAGAAACATCACCGGAATATTTATGATGGCAAGATCACCGATAGCTGTGCATACATGTGTATTTTTTTCTCTCAGTCACCGAAACATATGGATGATAAGCACTTTGAAATATCGGAAGGAATTTATTAATATTTGGCCTCTCGTAACTGTGGTGACAGCGCTCTGTAAAACGCCAGAAATCGCCAGAACGTAAATATAGTTGTGTCATTAAGTGTCACTATAGGATTGCGTGACGATGGCGAACGTGACCGTGACTTGTAGATTTGAAACGAAATGACAAATTTTGTCATTAGACTCGCTAGTAGGACCAGTATGATTTATGAATTTCTTTCTTGCTTGTCCGAAAAAAAAAATGGAAAATAAAAACAGCAAATCAGAGACAAACGTGTGATAAAGCTTTGTAGAAAAAATATTTAGGGAATTGCAAAGTTTTCATGCAGCATAGATATTTTCAAAGCTACAAACGCAGTTATATTCTCTCTCTTTACATGGACAAGTTTGTTTAGTTGGAGTATTTGTTTATTTGTCTGTTTACAATGTTTATCGATTGTTTCTGCATTTGTAAAATCTGTGTCATTCTCTCCTTTAAGGTGATCAATAATTCCCACACCCTCTAAGCACATTTCCGTCTCCCCTCTCACGTGACTTAAGAGAGCTTTCAAGATGTCGAGTTGGAAAGATTTTTTGATGCGACTGTTTACATGAAACTTTGGTAGACGCTAGCTCTGATCTCCGCTAACACTATCAGCTTCTCTTAGAAAAGTTATCTCTAACTTGTGTTGGATCAGCGGTTTGGTGTAAACTAATTTCTCGTCAAATTTAAGGTGAGTTACTCGCTATCTGTTATAAACTGTTAACTTAAATATAGACAAGCTTGTATCTGTTCCCCTTGCACACTTTCCTTTTCGTTATCTGCTAATATGATGAGAAATTAAGCCTTTTTGCCTCTTAATGCTATCATCCACTCGGTTGTCAAGAACCGGTGCTCGTTCCTCTCTTCAAAGTAATTCTACAAGATAGATGTTTCTAAATATAAAGCTTGCCGTTTCCTGCAAGTTGTTGAACTTTTGCCTTACACAAACTCGATCTGCCAGAAACGAAAGAAAAAACGTTTTCCACTCGCAAGCCCAGTGCCTTGCTTGTTTACGATTGAAAGTCTTCGACGATCGTTTCGAATTTGTATTATTTTAGGATAGGAAAATAGGATAATCGACAGTCTCTCTAACTTTTCAGTATTTTTTCGCTGGCGCAAACACGAAACACAACAATTGTACTAAGTTCAATTTGAATTCGACGCGATGTGAATGCACTGAATGCATTTTATATTCAGGATTTTCCCTTTGCGTGGACGAATTTTTGAATAATACATGATAGCCTTGCTTCGTTTTGTACAAAACATATGGCAATAATTGGTTTTCCTTCGGAAAAACGGGGAGTTTTGCGGAATGTAACTTCGCGCAATGTGGACACAGGTTTCGAATGTTTTCGAGAGAGATCTGTGTTTTGAGCAATGATATTTTATGCCTTGTAATGGTTTAGTGGGACCATTAGTAGGTGTACTTAAAGCTTATCAATACAGCTGTTTCTTGGCTTAATGAAGGATGCTTTCATTGTATCATAGTACATAGCAAAATATTAATTTGTAAGAAACACCGTATCTTACGTATCTACTGGATGCTAACCTTGCTTTTTCATAGTGCTGTATATCAAAGCAACCTTGGTACCTGTGGTTCTATTTTTAGCGGTATTTTCTTTCATTGAAAGCATGAATATTTTTAGTACACCGAGCGCAAATCATTATTATCTTGGATCGGAAAAATTAAATTTTGGCCATTGTTAATATTAATTGATGATATGAAGCCGCTTGATATCTTTTTGTTGGTAAATGTTTGTTGTGTTATTGACTGTTTCCTGCGACCAGGATTACATTTGTTCGGCGTAACAGATCTTTTATCTGCTGTGAGTTGGAAGTGTCTGTTAAATCAGCCGTAAGGTGTGATTAAATTGCGGAAAATTAACACTTATTAGTTCCATTTATATATATCAGGTATATTTAAGGTGGTGAAATCAAGACAGAGTGGTTTTGAATTAAGATCTATGTGTGAGTTGAAGTGCAAGAAATTTTCTTTTTTAACGAGAAATTGCTGTTTAAGTTGCAGATCAGTCCATTTTTTATATTTCTCTCTCTGAGTTTGGTGGTTGTTTTGAAGCATAATTTTGCATGAGCAGTCGAATAATCCCACAATTAAAAATCCATTTACCGCATGTAATAAAAAAAAAAAGAAAAAACTGCATAAACTGTGGGATATTAACACGTCATATTAAGACAGGTTCTCCCCTTTTGAAATATGTCTTTGTAAGCCTCGTGGTTTCCCCAAACACTGAAGCAAGCTGTTGGAATTAGAAAATTTTTGCTTTCATTTGTTTTTATATCCTTTTACCCTTTTACTCCTGAGACCTGATTGTTTATTCTTCCCTCCAGCTTTTACACAATTCCTGGCAAATAAGTTAGGTGAATTTCTTATTAGATTAAGATAACAACTTCTATCTGATAAGTTTAGGTATTCTTGTTTGCTCTTTGCTGGATAATGTATGAATATTATAGGGACGAGTTTCACATGAATCACGTCTGGGTGTTAAGGGTTAAGAGGGTAGCAGAGGGTGGATCTTGTTCCCATTTCATGCGCAAATTTTAGACAAATTAATGCATCATATGCTTAAAATAGTACTTCTCATGTCACGTATTAAAAAGGGAAACCTTCAAATCTAACCTTAACTTTCCTTTTTGTAAAATTCCCCCTGTCATATTTTAATTTTGGGCATAATCACTCTTCACATATGAAGCATTTGTCACCTTCCCTTAAAAAGCATCAGTTGCTTAAAAGGTTAAAGAAGATGTCATTGGAAAAAGATTTTGAAGACAGTGAGAGTTATTAAATATAAGCTGTATGGTTAGTGTCTGGTGATAATTTTCCATGACATTTTCATAGTTAAATTCTATGGTGCAGAAAAGTATGTACTGTTTAAATCAAGAGGAGAGTCTCCATATCTGAATTTGAAATCATTCTGGTCATTAAATTTTATCCAGAGAATTGTACATAGCTGCAAGAGAATTCTTTGATCTTTATCGCTTAGTTACTACCTAACAACCTTGCTATTATGTATTTATTGCCTGAGTGGAGGAGCAGGATTGGCAGGAATGGCTCAAGGTCATTATGTTGACGCTACACTGGCTCCCTGTGTCGTGACTGAGAGCCAACTATTTTCCTGTCTGGCTTGACCAAACTCAGTCAATAAGTATTTTATTACTTAAAAATGCTTATATTTTGTTTGAACTTACATGTAAGTAGGGCATGATTATAAACGTAACAAGGAGGCTCAACAACAACAAGAGAGGGTTTAAAAGAAAAACTTAAATGTTATTTCTTGGAGTCAGAACACAAACTCAAAATTGATTGCAAAGCAAGACTTATTTCCTCACTTTTGTTTATTTTAAGTCAAATTCCACATGCAGAACTCACATTCTTGGGAAAAAAAAAACAGAGTAGTGCTGGTGATAAGGCAACTTTTGATCTGGTACATGTCAACCCATATGGCCATATGCATGTCAGCTTTTTTTTGGTGCTCTCAATTACTGAATAAGCAAGGCAATAGGGGTCATATGATAACAAGATTTATTTTGTGTTTCAGGATGGGTCAGACTCTCTCAGAACCTGTCACTACTAAAGATACTTCCTCTTGTTCAAACAAATTGTACAAAGTTGGTTCTTCCTGCATGCAGGGATGGAGAATAAGTATCCTTTTTGTTGCTGGATTTTCTTTAACCCTTTAACTCCCATGAGTGACCAAGACATAATTTCTCCTTACAGTATCAATACAATATCAACCAGATAACTAATGTGAATAAAGAAAAATATCAATTTGGGGATAATTAATTGATTCAATGCTAAATTCTCTGAACTTACATTCTTAGAATTGTATGGTTAACAGTAAGAGGAATTACGCATTTGATCTGGGAGTTAAAGGGTTAATATTTGTTGAAACCACATGACTCAAAGATATTGTCCATGATCTCCACATGCATTGAGGGTTGGTATTTTTGCTAGCTACTCCTTTCTGAATCACCATAATTTTTTAAGTAGACAAGTAGTGAAGTATCTGCATTGATCTGAAACATTTTTTACCTTTGCTTTATTGTTGTTTGTACCCAAAATGTTATATTACAACTAGAAAGGAAGAGGCAAGTTATAGCTATGGCGATGGACAGTTTGCCTTCAGGCACTTGGTTGTGTCCTCCGAGCTATTTTCTAATAGCTGGACACTTAACCCTTAAACTCCTGATATCTGATTGTTAATTCTCCCATCTAACTTGCACATAATTCTTTGTAAATAGGTTATGAGATTTTGGTGGTGGATCAAGACAACTTCCTGATAAGTTTGAATATTCTCATTACCTAGTGGCTGGATAATGTATAGATATTAAAAGGGGGAAATACAAGTTACAAGGGTTAAAAGTGTTCATAGAACAGTAACACTACCCACTGCAAGCTAAGTAGATGTTTGTCACTCCAAAGGGTATGGTTTTAAGAGCACATTAGTTGGAAAACAGCAATAGATTTACATTGGGGATAGTTTTCTTGGAGATCACACACGCATCTATAGTAGATGTATCTGTCTTTTTAAATGAATAAATGAATAAAAGAGAAAGAAGAGTAACTTAATAATGTTAATGAAATACTTGATAAAATTAACCTATTCCTGACTGAAGCACTATTAGGAAGCTTGTCCAAATACACAAATTTAACCATAAGTTGTGGAAGTAAATTTGGATTTTAAAGGCCAGTAGCCACATTCTCCAAAGACTTGGTAATTCATTGCATCTGAGGCCCTATTTTAAAATAAGTTCTAAGAATAGAGAAGTACTGTAGGTTCTGGCACTCCAACCAGTCCATTTTGTTTCTTTAGCGGATTATTTTCTGGGGTAGCCTTTTTGAAACTTTGCAACCCCCATCTTGATTGAAAACAGAACTGCTTTACATGCCTGTTAACTTAAAGGGACCTTTAAGAAACAGGCTTCAGATCTGTAACAAGTTTGGAAAATGACTTGTTCTGGTTTGAAATAGTGTCAGGATTAAGGTAACTAAGGGACACACCTTTGCCATGAATTCTTAGTAGTACCCTCTCCACCCTTCTTATGTGCAGATTCTGCACTGGCCAAAGGCAACATACTATTTGTTTAAAAACCATAGGAAACTTTGAACTTCCTAAACTTTCAACTTAGACATGGAGGATTCCCATACAGAGATTTTATCTCTCAAAGAGGACAAAGGCACAGCTTTTTTTGGAGTTTATGATGGGCATGGAGGTGAGTGGTACAACACTTGATTAACGATGAATGATGATGTTATTTAATTCATGGCATTTTCCATCTTTTGGATAATGCAGCAAGTTTTAAAGGGAATTTCACTTTATTCTTGCTTAATGTTCCACTAATAATAACCATGGAAATGCTGTCTTTTTCAGAATTAATGACAAATAACTTGTCATTGAGCTTATGGTTCAGTTACTAATCTTTTCCCTTTGTGATGGAAACTGTGAGACACTTATGATCAGTAGGTTTTGTGAACTTTTTGATCATGCCTCTTTTCCTCTCTATTTCATTACAAGGTGCACGGGTAGCGCAGTATTGTGGAAGAAGTATTCACACAAAAATTACATCTCATCCTTCCTGGGGTAAGGCATAATATTATTATGATATGAGTGCATCATCAATGCTTTTTTCACTTGTAAGTTGATATCGACACTATTTATTGGAATTTGAAAAAGTGTGGACCCACTTTTTCAATTTCTTGCCCGTTTTTTTTTCTCAGCAAAGGGAAATATTGGTGAAGCAATAAAAGGAGGCTTCTTAGCTTGTGATACTGACATGCAGAAAGGTATGCCTTCTACATTTACAAGTACTGAATGGTTAAGCTGGATTGAATTACGGTTGTTTTGCCTATGGGTCATTTTGACCACCATCTGTCCACCTAGTCTAGAGTCCATTCGCCTACGTCTAATATATTAGTTTGCCTACTTAAACTCTGTACTATGACTATCACTGTATAAAACAGTCAATTCAATTGAAACAAAAATTGATGATATTCAAAAACTTATTGCATGAAAATTTGATATCACAACTAATGAATTCTAATGATTATTATGTTAATTGTATTCATCTCATCGTGCTTTGAAATAAGAGACAAATTGATTTGGCTCTTTTTGGATTATTGAATAAATGCTATGATATATATAGCAATGTTGCAATTGTACCCTGTTATTTAAATTACTGTAATTATCAGGCTTTCCTAGCTTTTGCACTGCTGTAGTGTTATAGTCATGCAAATAAAGCCCATTTTCATTGTCGTTGATTCACCTACTTGATGTGCAGAGTCAGAGTGAGTCGATTTGATTCGTAATTGGTGCAGTGAATTCAAACCACAAATGTTAACTGTCGCTTTTGAGTTAACTTGCCTTCAAGCCTATGGCCGTTATGTGAAAATTGCCGCTTTTGAAATGAGTTGACTTCATATACATATAAACAAGTTATGCAAATACAGTAGAATCTCCAGTTTCAAATTACACGGTTCTCCAATTACACTCTTAATGCATGTTTGTAATTCTGCATGGTGCGTGTTAATTTCACAACATTTTAGAGAACATTTGTTATATATTTGTGTTTTGTAACATGTATTAATCAGTCTGTGATACATACAAACTTATTTATTGCTTACATATAGAATGAAGTTTACAAATGCAATTTATTTATTACAAGCAACTTTTTACTTATTACTTGCATGGATGTTTGGGTTGTTTGTGTGACACCTGCCCTGGCCGGTTCTTACTGCCTGTCCATACATGGCCCTGTCAACACCAGTGTGGCAATGACGGTGTCACCATCTGTCGCATCTGCCACAGAGTAGGGCTTCTGGGCAGAAGGTGACAATTTGTGTGCAAAAGATGCAGTCAAATTCCTCCATGATAGTGATGATTATAGCTTTGATGATAGCGTTGACTATCGCATTGATTTTACTATTGCGAGCATTGTTCTAACGTACTGGTGACAAGAAAAAAATACTTGGACTTTTATAGAGTCAATTCCTTCTCTGATGGATCGAAATCACAACAATATGATTGGTGAATGCTAATGTTGTTTACAATCCTTTGTTAAATAAACTACCATGTCTTTCTGAATGATATCTTTATGAAAGGCTTACCTAAAGTCACAAGTCTACACAAATAATGCCTAAACTGTTATATATATTTTTTTTTTTTTTTTTTTTTTCATCTAGCTAAGTTTGTGGATCACGTGAAAGCAAACAAACTGACAAAACACTAATCTATAAAGTTCATGATAGAACAAATCGCAACATCAATATCAACATTGAACTAGGAAGTAAAGTGGGAACAAGCTAATTTCTTAAATACCATGTCCTTTGGAATGATATGCTCATGAAAAGTCTCATTTTCTTTAGTATAGGCTGCTCACGTCACAAGTCTACATGAATAACGCCTTAACCCTTACATATATTTTTTTCATCTAGCTAAGTTTGTGGATCGCATGAAAGCTTACGAACTAACGATCGAAACATTAATTTATAAAAGTCCCACCTCTTTTAGTATAGACTCGAGTCACAAGTAAACACTAAGACCGTAAACGGTGCTTTATTTCATCTTAATTCTCAGTTTTTCTGCAAGGTTTAACAAGGACTTTTAAACAATTCAGTATTGACATATGAATCGTAGGCAAACTGAACCGACTCAAGACATAGGTGAAACGACCCATAGGCAAAACAATGGGTTACCAGGTGGATTATGCACTTCTTGATCTGGTCTAATTTACTAAGCACTAAATAACAACTCCCAAGGAATATTGATCAAGGCTTCAGTTGAGAACTCCACAAGAATGAAAGCTAACACCCCAAGAGTATAAGATACTAAATTCACTTGTCTGAGTTTTTACATATGATCCATCTTGAAAATGTTTTCATCTGGAAGTTGACCCCTGTTGGTGAAAGAATTGCACAGTCAGTAGTGGTTTGCGTCAAAAAAGCACAGAGTTGAGCAGTAGTCAAGTTATTATGGTCTTTAGATGCATTTATTGAACAAATAGTTAATGGTAAAAAGTATAAGTAGTGAATAACAGCACAAACATCTGCAAATCCCTTCATTTTTTTCTTGGGGTTTTGCTCTGTCAGATATTGTTTCACTTGAGAAAATGAAATTTTAAATCTGAAATTATGACTTAGAGCAGAATTAACATATTATGAGCATGTACTATGAGTCATACAATCAATTGATTACCTATGATCATGTATCTAATAATAAGATTTGCTCTGACTTTAATGACAGTAATTTGATTTTCTCAAACACAGAATAGGCATATGATTACAGATCAAATGGCACTTCTTTTGGTTTTTTTTTTTTTTTTTCCCTCCATGATTGATAAAAGGGGGTGATTATTGCAGCTGTTAATGTTGCCTATTAAATTTAAAAGCAGTTTAAAAGCAAAGGTTTCCTGTGGTTAACTCACTATAAAGCTGCCATGGTTTGTTTTCAGATGATCAGATGAAGGATGAAATGGCTGGAACAACTGCCATAGTCATAATCCTCAAAAATAACAAGATTTATTGTGTAAGAATGTTATTATCATGATGATTGTTGTCAGTGATATCTTGTTTTATATCTTTGTTAATTCTTCTTACATTGGAATTAATAAATCTTTGCCTGTGTTTGTCTGTCTTGTTCATCAGGGAAATGTTGGAGACTCAAGAGCCATTGCGTCAAAAAAGGGAGCAGTGGAACAGCTTTCCTTTGATCATAAGCCAAGCAATGATGGTAACACACAAGTTTTTCATTGACTAAATAATGGTTTCTTTCTAAGGGGAATATTTTAAAAAGTGGTTTGACAGTGTTTACAAATTCAAAAATACTTATGAATTAACTGGGAACAAGAGTGTTATTGTGGAGATTAAAGGTTAGATTTCCTATGACAGCTTGACAATTTTGAGTTTTTCAAAATTCATGACATCACTCTAATAAACTGTACCCTTTAATTAGTATCTTGAGGGGAAAACACCAGCTACATACATTTGAACTCCACTTTTAACCTGATAACATGGCAGTGGAGCAATTTATTGCATTTAATGCATTATTGACTAAGCAGCAGGTTGAGATGGCTTCCCAGAAATTATGAAGAATGTAAACCAGGTGCAAGCAATTTTTGGGTCTGCAATATTACCTGCTTGATAGCCAATCACATCACAGAATTCTCTTCTCTTTGCTGGTTTGTAGAGCCAGCCCTGAAATAAAATATAGCAATGCCAGTGGCAATAAAGATTGTGATAACATCATGCACCTCAATAAAGGAGCACCTTCACTGAAAGATTGTCTTTTTGTCTCTTAAAAGATGAAACAAGAAGAATCATAGCTGCTGGGGGCTGGGTGGAGTTTAACAGAGTTAATGGTAAGCACTCAAGTGAACTACAGAAGCTAGGTTGCTTTATAGTGACAGATAGTCTTATAGGCTTTAGCCATGCATAAAAAAACCTAACTGCAATTTTTCTTTTCATTGCATGCTAAGCCCTGCCTGACAAGGTCTGCTATTAGATGAGTCATTTTAGAAACTCCATGTGATATAGTTTACACCATAACCACATTCTGTCTTCTTTAATGATGATCATTTTCTCTCTCTTGTGCTGTTACCTAGGCACTCCACTAATACAAACAGTTTATCCTCTACTTGAGTAATAGTATGGGCCAACGATTAGGGAGTAATTGGCAAGAAATGCATAAAAATAATATTAACCCTTTACACCCTAACATCAGTATCCAAATTCTCCATACTCTTCTCTATACATTCCCTTTGGTGCTGACAAGGAGAATTTGTTTAACAATCAAAGCTTCTTAGCTTGTGATCATTTTCTTTATTCTCATGATCTCAAATGAATGGTTCACCAGTATTATTGTAGGGAGAATTTAGACGCTGGTCACTTTTAGGGTTAAAAGGGTTAAGCATGGTTGTGTGGCATTAACACTTACCTCTTTGATGTTCGCCCATAGGCAACTTAGCATTGTCAAGAGCACTTGGAGATTTTTGCTTCAAGAGGAATGACAAGAAATCACCAGAGGAGCAGATTGTAACAGGTATTGATATTAGTGAAGTGAGCTGTGTGATTAGTTATCAGTAGATAGTTTATATTAGGGAGTAAAATGATGTAGAGTAAAAAATGCATCTTCTTAAAACATACTGAACTCCAGAACCTAGTTTTAGAGAAGATAGAAAACACTACCTGATTTTTCAGAGCCGAATGGTTTAACCTCAGCCCAACTCTAACCAAAAAGGGCTGAAAACACAGGCCCATTTCTCGAAAGTCCCTGTTACTCAAAATTTACACAGAGAAGCAGGTTCTGGTACCCTAACCAGTCCATTTTGTTTCTTCATCTGATAGTTTTATTGCATGGTTTTCAAAACTTTTGAAACCCCAATCTTGAATAAAAACAGAACAGCTCTACAAGCCTGTTTAATTACCTGGACTTTCGAGAAACAGGCCAAAGGACTCCTTGGCAGCTGTGCAACTTATTGTATCAGGGGTGATTAACCTTCACCCACCCCATCCCCAACCCCTCTTGCCTTTTGTAGCGTTGCTGTAGTTTAGCTTTCAGCGAAATAGGAGGACAACTGGAGTCCTAAGGTGATTTTCACTTTACAGCTTTGGTTTTTCTACAATTTTTGACATGGATTGTTCTGTTGACTTAAGCCATCCACATCCATTAATTACAGCTATACCCTCATCAGAACTGTTTATGTTTAATATGTAAAATTTACAGAAGCCAAATTAAGATCATATTCACGCATATAATTACATGATAGATATCAACTGAGGGGGTTTCCACAGAGGAAACTAGTTTTACAGATCGCTCAGGCAATATAAGTTTAGTGAGTTGAAAGTGAAGGAAATTCAGGATTTTCCTGAATAAGGTGATGATTTTTCATTTATATGGCTTTTTTTTTGGTTTGCTCAGCTCTGCCTGATGTGATACAGAAAGAAATTACACCGGATCATGAATTTATTGTCTTAGCTTGTGATGGTGAGTACTTAAGAGAAGCTGTCTTCCCATCACGGTAGTTTCGTTGGCTTTAAACATCCTCTTAAAAGAGCCCCCAAAAAATTGTTTTTGTTCATTTGTCCGTAGTGCAAAGGAACGGTCAAGTTTCCTTTCAATCCAACCAGGGCTTGATTTATTTATGAACTTATTCCCAGTTTCTGTAGCTTGAAGCAAATAGGATTATTCCACTCTTACTGGACGGTAATTTGGTCTGTCCTAAGTGAAGCACACTTTCCCCCCTTCCAAAAAAAATTAATTAAGTTTCATTGCCTCATACTTGGCTTCCTGGCTAATTTTCATTTAACTCATGCCTTGAAAAAGGCATTGTGATAGTTTCATGACTAACTTAGAAAAGGGACAGATCCGAAAATTCTTGTTAGGAGGGATACAAGCTTTGATTTTAAAAAAACAAAGCAAAAACCTTTATTTATTTACACCATAGCCCTAATATGCAAACTATTTCAAAACAAATCCAATTTTGAGTATTTCATAGGGATTAGTAGTATGTGATCCAGGTTTTGCAAGTATTTTGATAGCAGACAAGAAGTGAAAAAAAAAACCCAACAGATCTGATGGACAGGTCCCGATACCCCTTCCCCTGGATCCGCCACTGGTGAACAATTATGTGTCCAGTGCACTTCGCTCTGGAATGGCGCGTCTCCCATTGAGTATTCATAAAGTGAAGTGTGTAACCTCTTAAGTCTTGTTCTATTTACAGGTATCTGGGATGTTCTGTCCAATCAAGAAGTAATCGATTTTGTAAGAATTAGGATAGCTCAAAAAATGGAACCTGAACAGGTGTGTGGAGTGATTATCTTCCTTCTGAGTGTTCGCATTTACGGACTAGGCGCGTGAAGCTCCAAAGCAATCCAAGATCACTTTTGATGTTTTATTGAAAACAGCTCTAACTTCTTTCTTGAAATGTAACCTCGCCCTTTCTCGTCTTTAGATTTGTGAAGAGCTTCTTACGAGATGCCTTGCCCCGGATTGTCAGATGGGAGGCCTTGGCTGCGACAACATGACAGTGATTATCGTTTGTTTATTACAAGGAGGAACATACGAAGACCTCTGCCTAAAATGTTCAAGACCGAGTGACTCTAGTTCTGCTTATAACGGCAACTCGGCGCCATTTTATTCTTGACATTAATGTCGGCATGGGTTCACTGTTTCTGTTGGCGATATGAGCAAGTTTGCGGTGGAGGATCAGGGCATGCTTTATAGAAGTTAGAGGTTGACGAGGTTAAGATTAAAGCAGTGAAAGTATTTAGTTGGACTACGGCAAAGCACAAAAGGAGAGCGAGATGTCAAACGTTGTGTGACATGTCAAAGGAGTTGTGTGCTCTTCGCGGACTTTGCTGCAGCAGAGTGATTGTACAATGATGGATTTTAACCCTTGAATGTTTCCTTTTTCCTTTTCTTTTTTGTGTTGTATTTTTCTATTTTTAAGGGAGTCAATTTGCCAAAGTAAATAGTGGCTTATCGTAGAAAACCTGGCCCTCCATTGAAGGTATGATCGTCGTGGATTCGGTTGCATTTCAAACCAGACTGTGGATCACGCGGCGGAAGGGAGCCATTCCTATTCTGGAGGGATGGTTCGAAATGGAATTACCAGCATCTTTCGTTCAAATGGACGGCACAAAGTTGCGTCCGTTTTTCCACAAACTAAGGGGTACCCATCAATGAAGGATCAAGTGCCAACGAACTGACACTCTTCCGGAAGTAAGGAGAACATTCCGGGATAAGCGACGGCTTGAGTGTCACTCTGCACCCTCAAAGTTAAGCGCTGAAAATCAAGCATTAAGTTATCAGCGCTGGTATTTAATTTAACGTGCGATAGTCATTAGGAAAGAGTCATACGAGTTCATCCTGATAGTATGAGGGTGATAGTTTTGTGGTTTGAATAGGGAAGAAAAAATTTTGTCGAAATATTTTTGTGATAAATTAGTCAGGTGCCACACGTTATTAATTCGTGGTCGCTATTCAACAGATTCAATGTTCATTTAAAATGTTGGCTCACTGGCGTCGTCTTTTTTCTCGAAGAACTTTGTTACTCCTCTCAACTACAGTTTCCGTTTATGCAGCCAAGATAGCTCGGGAAGTCGGGATCAGAGTCGGAGCGCTTCGGGCTTGAACCGAGTGGTGCTATCGAGCCTTGGCACGGACCACTGAGCCGGGATGATGTTACAAAGAACGCGTCGTTTCGTGACTTGAGACTAACATTCTTTAGTGATTTACGGATGTGATTTTTGATATGCGCGCTATTTTAACTGAACTTGGTTTTCAGTCGCGGTTATTTAAGGGGAGGGCTGGGGTGTAGATAATTTTTTTTTTAACGAGAAACCCTTTTTCTTTAAGTTTAGCGTGGTAGTTTAAAGTTTTTTTTTTTTTTAGTATTGATGGTCTCTTTTGCAAACTTTATTTGAAGTGTCGCAAAACACTTCTAACAGAGAAAGTTTTGCGTGATTTCAGGTCAATGACTGCGTGACAGACTTTTCGCCGAATGTGTTGGGCTTGTATGGTAACGCAAGCTGGATGTAAATAAGTAGTAAATCAATTTTTCTACAAAAGCGTTGATTTGATTTGATTATTGTACGTTTATGTTGGGTTGAGAGGGAAAAATGTGTTCGAAAATTAATTAACCAATCAGTGTTATCTGTTTAAAACAACTCACTAAGACTATACACCCAGTATTTCCCTTCATCTCTTTCAAGTGATTGTTTTATGCGAATAATGCACATACTGTATTTCTTCGATTAACCCTTTAACTCCCAGATCAAATTTGTAATTCTCCTTACTGTCAACCATACAATTCTTATAATGTTAGTTCAGAGAATTTAGTATTGGATCGACTAATTATCCCCAAATTTCTTCATTCTCATCACCTATCTGGTTAATTTATTGATATTGTAAGGAGAAATTCTGTAATGGTCACCCGTGGGAGTTGAAGGGTTAAGCGCCTAAGCTCGAATAAGTGCCCACCCTTCAGGAAGAGAAAGTAAATAAGCGCCCTCCTCATTTTCCCCTTCTCCCCTCCCCTACATACATACATACATACATACATAAGCTTTATTTATCCTCGGATTTCAGTGTAGCTTACAAGCTAGTATCTCCGATCCTAATTACTAATTTTAAAAGTTACAGCAAGAACAAGGCTAAAAAGAGAAAAAAAAATTCATAATGTAATAATATAATAATCATTAATATAATAATATAATGTAATATTAATGTAATATTAACAGAAACCGTGCACTAACAGTTTGCGCTTAAATTCACTATAATCTACAGTCTTTCTAAAGTGGTCAGGGAGGGAGTTCCAGTACTTAACAGATGAATCACCTGCCTTGTCTAAAAGATCATCATAGTTCGAGTCCCAGTCCTTTAAAACAAATCTTAAAATACGTCTATTTAAGGTGTCCAGTTTAACAGAGTCCTCTGAATTACAAAAGTGCCATATCATTGGACAGTAGTGAAAATGGGGTAACATAAACGTTTTAAAGAGGCGAAGCATAATTTCGGTAGAAATAAGTTTGCCAAATCTTTTGAAGACACTGAACTGATTATTTATCAAGAATTATTCCAAAAAGTTCCAGGCATCCCCTCCCCCTCCCCTTCCACAAAATATGGATAACAGAATATCCACCGTCCATGATACATCTTCACGATTTGTTATTATTTGTTTTGTTGCGAATTAAACTTGCCACTTGCTGGAAATGGTGGAATGTTATAAGCGTTTAGCGTCATTAGCTGCCCACGCGCAAGGTCCATGAAGTGAATAACCGCTCAGGGCACTTAATCGAATAAATATTCAAGTTGGTAGTAACAAGGAACTCAAACATCCGGATAGTAACAGGAGTCATGTCATTTATTAGCTAAGGTGTTTGAGGTCTCCAAGAGAAACTTATTCAACTTATTCAATTATAGCCATCACATACACGAAGATTAGAGCAAGCCACTCATACAAATTTGATTACTTTTTTTTTTTTTAGGGACAGGTCACTTGGGAAAGGGGGTGGAAGATTTTGGGGGGGAGGGTCATTTTGTTTTCAGGGGGAACAGAGGAAGAATCAGTTGTCGCCAACAGAGTATAAGAGGGACTATCAAAGTTGACTGCCAACTAACTGCCAGTGATGGGTCTTAGTAAGAATATTACAGAGCCTTATGGGGGGATCGGATTAATTTTATTGTAACATAAGCGATATCCCCCAGCTTCCTCTCACCACCCCGTAGGTGTTAAATAATGAACGGTTGCCCAACAAACTGTTATTAACTATTAGTTGACAACAGGGTGCCTAAATGTACATAGCATTGTATTTATTCCCTAAGAAAATGATTGATGCCATCAAAATTAAACCTTTGTGTTATGTCAAGTGTCTTTCTGTGTCCTAACAACAAGATAAGAAAAACCTCAGAAAAGGAAGATTTCATAAACATGCAAGATCAGCAGACGCCGTCGAGTAAAGTGTTCCGGCCTTCCGGTGTAGACACAACATTAGTCCAAAGCTCGGTCGCGCCTGCCTTTGACGTCACTTGTTTTGACGGCGAAACCTTGGTAATTAAGACATTTTTAGACAAACAAAGAGTTCTTTTCAACATAAGCTGACGTGGAATCTTCTGGAAAAAAAAACATTAAGGAAAATTCCTCGCTGTTTTAAAATTATGATGTCTTCTTTGCACTTAATGAAAAGCTAATCAACTGTGTTTCAGTCTATTGCCAAAAAGGAATGACACTGTAGAAGTAGGAAAATGAAAGGCTCGTCAACTATTTAATAGGCTACAAAATTTTTACAAAAGAACTAATATTCTTCGAAAGAAATTGGCAAAAACTCAATACAACTTACATAATTGTGATGTGCTATAAACGTTAGAATCCTCTTTTTATAGTTGGAAACAAAATCGATTTAATTTCCCGTTCTTATACTGTCAAGATGTTGCTCTGAGAAGAGTCACCCTCAATTTTCTCCGCCAGCGTGATGCTGAGAAGAAGAGCTTCGCCTAAAACCGTCATGGCCTGGGTACGAATAATTCGAAGACCCAAAATTTCATAAAGGGCTGGCTAAGCTTCTGAAGAGACTTTGGTGCCGCGTAAGTGGGGATTATGACTAGATTCTATCAATTACTGAGTTGATAATGTAAATTGGCCACCGTAAAGAGTTTCTAAAGCTGACGTTTCAAGCGTTAGCCCTTAGTCAGAGCGAAAATTTTATACCAGAGTTCAAACGCGTTGACTAAGTTTGGTTTCGAGAGTTTTCTTTGCGTCTTCCTGTTTTATACATGAAGTTTTCTTTCGAAAAAGAGACTCCAGATTCTAATTTGACTTGGAGTTATTGAGCGAAAAACCAATCTGCGTATGTGCCTTCTATATGATTTATTAACTGGAATCAAACAGGAAAGAGTGATGATAGAAAGAATGGTGTTCCTAATCTTACCAGCATAAAAGGTTCTTATCAGTTTTATTCTCCGCTATACCACCAGTGCGGAGATCAGTTAAAGACTCAGTTGTTGTATACTAACGGCTTTCCTCCTCTAGAATACTGGCAGTCCCTTCTTTTAAACAAAGTCCCTCGCGCCAGTAAAAAAAAAAACATCAGTGGAGAAAAGTTCACGATAGCAGACCGCACGGAACTAAATTTGGGAGAAAAATCCATTAATTCTGCTAAACTTGACCAACAAAAGTTAAGTTTGTGCTCCTCGATGCTCGTTAGGCTCGTTTAAGTTTACAGATAGCCGCAGAAAGCAAACGACACATCATGCTTTTCTGTCTTCCAAATGTTCGATGCAACTAATTCTGTAGTATAAAGGGGTAAGTTTCTAAAGAAACTGTGGTGCTGCGTCGGTGGGAGAGTATAGCAGGTAATTTAGTGTTAACAACTGGGTTGAAAACGTAAATTAGCCACCGTAAAGGGTAAAAAAGCTGACGTTTCGAGCGTTAGCCCCCGTCAATCGCTCTGACGAAGGGCTAACGCCCGAAACGTCAGCTTTTTTACCCTTTACGGTGGCTAATTTACGTTTTCAACCCAGTTGTTAACACTAAATTACCTGCTAATTCTGTAGTAGTTCTTCTTCGCGCGAGAAAAAGCCGACACAAATATCACAAAAATTCATAACTCGATGATTTTGGAAGGTCAAATGCTGACCGTACTTGTGTAATAAAATCACATTGCACTCAAAATGGATGACAAGAATTATCTTCTGATACAGCTGTGTGTTCACAAATCACTCTTCCTTGCAGGTGAGTCTGTCAAGTGATGCAATATTTCCAGCCACTGCTGAAATATAAATGAAACCTGAAAAACATACCTGGAAGTCTATCTCAAAATCTTTTTCAACTGCAATCTGGTTTTTATCACAGCCAGACGGGAAAAAGCATTTTACTCCAAGCTGCTAATTAAGCCGGTAAAGAACTAATCTTTGGAAAATCCGTTCCAAATCATCATCATTTTCTTGCTGTAGTCCCTCTAAAAATCATTCAAGCACAAGTTCTCCACATTTTAAGACGGTTTGACAAAAATTTCAGTCCTTAAAGAAAGACATACAGTAGTTCGTCTTATCGCGAGCGTAGGACGGCAAAGAAAACATTCTGAGTTCCTATGAGAAATCGACCCTCGAAACAATCTGTTTCTGCGCTGGGCCGTATCACAAGGTTCACACTTGACTTGCATTCTGCATTCTACTGGGACGAGTAACGGCAAAAGCGTAGTGCGGGTAAATACAATTAATAATACTATAGGAGGAAAGTAAAGTTATGACAGAAATCATGACTCGTTGTAAATACCTCTGGAATCATTGTTTTCCACTCTTCTCAACTAAAATTTTCATGAATGGCCTAAGCTGTACGTGAAATTCACATTTGGAAAAAACTACATTAGAGTCGAACAGTCCGAGAGATTTCAACAGTAACCAGTGCGGTGTCTATTCTCGAAGATATTTTACTGAGCAAGGCTAAAAGGCTAAAATTCCTATCGTTGTTAGGAAATTCCTTGACGGTTCCGCCCAGGTCATCTAGAATCTTCTTTCATCATATGCAAACAAACATCGGCATCGCGAGACATACCGAGAATTCCCAACACACCCACGATTAAAACCGATCACCCGAGCATAAACACGATAAGCGTCGTTTCGCTTCGGCTTGATTCACTTTGTTCCAGCAAAAGAATGCCTATCTTTTTATACTGAGTATTATTTACCATCCATAAATAGCAGGAAAGGTCGCGATCTTTCAATTTTTTTAAAGAGGTTTAGTGACCAGAATGAAGAAAATCATTTATTTAACAAATATGATATTCTAAAAAAAAATCTTCTCACCGCACAAAGCAGTTCAATT